CATTAAAAATCCATTTCAGTGTTGATGTTTTCAACCGACTGAAACTGAGTGTCAGAGCTGATGTCTGGTGGAAGACTAGCCGACCTTCTTTTGTTCAGACAGGCAAAGCAAAGAGAGGGCAGGAACCACACTGGCAGAGAGGACTCATGCCAAGCCAGGCTTAGGACACTGGGTTAAAGGGTCACATCCCAAACTGTATATGCAATATTAATCAATGTCAAAGCTATGTAAACCCCAAGGGCTGGCTATAATTAGTGACCTTCACTTCAAACAAGCAATCCCTGACTAGCTTTCCCAGCTATATGGCTCAAGTGTTGAAGATCTGTCTCATCATCTATGGTCCCCAAGCTCCTTAAATGCATCTGTACATGCATTCTTTCTCTCCACGGCCTCTCCCGTACCATGCATTCCCCACTCTCATTCCTCCCCTGTTGGCCTCAGCCACAGTTAAACATTGTTGTTGTTGTTTAGTCGTGTCCGACTCTTTGTGACCCCATGGACCAGAGCACGCCAGGCACTCCTGTCTTCCACTGCCTCCCGCAGTTTGGTCAGACTCATGCTGGTAGCTTCGAGAACACTGTCCAACCATCTCATCCTCTGTCGTCCCCTTCTCCTTGTGCCCTCCATCTTTCCCAACATCAGGGTCTTTTCCAGGGAGTCTTCTCTTCTCATGAGGTGGCCTCAGCTTCACGATCTGTCCTTCCAGTGAGCACTCAGGGCTGATTTCCTTAAGAATGGAGAGGTTTGATCTTCTTGCAGTCCATGGGACTCTCAAGAGTCTCCTCCAACACATTACAGTGTATCAACACAGATGTTAACCATGGTTGATATGCACCAAAAGTTTCTTTCAACTGAGGTTTCCTGGCCAGCTTCAAATCCCAGTTGAGAGATAACCTTGGGTCCATGGAATGGAGTTTGTGATCCCTCAGCCTTTTTAAACATGATATATTTGCATGGGTTGTACCTTAGGAACAGATAAAAGCTTCTGTGTGGGCAGCTTTGGATAAAATATTTTCTACTTCTAGGAAGGCAAAATCCAGCAGAGTAACATTAGGAGTTGCAAAATGGTTCCAAATGTATCCACTCTAATGTCTGATAATGCTAATAGTACAGTAATACATGTCTAGTGGTGATACAACATATGTTTTTATTTTTAACTGAGTTTTAATGTTTTATACTTTATTTCCTATGAATTTTACTGAATATTCTTTGTAATAGCATTGCTTCTATTTATTTTAATTTTACATGCCGCAGTTTATGCCAGTCTGCTGGGAAACAGATGTGAATTTGAGAAATCTTCAAGTACAGTGGTACCTCAGGTTAAGAACTTAATTCGTTCTGGAGGTCTGTTCTTAGCCTGAAACTATTCTTAACCTGAAGCACCACTTTAGCTAATGGGGCCTCCTGCGGCTGCCACACCGCCAGAGCACAATTTCTGTTCTCATCCTGAAGCAAAGTTCTTAACCCGAGGTAATATTTCTGGGTTAGCGGAGTCTGTAACCTGAAGCGTATGTAACCTGAAGCATATGTAACCCGAGGTACCACTGTAATTATCTTACCTCCTGCCAGCCTCAGCGGCTAAACCATAATAGTAATAGCAACTCACTGATCCACCAATCCTTTGCGTATTTCCTCAGAAATGGCTCATGGAGTTCAATAATATTATACTTTAAAGTACGTATGCAAAGGATCATCACATTAGTCACAGAATTGTTCTGGAGAATGACAGGTCTTTTTTGACATAACACTAAACTATGGTTTTGTATAACGTGTGTAAGTCTTGAGTTCACACACTTCTCCCTCCTCTGCTTATGAAAAAAAGAGCTTCCACTTCTAAACTAACTAGTGTTCCCTGTTTATTTCAGGGGGGGAAACAGCTCAAAATACATTTCAAAGATTGCCTTCCGACTATAAATGACTATAAATATAAATTATTACAAATTATCAATTTCCCAAAGCAACATAAAATCTTTATAAAAACAATTCAGTAATAAAAACATTTAAAGTATAAAAACCACAGACTAAAGCATTTCAGAGCAGCATCTTAGCACAAGTTCTAAATGCAGCTGAACGCAAAATTCAAAAAAGTTGAAACATTTACTTACCCTTTTTTAGCTAAAAACAATTTGATTTCTTAAAGAAGACTTTAGAGCCTAGTTAAAATGAAACAGAATTTTCATTATTTCACAATTTGGAGTTTAACAGCAACATTGCTGTTGGAGTGGCCAGATTAAAAGGGGGGCACCTTAGTTATGCAGAAAGGGATTTCAGAAGGTATGCTTGCCTTCCTTTGCATCTGGCTACCTGAGCTGTAATACTAGGAAAGCTAGATTTGTAGCAGCAGGTACCGGTAAATGCAACTGGCAGACACACCCTGTGATATTTATTATGCTGTTGGGAGTCGCCCAGAGTGGCTGGGGGAAAAATTATTTATGTATTTATTTATTTATTTATTTATTATTATTATTACAGGCACACACTCAGTACGCTTTCAGTACAAAAGCATACATTATGAAGCTGACAAATACAGTAAGAGTCAGAGAGGGAAAACAATACATTTATAGAGTAATGGCACACATTTGATTATGGAATAACAAAGTACTGTACTAGATGCAGCAAATTTGCCTACACTGGTGGGAGAAATCTAATTCTTTAGAATACTTGCAGAATTTTTTTTGCTTAAGAGCAGCTGCAATACTTCCCTCTTCTTCCACTTTAATTTGCTCTTTACCTTTCAATGGCAAACTCATTTATGTTGATTCTTTCTCATTGCATTTTTCTGTCTTTCTCTTCTCTGGTAGTCTGCTGCTGATTATTGTTATTATAAACAAATTCTATACATGATTTTAGCAACAGCAGCAAAGCAGTAGCCATCATGAAGGCAGCGAGAAAGCAAGTAAATTTGGAAGACGTATTATACTCAGTAAAAATATACAGAATCCTTGCCTGGATCAGTATCATACCACTTTAATTAGTTTGAATTTACAATTACTCTTCACACCCAGTAATCATTAATGATTAGAATATTACCATAGTCTTCCATAGAGACAAAAATCAATTTAAAAACACCTTGATAAAGAAGATTGTCACCTGTCATCATCCACTGCCCCCCCTTGACACTGCAGCTTTAAGAGCTGCGCAGAAAGCCAAAATTCACCCGGTGTTTTAATCATTGTTGTGTTTCTGTAATGAAGAAGCTGCCATCAAGCAGCTGTCTGTCAAGAAAGCTGTCCATCAAGCAGCTGCTGAAGGCTTTGAGTTTCTGTTGCTGTATGAGGAAGCTGCCAGCTTTGAGGGTGCGAGTCACAACATGGCTGTTCAAAGAGGTTAAGACATCACTCAGTTCCTATGGAGAGGCTCTGGGACACTAGCCTGCCTCTGATCTGGATGCCCAGATATCTAAATCCATGTGAGTTGCTGTATTTACTCAGTAATGTGGGCAAGGCTTTCTAAACCTGTCCATTTGACTTTATTGCTACTTCATATGTCCTGGAATTTAAAAAAAAAAGGGGGGGGAGATAGAGCCAGTGTGATGTACAGTGGTACCTCGGGTTACATACGCTTCAGGTTACAGACTCCGCTAACCCACAAATAGTATGTCAGGTTAAGAACTTTGCTTCAGGATGAGAACAGAAATCGCGCCGCGGTGGTGCGGCAACAGCAGGAGGCCCCATTAGCTAAAGTGGTGCTTCAGTTTAAGAACAGTTTCAAGTTAAGAACGGACCTCCGGAACGAGTTAAGTACTTAACGCGAGGTACCACTGTAGTGGTTAAGCGTATGGGAGGAGGTGGTCCCTCAGGTATCATAGGAACAAAGGAAGCTGAGCCAGTCCATGTAGCCCAGCGCTGGCCACACTGAACGGCAGCAGCTCTCCAGGATTTCAGACAGGATGCTGGAGACTGGGCCCTTCTGCATGCAAGACAGGTGCTCTAACACTAACCTACAATCCTTGCATCCGAGATCATTCCATTCCACCTAAACATCCCAATATTTTAATCTGAATATTTTATTTGTACCTTCTGAATGGATTTAGGGTTGCAAGCTTTTGAACCACCTCCTGTTGGGTGTTTAGCAAAGCATTTTCGTGGCAGCCATTAGAATTTCTAGTTTCTTTAAGAACTGATCAGCAAAATCATCAATACCATTTAGAAAACCAACCTCTGCTTTCATATACATAGTGCAAATTGCTTTAATTCACGACATGCTTTATCTACCAGATCTAGTTCATATTGTGCTATTTCTCTCATCGGTCCATGTACCTATTTCTGCCAGCCCTAAGTTTTTTTATGAGCTCTTTGGCTGTCATCAGCATGATCAAACACGATTTTACAAGGCCGGATAAGCCTTAAACAATATTAACAACAGAATCAAACGCTGCTCTTTCTGAAATAACCCCTCTCAGGCCTTGATGCCAGCTATGTTTCATTTTATTTCTCTGGGAGCCTTAAATACGATTTCAGTCTTGCAGTGTGACAAAATCTGCAGCTCTAAATTCGGCTATGAAGGTTCTGCTGGTCTTTCCCCCACCCTGGGCATCCGGCTGGCCAGTGCTGGGTGCGATGGACGCTTGGCCTAATCCTGCAGGGCTCTCTTCTTCTGCCTTTAACCCGCACGTTAAACAAGAAACCGCCCGTGTGGATTTTTGTTGCAGGAGGCCAGGCCGCAGCGCCGCCCCACTTCCTGATGCTCTCCACTAGTCGTCCCACTTCCTCCCAGAAACAGGAACTGGGAGGAGTGGTCCTGGGCTGGCTGCCTGCGGATTGTGCTGGCTGGTTTGGTGCGCAACAGGCGGCAACTACCTGCTTCACGCACCTGGGCGCTGCGCGGCTGCGGAACTCGCTTCTTTTATCTCCTTCCTGGCTGCGGTGGGGAAAGGGAAACTCGCCAGATCCCTCGGCTGGGCGCAGCATCCGAAGCTGACGCGTCACAAGAGATCCACTTGCAAGCAGGATCGTCCGCCCAGCCTGAATAATTCACGCTCGCCTCTCCAGCGCCAGACAATGCCCGCCGTCGACAGGCTTCGCCTGGAAGAGGCTTTGCAGGATAGCCCGCAGGTACCACCGCGGCACGTCTGAGTGGATCTCCGCGTCAGGCCAGCGAGGGAGGGAGAGAGAGGATGTCGCAGTCGTTGGAAGCTGCGCTCAAACGCGAAAGCTACCTGCGGACCGGGAGGGGAGGGGGCGAGCAGGATTGTCAGTAATCCAGAATATGGCATTTAGGCGAGCCGAGAGCTCTTCCCGGGTGTCTGCTGATCTTTCTGTTGTGGGTCTGCATCAAAGCAAACCTGTGAGCCAGGCAGGGTTTTGGTGGTGGTGGAGGTTCGTCTGTTTTCATAATGGTGCTCAACAGACACAGGAGTTTTCAGCAAGTTGGAGGGTGACATGTAATTTTTAAACGGGGATAATTTAAAAGCTGGAGAAAGAAGCCCCTGCTGCCGGAGAATGGAGGAGTCGGAATGGAAAAGTAGCCATTGTGGTCGGAGGTTTGTTAAGTAGGAGGCGGGTCTTTCTTTTAAAGAAAAAGGTGACATTATTAGGACCCAGAAGAAATGAGGGAGGTCAGAACTCCTAGTCCGGTTAGATCAGCCTTTGCCAACCTGGTGCCCGTGCCCAGATGTTTTGGACTACAACTCCCATCAGCCTCCGAGAGCACATCCATCCTGGCTGGGTCTGATGGGAATTGTAGTCCAAAACACCTGGAGGTGAGATGGCTAAGCAAGACTGGGCTAGATGTTAAAACAGGCGGTGTTTTGCCCGGGTGTGTGAGAGAGGGAGAAACTCCAGTGTATAGGAATCTGGCTCTATGACAGAGAGGAAGAACCCCCATGGAGAAATAAAAAAACTCTTCTCTGCCTATCATCTACTATCTTGTGTAAGTACACATTCCGTACATCAGCAGGATGCTATCATATTTTTCCAGGTTAAGAAGTGAAGGGAGCATGGAAATGTTCTAACAATGGTTCTAACAATAAAGCACTTTGGAAATATTAATGAGCTTTGGAGAGAGGAGGAGACGGAAGTAGCTTTATCATTGTAAATGTATGGAGCTTCATTGTGACCAATCTAGGTCACTTTTAATAGGTGCATTAGGAGGGATGTTTTGAAATCTGAGGGAAGGGAAAGTTAATAATTGGATTTATTTGATTTATGTTCCTGGTCTCCCTAAGTTCCATGTGGGTAGCAGTACAATCAAAAACACTGTTCTAAAACAGTTATAATACGTGAATTAAGGTAGAATAAATTATGAATTAGAGACAGTTTGTTTCTTCCTTCCTGATCTTTTTGGATCAAAGAGTGAGCGAGCGAGAGCCCTTTCAAGTTTGTGGAGAACATGCAGGCATCATGTGACTCATCTAAATGGATGCTGGTGCTTTAAAGGCCGGAAAGTGAACAGGCCGGATGCTGATTTGCGTAGTACACAGAAGAGTGCTGAGGCAGTGCAAATCCTTTTTTTTTTTTTTTAAGGGCTGTAATTTTTCTGTTTCTTTACAGAAGCCACAGCATAATAGGTGCAACTGCTCACATTCAAAGCATTCTTACTTGTGCTAAATTGTGTGTACACTTTTTTCCACCGAGTTCTCTGGCAGTTAAACACACCAGGGAGCTGCATGTACAAATTTACTGTCAATCCTCCTGATTGACACCAATGCTATGCACCCCTCCATCCAGGGCTCTGTTTCCCTCCCACTGATATTTTTTTTTGAGGGGAGCTTAGGTGATGTTGCATCAAAGCAAGTTTTATGCCACAAGCACATTTCTCTGTCACTTTCCTTATTGCAAAAAATATAATCTTTGAGGGAAATGTGTTTGCTGTGCAAGAGCTACAAAGTGACTTTAATTGCACAAATTGAATTTGTATGTGTCAGGCAGTAGCTCTCTAGGCTTTCAGACAGAGTTCTCTCGCAGCCCTACCTGGGTCCCAAGGAACAGGTCCCTCTCTGTGCTGGCCCCACAGCAGTGAAATTTCATTCCATCAGACCTGCGTCAAATTTCTGTTCTTCAGAGTCTTTGAAGGACCCCAAATATCTGTTTTTCTTCCTTTGTCCTGGCAGGTGTGATGCTTGTTAGCTGGGTGAGTCAAATATATATGTAGAGCCAGAAAGAACATGTGGAATGTTGCTGAATTGCATGGCCATAGGTCAGAGCAGTAATTTGGGGTGTGAATGTTCGATTATAAAACTTTAATATGACCTATTCCATCAAAAGGGCTCAGATCAGATTCTCTATACAGTGGTACCTCGGGTTAAGTACTTAATTCGTTCTGGAGGTCTGTTCTTAACCTGAAGCACCACTTTAGCCAATGGGGCCTCCTGCTGCCGCCGCACCGCTGGAACACGATTTCTGTTCTCATCCTGAAACAAAGTTCTTAACCCGAGGTACTATTTCTGGGTTAGCGGAGTCTGTAACCTGAAGCGTATGTAACCTGAGGTAGCACTGTACTCGTTTAGGAAAGGGCTGTGGCTCTGTGGTGTACCCTCCTAGTGGTGCAGCAGTAAAAACCACTGGCACCTTTGCAAAGCTAAGCAGGGTCTCGTATGGTTTCAAATTGGATGGGGGACTGTGTGTTGGAATTCCTGCATTGCAGGGGGTTGGACTAGATGACCCTTGGAGGGGGTCCCTTGCAACTCTGGGTCAATCCCCAGCTTCTCCGGGTTTAGCTCAAAATATCCCTTGCTTGAAACCCTGCATAACTGCTCCCAGTCAGAGTGACAACACTGAGCCAGATGGATCGATGGCCTGACTCTGTATATCCTTGTTTCCTATGTTCCTTTCCCCTTCCATTGCTGCTAGAAGGAAATCAGGCCTGGTTAGTGAATAAAACCGCATCCTCCTTTTTCTGCCCAGGAGCTAAACCACAGTTTACACAAGGCAGATCTTACCACACTAGATATATATAAAAATATCCCAATGTAAATTGTTAACTTTGTATACCTGAAACATAATACTGGTTTTTCTGCTTCTGCCATCTCACTTAGAATATTAAAATGTCAACAGTATTTTAGCACTAGCTGAAAAAGAGGGGTAGAAAATGAATGTGTGTGTGTGTGTATAATTTCTATACCATCCTTCATACGAGGATCACAGGGCAGTTTACAATATAAAAACACGAAAAAATGTAACATATTACAAAACAATACCCCACCCACAGTTTAAAAGTATGCAATTGAATGCATGTTTATTTTGATATAAGGCTCACTGTACTCCCTGACACAGAGCTTTCCAAACTTTTCATGTTGGTGACACACTCTATGCATGCATAATATCGCGATACAGTACAGTCATACATCGGAAGTCAAACAGAATCTGTTCCGGAAGTCCGTTCGACTTCCGAAACGTTCAGCTTCCAGATTGTGGCTTCTGATTGGCTGCAGGAAGTTCCTCCAGCCAGTTGGAAGCCCTGCCGGGTGTTCGGCTTCCGAAAGAATGTTCGAAAACCAGAACCCTCACTTCTGGTTTTTGATTGTTCTGGAGCTGGAACATTTGACTCCCAAGTGTTCGGGAGCCGAGGTACAGCTGTAATTCAGTTTTACTAGCAAACCGGAGGTTAAATTAACCCCTTTCCAGCCCCAGGAGGAGCATGGGGAGCGTTTGCACGACACACCTACACACTGCAGCCAACACACTAATGTTTCGTGGCACACAGTTTGGAAAGCTCTGCCCTAGCAAGTATGGTTAGGGTTGAAATCTTTGTGGTGTGATCCATTCAGATCTAAGCAGTTTAGGCTGCTGTCTTAAAAAAGTACATCAGGTGCAATCCTGTGGTAGCTGGGTTGGTGGGGGCAGGAGCCGTAATATTTTGTGGCTCTCCAACTCCATGGGTGATACAGAAGATATGACCACAAATGGATGTCTTGTAGCTGTGGGAACCTCTTGGCTGCCCCTTCTCCAGCAGAGAGGGCAAAAAAGAAAGTTTTTGGGGGGCACATCAGCGGATACTTTGAATCCACTGGATCTAAAGCCTTCCTGTTCTGGTATGCTTCTGGAATGGGGTGGTGGAGGATATTATTCTTATTATTCAATGAGAGCATTTTGAGTATTGCCCTTCATTTTTAAAATATGTCTGAGGGTTCTGTTGTGAACTGTTTTGGGACCTTCGGATGAAGGACAATATACAAATTAACTAAACAATAATTATAATAAGCAAAGAAAATATCAAACCAAAAATGCACCATAGCCCTAGTCAGTTATATGGGTCTGATGCTTCAATGTTTTGTTGAAACTGAACATGAGGAAAGATTGCTGCTATTCCTTCTTCAATTTGAGTGGAATTACCCTCTTTGCGGGATTTTCACTTATCACCACGTAAACCTCTACAAATATAGGCCAGCTTGTGCTCAGTGGGGAAGGCCCAGTTGGAGATCCTCCCTATGAGGGAGGTACAGTTTGCATCAACTCAGGACGGGGCTTTCTCTGCAGTGGCACCCCAACTGTGGAACGCTTTCCTTTTGGCAGTGTTACCTCCCGTCTCATTGGTGACCTTTTGATCCCAGCTTATTCATTCATGCTTGGGGGTGGGGAGTAATAACAGGAGCTGTGCTTGACATCAAAATCCCGTGGAGCTAATGTTTTGTCTTTCTGGATATAATTTAATAATGATTTTAGAGTTGTCATGATTTATGAAGTGTTGTGTTTTATGAATTGGCCATTGTAACCTCCCTGTGGTCTGGTTAGATGAAAGCCAGGGTATAAATACAGATGTCTTCACTGCTGAATGCTTCTGTTCATAATAGGGCAAGGCTGGGGAACCTGTGACCCTCCATATGTTGTTGGACTCCAATTGCTGTTACAGTGGTGCGTCGCAAGACGAAATTAATCCGTTCCGCGAGTCTCTTCGTCTTGCGGTTTTTTCGTCTTGCGAAGCACGGCTATTAGCGGCTTAGTGGCTCTTAGTGGCTTAGCGGCTATTAATGGCTTAGCGGCTATTAACGGCTTAGCGGCTTTAAGAAAAAGGAAACGAACTCGCAAGACGTTTCGTCTTGTGAAGCAAGCCCATAGGGAAATTCGTCTTGCGGAACGACTCAAAAAATGGAAAACTCTTTCGTCTTGCGCGTTTTTCGTCTTGCGAGGCATTCGTCTTGCGAGGCACCACTGTATTCGTGACTTTTGACTATCTGAAGGGCCACAGGTTCCCCACCTCTGTAGCAGGAATTTGAGGATCTGTTACTTGTGTGTGTTTAGTGTCTTAACAACAGAGAGATTACTAGTGTCTCTCTCCATTTATGCTACCTGTTTGTTTGAAAATTGTAAATTTCCATCGGTGAATAAACTGCTACCCTTTCTCTTTGACCAGACACGTTCTTTGCTGAGTGTGTTTGAAGAAGATGCGGGGACTCTCACAGAATACACCAACCAGTTGCTTCAAGCGATGCAGCGAGTTTATGGGGCTCAGGTAAATCACTTCAAATGTTTTCAGTTCCCTTTCTGCCCCTCAACTCTTCTAAAAATAATGTATTGTTTTATTTCAATAACATATTGCGCTTTAATAATGGGTAATATAGAAAACCATAAAAATAAACCTGCCACTTTCCTGAAGAAAACACAAATAATCATGATTTCCACACACCCCATTGATTATATTTTATTTTGTTCACTTAAAAATAGGGGGATAAACATAGAAAGCAATATATACTGAGGCAATTACTGCACACATCCTGACCTTATTCAGATAGTCATATATTGGCTTCTTAGTTTTAATATGGACAAATCTTTTGACCAGATATGCAGCCTGCTCACTCCTCCTTTTGTTAGTAAACTATTGTTGCAACAGGGAATCTCTAATTAATCATAGTTTCTTGTTTTGTCCAAACTGGGAAACTATGGTTACCGGAACAAATCAGGATCTTAAACTAATTCCACACCATGGTTTAAGATCCTGATCTGTTCTGAACTTGATACCCATAGTTTTCTGGTTCTGATAAAATGGGAAACTATGGCTAATTAGAGATTTCCTGGTTAAATTGCAGCTCACCTCAAAGAAACCGTGTACGTGGCAAAAGGCTTGTCCATCTCTGCTTAAGAAGCCAAGCTGTGATCATTGGAACAAGGCCACAGTTTTGCATCCCAGTTCACAGGTCATTTTTGATTACTGGCCACTGGTCTTCCACAAAACAATTGGGGTTCTGTCTTCCACTTTCCGTCTTAATTTGCTATGGTAATTTGTCCTATATTAATAAACCACAAATTGGCAGGCAAAGCTTTTAATCATTGGACACAAGTTGGTTGGTTTGTAACATGGAAAAACAATTTGGGGGAGGAAGTTTGGAAGGTTTAACCCCCACTCTTCCAGGGTTGTGATCCCAGTCTGTTCTGTGCATGCATACACACCACCCCCAGCACAACTAATATTAAGATGTGAAAAAGTGCTGTATATCCAATTTGCATCAATTCTATACCTTTTCTTGTCCCACCCCTTTCTTCACTATTGTAGATTACCTTGTGGGAGCATCTCTGTGCATTCAGGAGATTATTGAGAAGACCGGTGGGGTCATATGCATAATAATAATAATAATAATAATAATAATAATAATAATAATTTATTATTTATACCCTGCCCATCTGGCTGGGTTTCCCCAGCCACTCTGGACGGCTTCCAACCGAATATTAAAAACAATACAGCATCAACCATTAGAAACTTCCCTAAACAGGGCCACCTTCAGTTGTCTTTTAAAAGTAAAATAGTTGCTTATTGCCTTGACATCTGCTGGGAGGGCGTTCCACAGGGCAGGCGCCACTACCGAGAAGGCCCTCTGCCTGGTTCCCTGTAACCTTGCTTCTTGCAGTGAGGGAACTACCAGAAGGCCCTTGGCACTGGACTTCAGTGTCTGGGCTGGATGATGGGGGTGGAGACGCTCCTTCAGGTATACAGGACCGAGGCTGTTTAGGGCTTTAAAGGTCAGCACCAACACTGAATTGTGCTCGAAAACGTATGCATGCATGTTATAGATGGATATTTATGCGCCCATAAACACAGGCAGTCTTGAAGGAGTTGCTATAGTAGGAATTTGTAGCCACGTCTTCAGGAGAGCCTTTTAAATCAAGGTTGCCCTTCGGCCCTCCAGATGTTTCTGGGCATCAGGGATAATGTGAGGGATAGTCCAGCATCATCTGTAGGTCCCTAGAGATCCTCATTCCCTGTTTTAAATGAACACAACCCCTCATGTCTTCGGCATTATGTACACAGAACTGTCAATGCACTAAGTCCCAGCCCATCCAAATGTTGGTATTTGGGCTGCTTAACTTGTAACTCAATGTTGCATCACCTCCTGTAAGTCCTGGATGAAGTGTCTGGAACTCAGAAGTTCCTGGGGTGCACCTCCCTGGCATTCTTGTTTGTTTGCATGCTTTCCCCAAAATTCCGGGTGTGGCCTAGCCATCGGAAGTGCTGCCTATTTACACTCCGGAAATTATAGGTGTGGTTTGGTGACTTATTTCAATTCAGCACGGTTTGCTTTTATGGGTAACAAAGAAAAGCGGAGAAGGCAGACAACCTGCTATTTGGGTACAATCAGATGGCCTGATAGCTTTGCCGATTATCAGAATTTCAGTGTGGAGAGAATTTAATTTGCCTTTCTGGTCAACTTAGTGTGCATATGGAATAAATATAGAGCTATGTTGAAATAGACATTGGAAAAAATAGGCAATGAAATGACAGCATGGCTTTTTATAACTAAGGTGAACTTTCTCTTATCAGAAATCTTGTATACTATATCAAAGGCTTCAGTTTAAAGACCAGTGCTCACTAGGCTTGGTGCCCATACTAATGTGTTCGATCTTTTTGGAAATGGAGTTGATTCAATCAAAGTGGTGTTGAGAGATGGTGGGATATGATAGAAAATGGAACAAGTAACTGAGCTGCTGTCAGCAAAAGCCTCTTTTAAGAAATGAACAGGGTGGTTATGCGTTATAATCAGATTATGCTGCATAAGTCTGAATTTGAACACTGAACATGACATTTTGACTGTGTTTATTCTGTAGAATTTGATGTCAATCTGAAAATTAGACTGAATTGTGTTGAATATTGAGATTCAGTCCCTTAATATTGCCCTTGCTTTATATCAAGGTGTCCTCTGCATTGAAGTGCATTGTGTGTGTAGTAGAGGTGTACATAAGTTGTAAAGTTTGTGATGTCCAAATGCGGTCAATATTTATTTGCCCCAGTTTGAGCTATAAGCAGTGCATACAATTGTTTCTTTTCTGCGTTTGTTGTGAAATCTACTTTGTAATCTGTTTAGGTGGTTAAAGAGTTGTGCTATTATAGTGGCTGCGTTCCAAGATTATGGTAAACCATTGTTAATGTTTGACTGTGAATGTGCTGGTGTATTGTGGTTTGATCCTCCTTGACTGGGGATCACGGTTTATTTCTTTTGTTCCAAAGAAGCCACATTGTAGTGAGGATTTGTTCTTGGCTTTCCAATTATTTTTTGTTTGAGTGAAACAAACCACAGTCCCCAAGCTGGATGTAGCACTAAGCTAGTGATTGTGAACTATTACTCCCTTCGGGATGCAATGAAGTGGGGACGATTTCTGCATTCACAGTTAACAGTTAACTATGGTTTACTATGATGGGTGAACGCTGCCACTAATAGGCAGTGGAGGTAAAGAGAGAGAAAACTGGTTTGGGGATCCTTACAGTAGAATTTTATTTTCCTAAAGTCTGTGGTCTTTCCACACCTCTACGATACAAACATCAGTTGAGAAGTAAAACATTAAAAAGCAGCAAATATGGTTTGGGGGTTATGTATATTTAGAAAGAAGGGAACTCTAGAAATGTCTGTAGAGTACTACTCCACAATATATGTAAGTTTGAATTGCAGCAAGGTATTGATTTATGTATTACTGTACTTCATGGTGAAATATTTGTCTGTCACATGACCTTACAGCCACCTGGTGTGTGGAATTTTCAGGCTGGTCCATAAATATTGGTGCTCCTGGTGAATAATATGATCTGAAACGCAGAGGGTAGCAACTGTAGTGCCCGTTATGATGACAGATGAGGCTTATGCTGCAGTATGACGCACAGTTCACCTTGCAGTAATTCCTACTGAACTTGGTGTGGCTTACATCTGAATGAACAAGTATAAGACTGCACTGTTAATTCATCCGTTCGTTTATTAAATTTATATCCTGATCTCCCTCTCAAAGGAGCCCAGGGTGGCAGACAACAAATGGTAAAACAAACCAAACCAAAAACACCTTTAAAAACAATTCCAGTACAGATGCAGGCCTGGAGAGATCTCAGCTTAAAGCGCCTGGTTGAAAGAGGAAGGTCTTCAGTCGGTGCTGGCAAGACAACAGAGACAGTGCCTGCCTAATATTCAAGAGGAGTCTTTTAAGTTGGTGTGTGATCATTAGTAATGAAATACCTTTTCTCCTTGCAGAATGAAATGTGCCTGGCAACCCAGCAGCTCTCCAAGCAGCTTCTTGCGTACGAGAAACAGGTACGCCTGATTTACCCTGCGCGACCTCCGTGTTCAGCAGATTAGGTGGTAGAGATGAAAAGATTCTAAGGGGTTTGCTTAGTTATATTGCTGGAGATGTCAAACTTGCCTCAACATCTTGGAGCAAGAATGGGGGTGGGGCAAGGGGAGAGCATAAGAAGAAGCTGTTGGACCAGGTCAGTGGTCCTTCTAGTCTAGCATCCTGTTCTCACAGTGGCCGACCAGATGCCTGTGGGAAGCCTGTAAGCAGGACCTGAGCACAGCAGCACTCTCACCTCCTGCGGTTTCCAGCAGCTGGAGCGCAGAAGCATCTTGCCAATGACAGAGGGAAGAAGGATGCTGTGGAGATCACACAGGGTCCCCGGACGTTTAACGGTCTATTGATCCCTGTGCCACCACTGTGCTCGCTTCCCCGCTGCCACCACTGGTAAAACACAGTCCAGACAGTTGTTAAAAATGAACCAAAAAACCCCCAGGTTTATTTTACAAACATTAACAAGTTCATGGTTTCTCTAGTAATATTTCTGTCAGTACCTTAACTTTAGTTTCTTTACCGGCCTATACCTTCCTAATACCTTCCTAATACCTTCTGACTGATTATCTCAACTGACTCCTCTTAACAAATTCTCTCACTCTCTCACACCAGACTAGCCCTACCCACAGACTTATCTGTCTCTTCTAACTCCAGACTGTCTTCTCAACCACCCTAACTCTCTCCTCAAAAAAAACCACACCTCTGTGCTTAAACCCTATACACAGTTAACTCTGCCCCCTGGGTTCCCATTACTTTGTCATTTTACAATTAGTTAACCCTTTCCCTATGAACCCAGTATGATGTCACACACCTGGGAGGGCAAATGCCACATATGCACATCTGTGTCCAGTATCGCAGGTTGCTTTTAGCTTATCCCATAGAACTCCCCGGGAGGCACTGGAAACCTAACGTCTTATTTTCATTTCCTTTGCAGAACTTTGCCCTGGGTAAAGGAGATGAAGAAGTGATATCCACCCTTCAGTACTTTTCAAAAGTTGTGGACGAGGTAATCCAAATGGCCAGCAAGTTTTTTCTTAGGTTTTTTTATGGTGTCTGTTTATCTCATTGAAGCTGTGACGACCTTGAGATTTACAAAGGGGGAGCGTGGCGAAAGGTGGCCTGTTTGTGCTTTGTATAGTCTGTAGAAAAGGCCTCATCTTATTCTGCTCGTAAAATGATGGGGCGAAGGAGAAGCAGAGAGAGAGGGAGAGAGAGAAGAATCCTGAAGTTCCCTTTATCTTATTTAGCAGTTCTTGCTATATTTATGCAAAGTGTTGTGGCGCCCTAAAGATGGACCAACTTACTCTGGCTAGAGTCATTGTTATTGGATGCAACTTTCTGCCTTTTGACCCACCCTTTGCAGCTTTTTCTCTCTTACACACCGGGGGTGGGGAGCAGGAGATGCCCTCCAGTTAGTGTTGGAGTCTTCACAGAGCCCAATCTTCATGGCTAGCAATCAGGAATGATGGGAGTTGTAGTCCCAGCAACGTTTGTAGGGCCACAGGTTTCCCACCTCTGTTGTACGCACATGTGTTTGTGTGTGTGAATGTACAGTGGTACCTTAGGTTACAGAGGCTTGAGGTTACAGACACCGCTAACCCAGAAATAGTACCTTGGGTTAAGAATTTTGCTTCAGGATGAGAACAGAAATTGTGCGGCAGCAATGGGAGGCCCCATTAGCTAAAGTGGTACCTCAGGTTAAGAACAGTTTCAGGTTAAGAATGGACTTCCAGCACGAATTAAGTTCTTAACCCGAGGTACCACTATAAATCTATATGTGCTAGCCAACTGACTGTTGCCCTAATAAATTCAACTTCTCTTCTGTGTGTTTGCTGCGGCAGACTTAACATGCCAACCCATGTTAGCTTGCTGAAGTTCTGTTATTTCTAGGCTGACTTAAAATAACAACTCCCCAGTGCACAACAAATGTTATTCAACATTTCCCAGTATTTAGAATTGGCTTTAAGGGGGAAGGGGATTTTTTCTTTTTGGCTCAAACGCACTTTGTACTTCAAAATGACATTTTGGTCTGTGCACAAGTGCAGTAAAAAGATAGTTCGAAGTTCTTGGCCTACATTTGCCTTCAGGAGGCTTTTCTGGCGCCTCTCTTAAATTTATAATGCAAGATTTCCAGCTCTGCAGAGACAGTTCAGGGGAGGGGGTGTCTTCCTTTCCATTTCTCCACCCATTGTCTAGAGACACAGAGCATCTCTTCTCTTGGCTTGAACCCTGGGAATTCTAGTCCTCATTAGGCCAGGGTACAGTGTCTTATTTCTTCCTGGGCTCCCACACCCTTTTCCAGCTGGTTTCCATTGCTTCACCACACTCTGCCAAGATGCACAATTCATGGGATGTTGGAGCATATCTACACTATAAGCATAAATCATTGCTTATACCAGTGCTAACTGTCTTGGTTTCGCCCAAAGAATCCTTGAATTTGTAGTTTGGTGAGAGTGTTGAGATAGCCGTACCCCCACAGCCCCTCACAGAAATTGAAGTTTCTGAGGAGAGGGAGTGACCATTAAATTAGTTTAAGTCTGTGACATGCTTATAGCTCAGTTGGTTAGAGCATGGTGCTGATAACGCCAAGGTTGCAGGTTCGATCCCCATATGGGACAGCTGCCTAGTCCTGTGTTGCTCAGGGTCCTTTCCAGGTCTACCATTCTATGATTTCAAACATACAATGCCACTGAAGTACAGTGGTACCTCGGGTTAAGTACTTAATTCGTTCCGGAGGTCCGTTCTTAACCTGAAACTGTTCTTAACCTGAAGCACCACTTTAGCTAATGGGGCCTCCCGCTGCTGCCGCGCCACCGGAGCACGATTTCTGTTCTCATCCTGAAGCAAAGTTCTTAACCTGAGGTAATATTTCTGGGTTAGCGGAGTCTGTAACCTGACGCATGTGTAACCTGAAGCGTATGTAACCCGAGGTACCACTGTACTTATTTAGTCTTAGCTTTTTTAATAAAATAGCATCATCTTGTAGTGTTAAAACAAGACCAATTAATTTGCAACCCTGTTATTTCTCCATTTTTTTCCCAAATGTGCCTCTGTTACCTGCATATTTTCTAACGGATTTTCGATTGTTAGCAAGGTGTCATCTGCAAATAAGCATATTTTCTCTTTTTTATTATTGCTTATTCCTTTTATATTTCCATCTTCTCTAATTACATTGGCCAGAGTTTCAGTGACCCTTGGGGCCGTTCTCAGGTGACCCACACCTGGCCCACACCTTCCTTGAGGGTTTTGCCTGGTTGGAATGTGCCCTTGTACAATGATGATTAGAATGCCTTTTGCTTGCCTGGAAGGAGAGAGGTGTGGTGGGGAGACGGTGCGGAAACCTCTGGCTCCTTTGTGGCTATATTGTGGCTGACTGCCCAGAGGTAAGAGTCACCTCAGTGGCTCTGCCCACTTTGGCCTTTGGCCCCACCCACTGAGAGGGACTGTGGCCCTCAGGCTGAAGAAGGTTCTTCATGCCTGGTATTTGCTACCATGCCTCTGGTCTTCTGATCAAGTCCCCTTCTTCCCGTTTGGAGATTCGTCTTCATAAGCGACTACTTTCTAGGAATCTTGCCTTTTGATCTCCTTGTTTGTCTGCAGTTCCAGCCACGCAGTTAAGAAAGCCAATACTGTACCTTTAATAATAATAATAAAAATTAAAAATTAAAAATTGATACCCTCCACTGTGAAAATTGAAAACTGTGACAACAGCTGTTTTGGTTGAGTCATGTCTTTTGCCAGGGCATAAGCGAAGCAGTCCAGCTTGTAGGAAAAGGCTGCAGAGTAAATATAAAGTCTTGTTTCAAAGCCTCTCCTTAAGTAAACTCTTTAATCTTGAGAAATGGAGACATTTCTTCTCAGCTGAAGCCGTGTGTATTTGGCAGCCCATAACTAATTTTAGCAAGACTCAAAGCTCACTGGTGCATGGACAGATACTAATATTATTACTAATATCCATGTAAACAAACTTGTTTTCACCTATTGATTTTTTCTTTCTGGACTGCTCTGGATTTTTAATATGTAATCTGGCAAAGCCATTCAGTGGTGGATATTTCAGTTCCCTGTAAGAATGTTTCATAGAAATAAAATGTTTTTGATATCTTCTTATATGAATTGGTTTTTTGAGAGTGACATGGGATTATTTATTATGGAAAACCCTACTGAAGAATCTCAAAAAAAGGTTGGTTTTGAAAGCAAATGGCTTCAAACAATTTAAGAAAACGCTGTATAAATATATATGAAAGTGTGTGGATTTAAAGAAAAATAATTAAATATATTGGCTCCAGCTTAATAAGCAGATGGTATTGATTTGGCCCACTGTTCTAATAGAGCACTGTACTGGTCCTCACTTCAGAGAAAGCTATTTGGGCAACTCACTTTGCTATAATGATTACTAACTACACAGAGATGGGGAACTGAAGCAGAGAGTAACATCCAAGCATCTAAAATGTACTTCAGAGTAGGGGTGGGTAACTTACGGCCCTCCAGCTGTTGTTGGACCCCAACTCCCATCAGCCCTTAGCTACCGTGGATGGTGGTCAGGCACAATGGGAATTGGAATCCCGCAACATTTGGAAGGCAACAAGTGCCCCATTCTGGCATTAAAGTTCCCACAGTCAAGCACAAATCTGAACTTTCCTGTCCGCCCTACTGAGCCACATTGGGTTTTCCATTCAAGCACTTGACGGTGAATTTAGGGTACCGGGGATGTTATTGCTGCCTTCTAAATGAATGGGCTGCCCTCCTGTCTTTCAGCTTAACATTCTGCACACCGAACTGGCCAAGCAGCTCGCAGACACCATGGTTCTCCCCATCATCCAGTTCCGTGAAAAAGACCTTACAGGTAAATCTTCTAGGTGTGACTGGGAGCTCTTAGTAGGAAACAAAGGAAGAGAGGGACGCTTTTTCTTCTTGCACTCCAGACAACTTTCGTATCTTAAAGAAAATTAGTTAAGGTTGCGCCCCTATGTAGACTTCCGTGAGAGTTTAAAAACAGCCACCCCACACGCTGAACACAGTGGGGCTTGCAAGTGCTAGCAGATGCATGTTTATTTGGAAATAGCTTGGGGTAAGCTTGGCAGACATGGCAAATTACAAAGGACTGCTGTTCTCAGGTCCTGCTTCGGGGCTTCCTGTAGGCATCTGAATGTCCACCTTGAGAACAGGATGCTAACCTAGATGGGACGGTACCCTGTTCTTAGGGCTAAAACCAGAGCGACAGCAACAGCTTCTAGACCCAGGAGTGGGGAACCGGTGGCCTTCCTGCTAGTGTTGTTGGGCTCCAGCCCCCAGTAGCCCCAGTCAGCACAGCTGGTGGTCAGAGATGATGGGAGTTGTAGTCCAACAACAGCTGGAGGACCATAGGCTTCTCCATCCCTATTCATTGTGGTATTTCTACTGTTCAAGGAGGATTGCTAGTCTGCAAAAAGAACATTTCTGCCACTGTTCTGCTGCATAATCGCAACATGGGACTGAAGCAGTTCTAGTCCAGTTAAGGAAATAAATACATGGCACATTTCTTTGCATGAAGTCAAGTAGTTGCAGTGGAATTTGAGAAGAAGGTCACTGCGAACGTTCACAGTTTTAATTGGCACATCTCTGGTCATCTCATGGAAACTTTGCACTAATGCGCAAACCCTTTGTTGTTGCCTTCTGCTTTTTCCTAGAAGTAAGCACTTTGAAGGATCTCTTCAGCCTTGCCAGCAATGGTACGTTTTCACATTGGTCTTTCATTTGACTGAAATTTTGCTGGCGGTGTGCATGAGTGATGATGCTAAACTGTGCCTTCGATCCTTGCAGAACACGACGTCTCCATGGCAAAGTACAGCAGGCTACCCAAAAAGAGAGAGAATGAAAAGGTAAGATACTCCGACATCTTGGCACATTTGATAAGATGAATTTTATGTAATGAAAAATCCTCAACAGGGTACAGTTCTGTGAACATAAGAAGCTGCCTTATCTAGCTCCATATTGTTTACTCGGACTGGCAGCAGCTCTCCAAGATTTCAGACAAACTCTTAGCCTTCCCTGGAAGGGCTCAGCCTGGAGTATTTTGTGTGTAAAGCAGATACTTCACCATTGCCCTTTTCTAAATGCTAATATAGGATGTTTGAGATGGTTTTTGGAGCGGGGTGGGGAAGAAAGCTAAAGATTTTTTTAATACATATGCAAACAACCCCAATGTGGTGAATGGTGTATATACATCTTCCACATGATAGGTACAATTCTGAGAAGGGTGAGGTGCACAGACTGTTATTGACACCCAAGTCACTTCATAATGAATCGCTATAACACCAGTCAGGAAAGACCTACATTGGCTACCAGTACGTTTCTGAGCACAATTCAGAGTGTTGTTGCTGACCTTAAACGGCCTCGGCCCAGTATCCCTGAAGGAGCATCTCCACCCCCATCGTTCAGCCCAGACACTGAGGTTCAGTGCCGAGGGCCTTCTGTCGGTTCCCTCATGGCAAGAAGTGAGGTTACAGGGAACCAGGCAAAGGGCCTTCTTGGTGGTGGCGCCCACACTGTGGAATGCCCTCCCTTCAGATGTCAAGGAAATAAACAACTATCTGACTTGTAGAAAACATCTGAAGGCAGCCCTGTTTAGGGAAGTTTTTGATGTTTGATATTTTATTGTGTTTTTAGTATTCTGTTGGGAGCCGCCCAGAGTGGCTGGGGAAACCCAGCCAGATGGACGGGGTATAAATAATAAATTAGTAGTAGTAGTATTGTCACAGTGGTTTCAGTGGCACTTGGGTGTCATTTAACTGCCTGCTCAATGCACTGCTGACCCCGTCTTGCAGTGGCACATCTGCTGATACTTGGCTGTTCCTTTCCTTTATCATTCAGCTAAAGGCGGAAGTTGCCAAAGAGGTAGCCAGTGCCCGGAGGAAGCAGCATCTCTCGTCACTACAGTATTACTGTGCCCTTAATGCTTTACAGTACCGCAAGAGAATCGCCATGCTGGAGCCCATGCTGGGATATACGCGCTCCCAGGTACATATCCTAGCTGCAGCATCTTGGGCAGCAAACCCTTCTTCGCTGCAGCTGAGCTGGTTTGGAAACCACTGAGCACTGTATGGTTCAGTTAAAAACTGGTGGCAGGACAAGCCCAGCGCTCCCTGACACGTCAGACCAAGGCTGCATCCACACCATACATTTAAAGCACTCTGATGCCATGTCCACAGAACGGACGATGGCAGGATCCCCAAGGATTTGCTGTTATGGGGAGCTGACTTCAGGCACCAGGCCCGTTGGCAGACCAGTTCCGTGTCACAAAGTGTCAGGCTTTGGGGGAAATCAGCTCCCTACCACGGGGCAGCCCAAAATAAGAGTTCTAACCAAGTCATTTATTCAGTAATTCACAGAGAACGAGGAAGGAATGCAGCCTTCCCAAAAATGGTGTTGCTCCAACTGAGCTCCCCCTTCCCTTCCTAGCAACAGCACTTCCCCTTATGGTGGCTGCCAGGGGCTAATTGTCTCTGAGTCCTTCACTCTTCAACTTTCAGCGCACACAGAGTTCTGGGAGAAGGGGTGTCAGATATGCTCTCCAGTGATAACGTGTCAGCTGGGTGCTCTCTCTCTGGCTCCCCCTTCTCTTCTCCCAACACCTCCCAACTCTTCTGTTCATCTGTCTCTGAGCTGTGACCTTTCTCAAACCACTGCTGTAATTCAATACTGCCTTCCTCTTCTCTGGGAAGTTCAGGTGGAGGGGGCGGGTGGCAGTCTCCACCATTCCTCCTCAGACTCGTCCCCCTCAGTCCAGTCCCTGGAACAAAGCTGTCTGCAAACATGACATGAAGGCTGGCCACCTCAACCGTCCCGCCTGGGAATCCCTTGCAGTGCCTGGAGACAGACAGTCAGGTTGTGTGTCCACAGCAGTGACCAGAGGAGAAATAAAACACTGAGAGGAGCGCAGGGAGAAGAAACATTCTGGTGCACCTGTAGCAGCAAAACCAGACGCCTTCGTCTGCCACAGTTGCGACATTACATGCCGCCAGTGTGGTGTAGTGGTTAAGAGCAGTGGACTCATAATCTGGTGAACCAGGTTCGATTCCCTGCTCCTCCACATGCAGCTGCTGGGTGACCTTGGGCTAGTCACACTTCTTTGAAGTCTCTCAGCCCTACTCACCTCATAGAGTGTTTGTTGTGGGGGAGGAAGGGAAAGGAGAATGTAGCCGCTTTGAGACTCCTTCGGGTAGTGATAAAGCGGGTATCAAATCCAAACTCCTCCTCCTCCTCTTCTTCTTCTTCCTCCATGTCTCTCCTGTGTTGGTCTCTACAGCCACAGCAGGCTCTGTAACTCTCCAACGGTTTGACTTTACCCCTGAAGGCGAACTCCTCCATTGTCTCCCAAGACAGACAGGTGCCAATAATAATCATGGAAGAGGGCATGGTTGACTGGAAAGGACCCTAGACAGAGTGTCCCATACTAAGCAACATTTTGTTGCAGGTTCACATGTCTTGTTCTCTTTCTAAGATGTAGACCAGAATGGGGAACCTTTGCTCTTCCAAATGCTGTTGAACTCCCACCAGTCCCAGCAAATATGGCCAATTGCCTGTGATGATGAGAGTTGGGAGTTCAGCAACATCTGGAGGGCCAAAGTTCTCCCTGCCCCTGATATACCCTACTCCCTAGCCAACAACTCCTTGACTCCCAGTATGAAAGACCAGATTGTTGGATCATATAAACCCCAGTGTCCCTCCTCCTCCCCTCGCATGTTACTGCAAGGAGTTTGCCGACAAAAATATTCAGGAGTTGTGTGTGCTCTCCCTCTTTTTATATTCTTCAGATTAAGTTTTTTAAGAAGGGAGCCGAGATGTTCACCAAAAAAATGGACAGCTTTCTATCTTCAGTCTCAAGCATGGTTGAAAGGTAATGGATCGTTCCAGCTTGCTTTTGCCTGTTTGCTCTTTTTTGCTGTTTCTGAGAATGATTGTGCTATGACTGGCAGCAAGCATGAGGTCTGACACCAGCAGTGGTAGCCAGGTGGGGCACTGGCCAGGGACCCCCATGGCTTGGAAGGACCCCTCACCTGCCCGACCCAGATGTGACGCCCTCCACAGCCTTCAGTGAATTTGGCAGCAGGGCTGCTTTTGAATGGGAGTCCAGCTTCGCTCCGGTTCAAAAGTACTGCTACCCCTACATGGCTGAAGTGTTGCCTGATGCTCAGTGGAGGACAGTGAGTGATGCTGTGACTGTCAGAGCAATGGCAGAGAGAGCCTGTGGTGCCCATGACTGGCCTAGGCAGGACTGCTCTCAGTCCTGGTTAGGGAGTAGGGGGTCTTATCATTGTCACCATGCCAAGGAGACCCCCCTTCCAAGTTTGGCACCAGCCTGGCAGCCAGATGATGCAAGTGTGTCTAGAAAACCATGTTGCTGCTTCTAGGATTAAAAAAAAACACACATGAAAGTGCACTCTTACATTTCCACTTGTCTCATTTTAAGTGCCTGGAGAAACATGTAAATTTTAATAAATTTTTAATAAATTGTTTGTTTACATTGTTTAATAAACATGTACATTTTAATAATTTTTAAATAAATTGTTACTACTTTTTAACAAAGTATTACTAATATATTGTGCATCTCCGATGAGGTGGCAAGGGAAATCTTGGGATCTGACTCTTTCTGAACTATTGAAACGCAGAAGAAGTGTTGAGAAACCAAACACATTTTGATAAGGTATGGTTCCCATATATCAGCTAGGTAAATAGAAGGGTTGTTCATCTCAGGCATCCCGCCACTCATGCTTACATATGGAGAAGATGTGTCACAGATAGTTGAAGCCTTGGGGGTGGTTCATTCAATGAACCCGTTATTTGACCGTGTTCCTGCTCAGTTCCTTATAGATGACTGATGTGTGCGTGTAATGCTCTGCAGATTTTGTTGCAGTTCGTCCATGCCATTTTATTATAAAACCAATCAAATATTCTAAAGAAGAGAAAGGAACTGTATGCTCAGCATTCGTCGGACAGCCTAAGCAAGCAGGCTATGGCCATGAAGTGCTTTGACGTTTATTCTCTCCTGTAGCGTACAGGGAGAATTGGACACTGAGGCAGAAGCTATGCGGGTATCTCAGCAAGATCTGCTTTCGGTTGGCGAATCAGTGTACACGCCTGACTTCGACGCAGCGTCGCCTCTCATCAACAGAAACCTGATTCAGAAGGCTGGCTACCTTAACCTTAGAAAGTAAGGAAGATTCCTGGGAGGGAGTCATGCCTTGGCATGGTAGACGGGCTAGTACTCTAGCTAGTTCGGTGGGTTTTCAAAATTGGGACCTAAGGTTCCTTAAAGTAAAATGCTACATCTAGTACCTCAGCTTGGGGGGGGGGGAGGTTATGTGGCCCTCCACGCCTCCTTTTCTGGACCTCAGAACTCTCGCCAACCCTCTCCACGTCTTTCTCAAGTGCTGATGCCTGAGATCTTTCCTGTTACCCTGGAGATGTTGAAGGATTGAACCTGACTTCTGCATATGCGAATCACATGTCCCTTCCCCCCAAAATGTACGATGCAGCAGTGCCAGAAAACCAAAGAGCTGAAAGAGAGTAAAAGCAGCTACTAGTACCTGTCGTGATGTCCCTTGTACTGTGGGATCATGAAAAGTCCCTGCACGTGCTTCTGCCACAGTACAAAATTCAAGTCCCTCAAGATGCCTTGCTGACATTACGAAAAGATAGCGGGAGTCTTAAAATGTGTGCGGTGAAGGGGGTGGGTGGGATTTGACCTTAGAAAACACACGCTGCTCGGTTCCCTTTCCCGAAAGGATTGTTTTTTGGCCATGAGGAGTGAATCCTGCTGCTTTGCTGCTGGTGTGAGGGTGACACCAAAGCTCTGGTCTTTTCCTACAGCAAAACAGGCCTGGTGACTACAACTTGGGACAGGCTGTACTTCTTCACTCAAGGTGGGAACCTGATGTGCCAGCCCAGGGGAGCCGTCGCCGGGGGACTGATCCAGGATCTGGACAACTGCTCTGTGATGGCAGTCGACTGTGAAGACCGACGTTACTGCTTTCAGATCACCACTCCTACAGGGAAACCGTATGTGTCTTGGGTCTTCTGCTAGGGAGCAACTACCCTACCCAAAACGAGGGCTTGCGTCTTTCAGTCTGGCTGCATTAACTGAGTTGCCTTGAGCATAAGCCTCCCCTTTAGGGAGGTCTCTAGTCACCTAAATAAATTTTTTTGTGAGGGTGGAGGAAGCTCCACTGAGTTTCTGGGAGTCCTTGCACTGCCTTCTGCTAGCTCCATCAAGATAGCTGAATACATAGCCTGTTAGTTGGCTATGTAGTCTCTGCTTCAAAACCTCTAATGGGGCAAGGAAAGAAAATGATGGGGTGGTTTTTGTTTTCTTTTACAGAGGGATAACCCTTCAGGCAGAAAGCAAGAAAGAATATGAGGAGGTAAACACATTTCACTTTGTTTCTACTCAAGAAATTAAAATTCCAGAACTAAATTGAAATCTCTGGCGTTTCTCTTTCTTGTTTTCCTCTTCCAGTGGATATGTGCAATCAACAACATCTCTCGGCAGATCTATCTTACTGACAATCCTGAAGTAAGTAGGTTTTGAAATGAAATGCTTTGATAACTCAAACAAGCCCCTCACCCCAGATACAGTAAGATCTGTGATTCAATGTTTGCTTTAAGGCTGTGCCTCTGCTTTGCTTCAGGCTGTTGCCATCAGGCTGAATCAGACAGCGCTGCAAGCCGTGACGCCAATCACAAGCTTTGGGAAGAAGCAGGAAAACCAATCCCCCAGGTAACATTTTAGCCATCTTAGTCTGGAGAGGTTTGGATGCTCCTTCCGCAAAGAAAATTAGCACCTCAGGAAGAAGGCCAGTCTAACTTTTGACGTGTTGGCATTCTGCAAGCATCGCAGTTTTGACAGAGGGAGCAAGTGTTCCCCCACTGTGTTCTGAAGCGGTCCCTTACATGAAAGGCTCTTCCACAAGTTTCCTGAATGGATAGCTCAGCTGTTACATTCTAATCTACACGTGGTAGATAACTGCTACCTGCATCATGCAGTTTCATGTGCAAATTGGATCTTAAGCAGTCCCAACTCTGGGTAAACACCCTTATTGCAGATCTTAGACAAGTGCCAACAGTAACAACATCCAGCACCTATTAAAGATGCATTGCCGGTGCCTTATTTCAGTGGGTTGTGTTCCTTCATTTTATCTTAGCCTAGGCAGAGTTATCTTTCGGATTCTCATCTTTTCCTTTATTGTATGGTGATTATAAGATTGATGTTGTTTATTTTGTTGTGCATTGCATCGGATAGTGGTAGCCAACATAAATGCATTAGGTGGTGTCAGGGAACTGCCATCGGAGCTAGAGGTGGAGGGAAGGCTCCAGAGGGATGCCGGAGAGGGTCCCAGTAGGGAGAGAGGCAGCCCATCTGCTGGGGAAGGAAATCAGCGTAACACCAGTGGAGAAGGGGGGCAGATGGGGGAATCGGAGAGGAGGCTCTAAGACTCCTCGCCGGAGACCAGCGGAGAGAGTACGGGTACTTCGCTGCCCACACCCTCCCTGTGCAGAAGACTTCTGCGCAGGGAGAGTAGGAGGAGACTTGGCGTCAAACAGCTTTTATGCTGGAAAAGGTTCAAGAAACGCCCACTGACGGATTCTGCCAGCGACTGAGACAGTCACGATGCTGGAGGCTGTTCAGTCAGTTTAACCAGGTAACCTCGCCGGCAGTGGCGGCAACTTACGCACGAGCAACCCCTAAACCCATTACAGGTGGCTAGGTGGCTCTCGGTACTTGGGAACCCCGCACAAGGGATTTTGACAGGTGGGCAGTACAACCCACCTGTCCATCAAGAGATGCCATGTGATTGACAGGTGGATTGTCCTGTAAAAGCTGACCCCCCCCACCCTTGCATTATGATTTAGTTCCTGGTTGTGATGTCTTAGTTCCTTGTTTAAAACACATTTTAACTATCCAGAATTGGATGTTATTGGTAAGGATGTTTAAATGTCAGCTCAGACCCTGACTGAATGCTCACTCGTCCGTTCTCACCCAGGTTTTCATTTCTAGGAATCCTTCCTCCCTTCCAGCTCTCACAGCGCTGTCTTTCTCATATGGGGCCATGTTCTCTGTCTCTCTCCTTTTGCTTTAGCCAGGATGTGAAGAATGTGGAGATGCAGAATGACTGGGCAGCCCCAAACGAGCCGGCCAGCATTCCAGAACCCACTGAGTTAATTGCACCCGGAACACCAATTCAGTTTGACATTGTGCTTCCCGCAACAGAGTTCCTGGATCAGAACAGGGGTGGCAGGTACAGCCAGCGAGAGTTTGACAAAGTGCTCCCTTTCGCATTTGACTCCTTCTCTTAGGTTGGTGAAGTAGCCATAACTCCTGCCCTGTGTGTATTTTAACAGGCGCACAAACCCATTTGGAGAGTCAGAAGATGGCAAGAAAGAGGATGAGGCAGGTGAGAACTGGCTGGGGATTGCTGTTCATAAACTTCAGTCTTGTTGAGCCCCAAAGCTGTCTAAAATTACAAGGTCTATTGTAAATTTGATCCATGGGGTAAACTCTCTTCAGTCACAAATGGTGCCCCAAGCTCCACTTTTTAGGTGCGACCATGGTCTGTGTCAAAGAGGGGAGACCCTGTGGCCAGATACTGATAGCCTGCAGCTTCCACCATCCTTGACTATGCTGGCTGGGGCAACAACATCTGGAAGGCCACAGGTTTCCCCATCCCTGGTTTGTCTTGTGAAGAACATCCCCCATTCCCGCAGGTGGCCAAACGCTTCTGAGCGCTCACAAGCAGGGGGCAAGGGGATAATGGAAAACTGTAGCACTCTTTGTTGTTATTGGACTCCAACTCCCATCAGTGCCCTCTAGCTTGGCCAGTAGTTAGGGATGATGGGAGCTGGAGTCCAAGAATATACAGAAGACCAGAAGTTCTGCATCTCTGCCCTACAAGATTAGACCCATTCACACTTTCCCATCACTGCTTGAAATCAAGAAGTGAGCATCCATAAACAGGAACCTGCCATGAGAACATTTATGTTGAAGAAGAGAAAGCAGCATCCAAGGGGGGGGAAATCAGATGTCCTATTAACTCGAGAGGCAGGATAAACAAGGAGAAAGTTCCTCTTTTTTATTTCCTTTCCCCCAGATTCGCTCTTGCAGCAGATGTTTGTAGTCCGTTTTCTAGGATCGATGGCAGTCAAATCCGACCACACGGTTGAGGTGATCTACGAAGCCATGAGGCAGGTGCTGGCGGCTCGGGCCATCCACAACATTTTCCGCACAACGGAATCCCACCTCTTGGTCACCAGCAACGACCTGAAGTAAGCAAAACTTCCTCGCTTGCTTTCTTCTTCTGCATGGTCTGCATTGATGTGAGGTCTGATGAATCTGTGAGCTGATCCTGTGAGCGGGCTGGAACTCATGAAGAGGGTACTCTTGGTACTTGCTAAGGCCAGCGGGAGGAGATAGCCTTTGCTGATGTCCTGCTCCCCTGTGTCCCTCCAGAGGCCTAGGTGTCCCTGACGGATGTGAGAGGAGATAGCTCCTCTTCCCTGGTTATTAGGAACCTTTGCTGGATCCAAAGACCTTCGGTTCATTAGAATTCAACTCCTAGTTCTCACAGGCTACAGCACCTTTAATCCCTACCTCTTTTGGAAGTAACTATCACTGAATCCTATCACTGGGGGGACACGGCTGGCGCTGTGGGTAAAACCTCAGAGCCTAGGACTTGCCGATCGTATGGTCGGCAGTTCGAATCCCCGCAGCGGGGTGAGCTCCCGTCTTTCGGTCCCAGCTCCTGCCCACCTAGCAGTTCGAAAGCACCCCTAAGTGCAAGTAGATAAATAGGTACCGCTTATAGCGGGAAGGTAAACAGCGTTTCCGTGTGCTGCGCTGGTGCTGGCTCGCCAGAGCAGCTTCGTCACGCTGGCCACATGACCCGGAAGTGTCTTCGAACAGCGCTGGCTCCCGGCCTCTTAAGTGAGATGAGTGCACAACCCTAGAGTCGGACACGACTGGCCCATACGAGCAGGGGTACCTTTATCTTTACCTTTATCACTGAATCCAGCTACAAGTGTTACCGATAACGCTAGTTTCTGAAATACTTGCTTTCAAGGAAGCATATCTAGGATGGAAGGGTCAATCAAAGAATCTCTCAACAGTGATAGTGAACTGGTAACCTTTCAAGTGCTGTTCGAGTGCTATCAGCCGTGGCTAGTGGTCAGGAATAATTACCTTCCATCCAACATGTGGAGGGCTAAGAACCACAGGGAAGGGAAGCTTTTTGTTGTAGGATGAGACGTAGTGGAATGACATAATAGTACATGACATAATAGAAAACCATCACGTTGCTTTTTCATATTGCACTTTTAAGGTCTGGTGTGTGTGTGGTTTTGCATATACAGTCCAGGGAGTGGGTGGGAATAAATACAGAGACGGGGATAATGGCTATCATCAGCCTAAGTTAACTTGCTGAAGGGTTACAATAATTAAGGATTGGAGGGGGGACCTTAAGGGGGCAACCTTAGAAACTAAATAGATCAATGAAGACTGAGAATGTTTAGCAGCCACAGAATGATGAATGCTTGTTGGAGAGGAAAAATGGAAGAAGAACACTTGCTACCCTCCCCTCCCCGGTTGTGGGAATGGAGTAATCTGGAAAAGGGCATGGCTGGTTAAGGGCATCTAGCAATCTCTACTCATTTTTCCTTTTCTCACAAGTAGCATATGAAGATGTGTCAGCTTAAGGCCCAACTTTCTTGAGCCAGATTAGGGCTCCTGTACTTTCTCTGCTGTTAAATCTTGTGAAGAGGACCTAATCTACTTTTTTTCCTCCCCTTTACACTAACAACAGATTAATAGATCCGCAAACCCAAGTTACGAGGATAAGTGTAAGTATATTCTTCCATTTCTCACAGTACAGAAATGGCAGTCAGGGCTTTAAATGCCAAGTTGCCAGCTGGGGAAGTTGTTAAATGTTTACCTGCTTTAAGTCTTTAAAATTGTGAAACCCGTTTTTCCAGTTTGAACTTGCCAGTGTGACACAATTTGCTGCTCATCAAGAAAACAAGAGACTGATTGGGTTTGTGGTTCCCATCTCCGAGTCCCCAGGTGAAGAGTCCATGAGTGCTTACGTATTTGAGAGTAACACCGAAGGCGAAAAGGTCTGGAGATGCTTTTCGTTGCATGGTTTTTAGAATACATTTTGTTCTAATTGTAGTCATCCGTAATAAGTTTTTAGTGGGCATTTAGTGAGTTGAGTCCATTTGCTTTGCTTAGTTTGCACGCGCACACACACATACACTCTCCCCAAATATTCCTTAGCAATTCCCTTGATCCATTGCCCACTTGCTTAACCCTGTTGTGACCACATTTATAGACACATAAGATTCTGAAAGAGAAACATCAGAGTTTATTTGTTATTACCTTATGCTGCACTGCTTCGCCATACATGTTTGGCCAGCAACTGGCTAAACTTCCACAAAGCCTATCTCCTGGTCTCAGCTTACTGTCTAGATCTGCTACCACATACTTCTGCTTTCCTGGTGCTCTAACCTGGGTCCTAGGATAACAGAAAAATTTCCTAAGGCTGATCTCTGCTTCTTCTGCAGATTTGTTATGCGATAAACCTCGGGAAAGAAATCATTGAAGCTCGCAAGGTAATGTTTCACTCTTCCTATCTATACAGTACTGAATCTTGCTTTTAAGCCTAAACTCTGGCCTCTGATGGGTGCCTGGATGCCAGCACTTTGCTTACCAACCAGTTCAGTCCCACCTGTGCTTAAAAAGAAAGGTAAGGGGGGAATTAAAAAATTGTAAGGGGCAGGAGGCCCATAGGTGGTTCTATGTTGGGGATCCCAGAACAATACAGTGAATGGGACAAATGCAGGAAGCGATCGTGGACGATGAAAAAATCATGACAGAGGCAACGCAGGTAAATTAAGTCAGGGCCTCAAGTTGTGTGTTAACCTGCCACCCAAACAGGAACTTTAACTGTCTGGGGTTCTTCTTCTACTGTTACTTGTTTGCATCCATTTCAGGTCTTCCTGTACATATTGAGAAATGCAAGTTTCTGCACCGACATTAAATAAAATGCATTTAAACATAAATTGAATGACAAAGGACTTAACTATTAGTTTCTCTGCATTTTTCAAGTACACGTTAACTAGCAGAGCATGTTGTACCCATAAAGCTCACAATATCAACCCAGTAGGGTAAAGAGTTTACAAATACCATTTTAGCTATATATAGGTGCTGGCAGGTACATCACCTTGCCCCTGCAATTGAAGGGGCCCAGAGCTGCGCGATATCACCATGCCATGTGCACCTGTGCTGCGCAGCTGCCAGAGATTTGTGGGGGGGGCACAGTCCCACATAGATTGTGTGCCTGGGTGTCGGCACATTGAAAATGAGCTGCAATTTCAACTTTGTTTTTGCAGCATACTATATAGCCAATCCAAAGCACGCAAGGATCCTCATTGTGGAATGAAGCTTGCTTTAATCTAGTCTTGTCAATTCACTGTTTTTATCATCTTGACTTAGAACTCATTTAAGCAGTGTGATCTAGTGTTGTTTTAAAAGCAGGCAACGAATTAGGTTGCTGAGAACTGAGGCCCCCCGATGATAGATAATTGCAGACCGTTGGATAACTATTCCAATGACTCTCATTGTGTTTTCATTATAGGATCCGGAAGCACTAGCTCAGTTAATGTCATCTGTGCCACTAACCAATGATGGGAAGTTCGTGCTCTTGAATGAGCAGTCAGAAGAGGACAACACAGTACAGGGAGATGGGCAGGAGGAGTCAGAAGCATAAGCTGTATTTTTTTTTAAAGTAGCAGTGGTGTTGCACATAATAGCCCACACTCTCTCAACTATCCAATGTGAGTACTTAAGAGATAGCATGTGGAGAGCTTGGTCTGGATTTCTGGTGTGGTAAACTGACAGTCTTTGAAATTCTTTCCCAACATGGTCACTTAATGATTGCTACCAGTGATAGTTAAATGTGTTTGCTTCTGTGTGAAGTTTTTAGGCTCTGTTGTACTTCTGAGAGGGATAACAGGAACACTATTTTGAGCTAGGCTGTTTACAGATCTATTTGATAAATCACTTTCCTATTATCTATTTTTATACTTTAATACTGAAAGCTTACTCTAGATAATATCTCTCTTAAGTGCCTACCATTTTTGCAGGGACCATACTTGTAGATTCAGTAAAGCAGGCACTCTGCCCTAGAATGAGGTGGCAGGTAGACTAGCAGCTACTTGCATTAACCTCCTCATACATCTCAGCCTCTCACATGAGCCAACTAAACATTTTCTTTTTCATACTGATCTACAAGGTTGAGTTAGTGCCCTAACACAAAGGAGGCTTGCTCAAGAGTAAGCTCAGTTCAGTGTGGGGGTGGTTGTTTATAACCTAGATGGAGGCAGCCTGAGATGCACTTGTGCGACTTAGAAATGAAAGCAGATATCAAGGCTGCATGGCTGTCCATACAAGGACCAATCTAAGCCTAATATCGTCTGTATGATCTTACCAGTGTGACATTGATGCTTCTGGGGTGAGCAGTACTGTAGTGGGAGAAGTTCTATCTTACTATCTTAAATTCAAGTAACATTCAAGAACAGAGCCAGATCTAATGAAGTTCACCTGATTCCCCAACCCTGGTGGATATTTTTAATGTTAAAATATGTTTTAATGTTAACAAACAGGGTCCACATTTTGCAATGCAACTATTTAGCAATAATGCTAGAGTAAAGTCTTATTTGAACTAAACTGAATGGTGTGAATGTTTGGAACTGTGGTTGCTTAACTTGTCCTGGCTTCAGAAAAGAGGACATAAACATTCTAACAACTCTTCCTAAGCATGAAACTATAGCATTTGCACTATAAAATCTCAGGCTCTTCTTCTGGTGTCAACATGCCATCTGAAAGATGCAACTTTTTAGCTGCTTTATGAACTAAAACCAGTCTCAGACTAAGTACACACGAAGTAAAATAAATCCACTTTCCAAAGTTACATTTATTAACAGTATGTACAGAATATCAAACAGAACAAAAGAAACCTGAGATAATGAAACAAAATGGTTTTGCAAAATGAATTAGAGCAAGACATGTTAATATTTGGTCCCCTTCCTTCCTGAGAATTTGAACTAACTGAATCAGATGGGACTCGTCAAATTTACTTCAATGACAACATGTAGCAGGACTCAAACATACAAGTGCACAGTCAAAAAGTATTATGATAGCATTGCTGTATTGACCCATTTTACCACTCCTGCTAGGCTAGTAAGCTTATTATTAACAGTCATTTTAAGCCTACGAAATGTTTGCTCCCGGGGTTTGTTCTTCACTTAGACTTTTGTTAGAGGAAGAGGCTTATAGGTCCACATCCTGTTAATTCATGAAGAGGAAGATCCTGACAATTCAACCATGCGCAAGAATTTGAAAAGAAGACTTCCCTTTATTTCTGGCTTTTGCAAACAGCCTATGAAAAAGTGGCCAGCGGTGTTGCTTTCATGTTTGAAAACAGCATTTAAAGGTGGGAAGGGTAAAGGAAAAATAGTACCTCGGTATCTTTTTAGTGCCGCTGTTTTTGCTTTTAACATAGTTGCAGGTATTCACAATTTTAACCCATCCCATGTACATAACTGTGTGATGAAGTATAAGATCCTATGCCATGGCACCAGAAGGAATGTATTACTACTTGCTCAAAAAAAAAAAAAAAATGTAAACTGAAAGTCACATTAAAGACTTAAAACTGTTCATCTATTAAATTGGTTTACATGATGAAAAATGTTCAGAGTGCAGTTAACTACCATTCTATATTCACAAAGAAAGCCATAGGACTGTACATATGTATATATTCACAGAAGCAGAGCATGTACATGAGTTTAGACCCCAATGAAGGCTACAGATGTTTGTTTTTATGAGTCACCAAGACCATGTTAGTTTGGTTAGCACTGCACAATTCAGGCACGTAGGATGCCCTAAGCTAAGGATTCCCAAATTAGAGGCCAAAAAAGCAGAAATGGCAATGAATATTTATTATAACAGAGAAGTGCCTTAAATTTACATGTTTGTACAGTGTCAGTCTCTGAAAGACAGAGACTGGCCCTCTAAGTTGGCATGTTCTTTGGATTCCAAAGGTCTATGAACTATGACAGATTTTTCAATGGGGACATTAGTGCTGAAGTGAATACAGACAGAATTAAGCAGCAACTGCAATGTCAAGGTTGTGATTAAATCAAATGCAAAGGATTTTTTTTAAAAGTTATTGAACTGAATCAAAATAAGACACCAAATCTCCCTGACAAAAATCATACATTAGGCTAAAGAACAGACTTCAGTGAAATGTCAACAGAAAGGATGAATTGTAATTTTTTTTTTTTGAGTTGTGAGAGTATGAGTTACTCTACAGTCATGGCACTTCTGGGTCACTATCAGATTCAGAAGGTGAAAAGTTCCATGCCAGTTTGGTCCCTTCTGTTTCAACAAATCACCATTGCTCTATATGTCTATAAAACAAAGCAAAAAAAAAAAAGAGTTGAAGATGTATTGCATATTCTGTTCGTATTTTAACATGTTAAGCAGCTCCAACAATTCATATTAACTTCCTTTGCAATAAGAGATGGCAAATACAATGGTGATTCCTTACAAACCAGGAAGGAAGCTATAGCAGGTAAACACTTCATTCTGTCTAACCACGGCTGCACCAATCACCTGCTAGTTTTGCTTCTTTCCTTTTTGCTCAAACTAGCAATTTTGGTAGAGCAGAAGTTTATCTTAAAAGCCACTCTGATGATGATGATATATTTAAGAATATATCACCTTATTCCCTGAGGGGACTCAAGGTGGATTACAGACAGAATTGATTAAAAAGCAATGAAATATTAATGAAATTTAAACTATATACATGTATAAAGTCTGTTTAAAATGTCATGCCAATATCCACCAGTTTTCTTCCTGTTCTGCACCATTCCAACCCCCGCATCTGCTCGGCCTGGGTTATCACCACTTCCTCAGATTAGTAATCGGGAATCACATCATGGAGGGACCAATACCACAGTGCTAAATTCCAGCGTGATATTATCCCTGGCAACGTGGGAGCAGCTTAAAGAAGTGAACATTTTTCCGAGACCGCCAAAAGATCTGCAGAACACAGGGAGTTATTTCAGCTTAAGCGTAATTGTTATTCTCAGTGATCACCAGTACACTTTTACAAATTTGGGGCTGCATAATTACATCGTACAGAATCAAAAGGCATACCAAGGCTCTCATTTCACAACAGGATCTGCAGAACTAGAGTTGGACAGGTCCCCATTGCTTGTTTTTCCAGGTTCTTCTGAAATACAAAAGAGGTAGAACGTCACAAGAATTTTATATTCTCAGCACTGCTTTTACAATGCTTTTGTTTTTAACCACAAACATGACTTTCCCAGAGACAAGATGATTAATTTTTTTACTAACCTCTGTCTTTTTTCTCTTGATTTTCTTCTGCTGCAGTTTTATCGGCTCTAAAAAAGATCCTTGCGCTGCTTAGTGAGAAATAAAGCAGTTCAAACTCCTATGAAAAATTAAAGAAATTCTCAGCAAGTCTTAGCATGCCACAGAACAAGAATCTTCACAGTACCTGATTAAAGTGCACTGATACCAGAAACCCCCTAAAAAACAATTGCAGTGCTTCCTAATTTTTATCTGCACTATCAATTGCACTGGTTTTTTATTGATCAAATACGGGGAAAGGCAGAACCACACTTTCAAATCAAAGTTTGCTTCATACCTGACACACTACTAGTAATTTGGTCATTTCCACTTTGTCTCTGCAGGTTGTTTTTTTATAAAAAAATAAATAAATCCTGCAGACCTTTCCTTCCACAATAACTATTTACAATCCCATAAACTTAATGTCTGCTACAAATGTCACTGTCCTAAAAAGCAGCACGTCAGTAAATATCCATTTCCTGTCCCCCTCAATTCTACTCAGAAATCAGTGGTTCTCAAGACTTCCAAATGAGTGGTTCTCTCATTTGGAATCCCCACACTTTACTTGTTGAGGATCCCCAATTCCAAATCAAAATTTTTAAGTTTATCATCAGCTAGTAATAAAGCATGTATTTGGCTGGATGTTGTAAAGGTGCCGCTCTCTCTGCCTAACTGCAGCCTATTCTTCATGCTTACAGGGTTACATCGAAGGGTAGATTCAGGTGTGATGCCCACTAATTAAATGTTAGGGGGAAAGCTCTTAGGGGGAAAAGTTATCCAAAAAGGAGACATGTTTGCTGTCTGGCATTTCTATGTTCTTAAATATTTATATATATATGTGCCTCCCACCACCTTTCCCTGCTCTCTGACAGAGACTGATACCTGCAAACAAACTTCCAGTCGCTTGTGAGTAAGGTTCATAGTCTGTAGCAGCTTTTCATCTTGGACAGCTGATTGAACGTTCTGTTGTTTTGCTAATGCTCTGATCTCTCTCACGTATTTCTCTCGAACTGACTGGAACCAATGGAGAGAGTCAAATTCTTGGTACTGGTCCAAAAGCTTCAGAATGTAAGCTACACCTACAGATTAAAAAAACAAACAAAAAAACAAGTCGTTCAAGTTAAGCACCCCATTCTTCAAAGCAGTAAAAATTTACAAACGTATTCTGCGCATGTACATCAAACAGGTCTTTGATCATTAAAATCAGAATCATTTTCTCACCAGCTCAATTTCCCCCCTCTCTACAAGTCTTCAGAGTTGTATGCTTGTTATACAATGCTTATATAGTGGTACGTGTCAATATTTATTCATTTACATTTTTAAAAAAGCTGGTTTTCTGCCCACAGAAGGCTCACAATCAGGTTTGCATCTCTGCCCATAGGGGAAGAGAGTGCGGTGAAAATTTGAAAAGGGTAGCAAGGGGCCAATTTTTCAAAATCCTCTCTCCAATCTGCTTTGGGGATCACTTAAGCAAGTGAGTGCAGTTGTTTGTGAGAGAAGAAACTTCACCTGTGAAACATTTGCCTGAAGCACTTGAATGCACTTGAATCCATTACAGATTGAAGAAAGCAAAGCCTTCATCATCATCATCCGCTGAGGTAACTCCATGGGGAAAAACTCAGTTCTCTACCCCCCACCCCTCACCTCAACACTGCACACTGACCACCTAGCTAAGGATGCATCTTTTCTGAATCTTGTGGGGCGCACTTTGAATACACTTAGCTGAGAGCTATATATGATCACATATGAAGATACTTCATACATGTCAGATTTTTTAACCAACTAGAACAGTTCTCTGACTGTCAGTAACTCTCCAAGATCTCAAGCAGATATATCCTTTTCACAATTCCACTAGCGCAGATCCTTTTGACTGGAGAAACCAGGGATTAAATGTGGATTTTCTGCATGCACAGCTTGTGCTCTGCCACTGAACTATGGCCCCTTCCATACAAAACCTCAAAACCTGCAATTTATGATAGTTACCCATGCAAGAAGACTCAATATGGTTCCTGAACTCACCCATGGCAAAACCATCATCGGTGAAAGCTGCACCAGCTTTGTTCTTCTTATTCAGCTTCTCCTTGCAGCTGATTGAATGCTCTATGAAGTTGAGAGCCTAAAAATAAGACATAAGGAGGGCAGTAAGTTATCAGGTGTTATTGGGTGACACAGCTCTTCTGTCATCCCATTACTTGAGGAGAGGTCTTCATGAATTCATTCAAATTCAGAGCACATCCTACCCGTCAGTCAAATATGATTTTTTCCCACAGGCCCAGACTGATAGCCCCCTTTTCTCACCAGATTTTTCAGATGGGGAGTTTGGGAGAGCAAAGGTTGCCCATGACAGAATGTGGTGTTCTCATACAATAATTGCTAGCTGTCTGGAGATTTACAGCCCCTTCTAGAGCAGTATTTAAACATTCTCCAAATATATATATATTACAAATCCCCTCAAGCATTTTTTTTGGGGGGGAGCAGGAGTATTTTTAAAAAAATATTTGTTATTCAAGATTATTTATATCAATATCAGAGTCTGATTAACAATTCATCTAGCCAGTCACTTGGTGTCCATCTGCTCATTCAGACACAAGTATTTCCCAGCCGTGTTAGCATTCCTTGTTAAAGGGTTTCAGGTAATGGTTCAGCCTGTAACTTTCTACATGAAAAGGACGTGCTTTTTATGGATATCAGTACAACAATGGCATATAACATGCCCCCCATACCTTAGTAGAGGGGGGGCAATTCATATGGTGATTTAATAAACTTACTGCAACCTTACAAGAAATTACCAGTTTTAACACAAGCACATCCTGCATATGTAACTAAATAGCTTATTGTTTAAACCAACCAAGAAAGATCAAAACTAACCAATGGTGGAACAATTATGTAAAAGTTGCGTAGGTGCATGTTCTTTGAACTGCGAAACTCAGGAGCAAACACATCCACAAGCATTTTGAAATACTCCGTGCCTTCTGCAGAATTGCGTGTGAGATCACTAAGTACGGAATCCAGTTGCCTATAAAAGAGAGATACACTTGAAAATGCTTTGAGGCGGTTTTTAAAGGAACAGTTTGTGCAAGAATTTTGTCGATGCATCAAGTAAGGTTACCTGGCTGCTTTTTGTGTTTCTTCAGCAAGACCTTCCTCTTTCACAAGTTCTTCAAAATTAATGATATCTTCAATATCAGGAACAAACCTACAAGTTTCATATGCGATTCACTCATTCACAATTATATATCATGATTTGTATAAAAACGCTAACTTAAGCTTCGTATTTCTTACATTACTTCTGTTCAGATCTTTATCACAAGCTTGCTTTTATTTTTACACTATGACCAAAGGTTTGCTTTCTAAAAAAGAACCCTGACCTCCACACTGCTTGATTCTCTGGCTCACAAATCCCATGGAATGACTTTCTAGTCTAACCAAGAAGAAAAAAGAATATGGCAAGGATGAGCATGATTTGGGGGGAGGGAGGAGTATTACATAGTGTATGCAAACTATCAAGATTGCTCTGTTACAGAGAGGATAGCCTTGCATAATACTTTACATTGAATCTATATATAACCTCACACAGATTTGATCGAAATAAAACTGTATCCCTATCCAAATCTGAAAAGACATACAGTCGTACCTTGGAAGTCGAACGGAATCCGTTCCGGAAGCCCGCTCAACTTCCAAAACATTCAAAAACCAAATTGCAGCTTCTGATTGGCATGAAAATAGGTTAGAGGTGCATGTGGTCTGTGGGATACAGGCTCCCCACTTTGCTTTACAGAAGCATAGACAAGCAAGCTGAAATCTTTGGTTGCATACCTAATTGCACTACTACAGCAATGAAGTCCACCAGATCTTATCATTCGGACGTAGCCCATGGCATTCCCTTTAAAAATAAAATATATAGGCAACAAGAATAAGTACCTGAAATTAAGTAACCGAGCATTCAGAATTTAATGACACTAAGTCCATTTAGAAAGTTAAAACCTGTTGGAGACAGCTGATAAAGCTGCATCTCCTCTCCACCCCCCCACAATACTATTTCATCTGTAAATAAACAAGTCATATTGGGAGAATACACTGGCAACCATAAGTAGTGCCCTTTACAGAATGTGTTATAGTGAAGACTAATGTGCATATTAGCACTGTATAGCCAATGCGTTTAGTTAATCTAGTCCATTGCAATTTGTTAGACTTCAAAGTACATACTTGGTTTTGGCCAGGTTGTGCTCACTGTCTTTTATAATTTAATAAAGTGAACAGAATGTTAGGTTTCAGGGTTGAAATAACTACACCAGGGATGTCCAACAGGTTGATCACAATCTACTGGTAGATCCCCGGGAGGTTTTGGTGGATCGTGGTCAATCACTGGGTCCCTTTCATTAGCTCCCTCGCCCCACCCGCCACTGTTGCACGATATGCAGAACAGATGACAGAGCTTACTGAGTGAGGCTGTTTGCTGTTCTTCTTTCCCCCAACCCCCCCGCCTAAAATTGGGGCTTTCCTCTTCCCTAAAAAAAGCTCAACAACAAGGAAGCTTGTGTTTTTTGGTCACCTACCCTGCCCCAACTTTGACCAGCTACTTTTGAAACTGAAGGAACTTCCCAAGTGATAGAATATTGGAACTGCTGTTCCAAGGGGGGAAAATGTAAACAAGCCCATTAGGTATGCCCAGTCCCACCTGATAGCTTTTTGGATTCTAGCAATATATCTCAAAATAGTGTTTACAATATATTTTCATACCTATCTGACTTATTAGTTGCCTGAACTGGTCAAGGTAACTTTGTCCATCAGGTGTAATTCCAAGTTTCCTGATCCCTCGGTTGAATTTCTCTGCTCTCTCAAAGGGGTACTAGAAAAATTATTTTAAGATTGAAGAAATACAGTAAGTAACTTGAAATACCTTTGTCAGCCCCATTGTATTTTTCCAAACACCCAAACACTTTTGTTCTTCTAAAATAGTAACCCCTAGCATGCTATATAAACCAAAATAATGTAAAATTCGAAAGCAAATATCAATCTCTCTTGGAAACACATTTTAATAAGATCCGTTACCTTGCAAAACATTTTAGAACATTCAAAATGTGAGTTTTGCAGCTAAAGAGAGATGCACAACTATATTTTAGACATATATTGCTTCTGTGCATTTAGGCCAGTAAATGGAACCTGCAACAAAATGCTACAATTTATCCTCCCTCCTAACATGAGCAGGTTTGTGTAAATAGGTGGATCCTCCCTCCAAGCACAGATTCTATCCCCATGTTCCATTTTTCTTTTCCAATCATTGAGTAATTCTGTGGTTACTCAATGAATTCATTAGGCTATTTGAGGGTTTTCCAAACCCCAAGGTTCCTCCTCGTTTCCCAGTGGCCCAATTTTGGATACAATCCTGATAGAATTCACCGCCAAACTCACTATCAGAAGGAGTGGCGTTGAAGGAAAATAAAAACCAGGCTTTTATAATTATATTTACATGGGCATTGTTTATCTCAAGAGAGATTCAAATCAACTATCAATCTTGTAGTTCTTAGCAATGGTTTCACAAACAACATACCTTGTGGTCATTTTGATCTTTAACTTCCCGAAAGAATCTGATATCTTTGATCAATCTGGATTTGATGTGCTCGTCATACATGAACTGGCTGAAGATATAAAATTTCTTTCTCAGAAACTGGTATGTGAAATTTACCTGAAGAAAAGTAGGGAAAAGTACAGTATGAAGACGACTGATGCCCCCCATTAGAAGACATTTCCCCAGTGACTTGTGATACTGATCCCAAGACTCAAAACCATCAATAGCTCACTTATAATGTTACAGTCCTACCCAAGTCAATATGTTTTGGTACACTGAGCATTTGTTAATCTGAAGTTATTGTGTGAATAAGTGAACAGCAGAAGGCATTCTTAGCTGGACAAAGAATCCTAGATAGGACATGGGAGAAAAAAGTCTCATCAGGAATTGGGGCTTACACATCAAAACTATCCCCTTAAAACTGTGCAGAAGAAGACAACAAGGATAATGTAAATATACTCCCATCCCCTCAATGCACTACTGCATCTCAGCTTACTGTCTGGAAATTGCCACACTAGGGCGAGATGGAAAGGAGGGAGGAAAGGAGCTGGGCTGGCATACTTATCTCTCCATCACAACATACTGTTAAGTGGCATCTTGCACACACAAATTTATGAACTATCATAATTTGGAAAAATGAAAATGCTTATTTCATAGTTTAATCTCATCTTTCTTCTCAGAGTATTTTAAAATTTGCCCCTCTTACATACACAGATGTCCTCTTTGTGCTCAAATTAACCCAGCATGTGAAACCACTTTCCTCCAATTGCTTGTGCTGTTCACAATGCAGTTTTAAATAAAAGGTCAGTAAATGCCAGCTCAGCAGCTGTTCTGGGAATAACACAAAATACTCACAGTTGTGTTCATGATTCCTGTGCCATGTGTTCGAATTGAATTAGCAATGTGCCTGATATTTATGGTGTTCAGATGCTTGTTATTGCTGATTCTCTCAATGAAGATCTGCAATTTAAAAATTGCTATATAATTATAATAGCTATTAAATGGAAATCAGCAGCAATAAGATTTGCTTTTTAAAGTGTAGACATATCCCCTGCTCTCACCTGATTATTGAGATTGTAGAGGTAACGGGATACAAATACATGAATATTCCTCATAATTTCCAGAACATCAAGGCCCTGAAAAAACAGTAGGCAATTTAACTACATCACATCTGGAAATAATCCAAATAAGTGCTGTTATTTGAAATTTCTAAAAAGCAAAAACACCAGAAGCCTTAAGTACCGTACTTCAGCAAGTCACAAAATCCTGCTTTTAAAAAATACAGAGACACTAGCATAAACATGATGTACCTGTTCTAAAGTCTGACTAGGAAGATGTGCTTCTGTCATAGTTAAACCATAGCGCTGCGTTGCTAAATTCCTCATCTCGCTATAGGTGGCCCAGTCATGCAGAGCTACTGTAGTAAGGTTGTAGAAAGTCTTGTCTAGGTAATGTGTCACATAGGCTGCAAAAAGAGGGGGGTGAAAGCAACAGTCATTTTCACAATGAATACTTGGAGAAAAGGGCAGAAGAAAAGAGAAGGAAAGCATATTCATCCCAACTCTAAGGTTATTTAGAACTCTAGAAATAAAATAACATTAGAAATGCTTCGAGTAAAAGTATCTGCTGGAGCTACACTGATCATATCAGCATATTGAGGACAGATTTCCTCAAAAAAGCACACACACACACACACACACAGAGAGAGAGAGAGAGAGAGAAGGGATGAATTTTACTTCACAGAAAAAGTATTAAGCTTTGAAAGTGAACATTAAGTAAAGCCTACCTTTGATATCTATGAACCGATTGAAAAAACGAATTGGGTTCAAGGTGAAGAAGTGGGCAAGGTCTTTCATTCCGACTCTGAAGGGATTTCTGTCATCTAGTTTCAAGTGTGTGTGCACAGAAAGGCGAAGGTCCTTTTCTATTTCTTTGCATAGTTTGTCCAGCAGGTGCTGCTCAAGTAAAATCACAACAAACACTATTTTCATGGGGTGAAAAACTAATCTTCACAAGACATTTATTCCCCAATAAAATCGTTCTACAAAGAAACAGGAGATCCAAAAAGATGGTTTTCCTTCTCCAATGAGGGACTAAATTGGATTATTTTTAATTCAACATTAGGATGAAAAAGTGAGTTATTGCATATACCCTGTGCATGTATAGATACACAGACAAAGTAGTATCCCCTAATCCTCTAGAGCAGATTTTGAGGGTGCACAAGGGGTTGCAGATGAGAGAAGGAGGAAGTTCTGTTGCACAAACAGAATGACAGTACTGGATACAACCCACACTCTCTAAATAGTGGCCATTCTCCCCAAAGGTTTGGTGACTGTTGGTCACTTAAAATATAAACAGTACATTATGTATGTTAATATTTTTTTTTAAGCCCTGCCTTGGAAGCTAAATCTACACAAGATGCAAAGGGAAAAGAGGAGAGACAACTGAATAGGAAATTAGAATATGCAGTGTTATATAAACACTACATTGTGATACAAGTATATAACCACAACTCAACAAACGTTAGCATAAACCTAAAGCAGATGAATAATTGAGGAAAAATGAGACTAGAGCAATAAAAAATGTGAGTTTCTATTAACTTTAAGAATTTTTAGAATTCCAACAGAAATCCTCAACACTGGCAGATTTAAATATTCTCAGATTGCTCTGTACTGCTTTCATTCAAAGTAAATAAAAAGCTTGCACCATCACCTTGTTTAAAACATCCATGATTTCTTTGTCATAGCTTTCCAAAAGTATTTCATGGGACTCCAAGTGCCTTGAATGCATCATAGCTGGTACACAATCCCGCAATGCACTAAACATGTACTGTAAAAAAAAGCTGCAAATTGATAAAGAACCCAAGCAACAGCATGCACTAAAAGGGAATCTGAGCAATTAGAACTCAGGATCCTGAACCTCAATTAATCTCTAAAACTACATTCAGATGGAATGCTAAATCATGGTTTACCAGAACAAGACTCAGTGAGCCTGGAAGCTGAGCATTCTTCCCCCACCCAACTCCAGCACAGCACTAAGAAATTGGAAGCTTCCACTTCATTTCTAGATTAATCACAGCTTAGAATGCCATCAGAATCCTAAATTGAGGTTAAGCTTAACTAAGGTTAGTTGAAACAAGCAAGCTTAATAACAAACCATTCAAACTCTTGTAAACTGCTTAGAGGTTTCACCACAGGGGTGTATACATTTTGTTAAATAAACAAAATTAAAAATAAAGTTAAACTTTAGGTCAGTGGTTCTCACACTTTTTGCAGTAGTAGAACCCTTCACTTAAAAAAAAAACTTTGGCAGAACCCTCACAGTAAATTCTTTTAAAACTTTTTTTAAAGGGGAGCTGATTATTGGGAGAGCAAGTGAGAGACAGCCTGAATTGAACTTATTAAGAGGAACTACTGTATGAGATTTTGAAAAACTTTGCTGTCCTTCTCCTGATCTCCTCTGATGGGAGAAGGCTTTGCTTTGCTTGTCATCCTTAAGGCTTTGTCTCTTATCTCTCAGTCAACATTAAAAGAGAAGCAAATATGAAGCCAAGTCAACAACACTGCTCTGCCTGCACCACCCTGCTACTGATTTAAACCGTGAAAAGTGCAGCAAGAGAAGGAATGAAGGGGAAGGCATCCTCAAGACAACTGCTTGAAAGGTGCATTTAATCCCCATGGCTGCTGCTCAACAGAAATAATACATTGGGTGCACTTGACTGCCATTACAACTTTTGTTGTCACAGAACTCGCTGGACTGCTTCACAGAATCACAAATTAACCAGAAGTTTGTGTGCTCACCCTTCTCCTCTTTGCAGGCTTCCACAACTCCACATTATGCAAGACCTTTCGGAACTGTGCTTTGTTCTAACCAAAGTTAATTAGCAAGCCATTATCTCAAACCATGGTTTTGTTTAACCCACCTTCCTAGTTCGTATATTTCTTTTACTTACATGTAACCTAGCAGCATCCACTGCATTTTCATAGACATCATCAAGATAAATTGGAAATACAGTTCTGTGCCAATACAAGAAGCAACAGTCACATTGTGCTTGGACTCTAGAAGGGAAAAGGAGCAACGTTACTACTGAGAAAGAAAGCAAAGAATTACCATTCCAACAGCAATGATCTCAAACAGAAATAACCTTATAATATAGCACACTTTCAAGCTGATGTTCACAAGTCACAGGGGTGAAAAAAACAGTTTTTAAGAAACAAGAATGGAATTCATTCTTCAGGATGCTGAACTCTGTGCTTAAAGCCAAGTTTCATACTAAGTATACAAAATACTGACTATCACATATGATGATGAATAGCACTCTACAGGAGTCAAGAAGGTGGTGTATTGTGCTGAAAGTCTACAGAATTTCGTTCCGTGGTATTACCTACCGTTCTTTAAGTTCACTGATTAAGGCAAGCTTCTTCATAACTACTTGGAGAGGAAGGAGCTCTTCATCTTTAAATGTTTTCTGAAAGGGAGAAAGGAAAGAAGGAGATAGACATGCAAGAGCATCAATCCAATAATAATAACAAAAGTTAATTTTATGGCTGTGCCTTAATCACTGACGACTGCGGCTAACAAAAATGATAAATATTGCAATTATGAAAGGAACTGATGTGCTTACCATTTGTGTGCCCACACTGAGTGCGAGGGAAATAATTAGTCGTCTCTGTTTTGTGCTAGGACCGTTGAGGGTGTTCTCAGCCAATACAAGAGCAGAGAGTACATCAAGGCGCTGTTCGCTGTACTTCTTGTCTGAAATAACTCTTTTCTTCATTTAAAAAAGCATAGAAGAGAGCATTTGGGGTTTAGTATTTATGGAAAATTCAACAGCAAATGTTGTATTGCATTTATGAGCCTACCACATTATTTGCATTTTTGGTCTCAAGGTTGAGCTAAGCCACATTTAATATACATATCATAATCTTACACAAATCTTAGCAAGAAAAGCTATCCCCAAAGTAGCCCCTCCCCCTTTATCCCAAATTAAGTATAGTCGGCACATTAATGCAACCCTGAAGTTACTCAGGTTTAGCTTAGACTCTAGGGAATATCCTTGCTGCTTTCAAAATGCTAGTGAACAGTTTATCTGAGACTCTTCAGCACAAGCCCTTTTGAAACATGCAGGACTTCCGCCAGAGCACAGATTCATTTTAACCTCAATGGAGTTTAAGCTGGAAACATCCCTAGTGCTACATATTATTATCGTCTGTGTGATCATTCTCTCCTTTGGTGATCATTCACCCATGTTCTGCTTCACATATTAACATCAACTTTGCAGTTGAGGAAACTCACCAAAGTGTTCAGTATGTGAGTAAGTATGAAATTCAATACATATTTTCTCAGCAATGTAAAACATACATTGACTGCATTCAGATGCAATAATCTATGGCTCAATATTATATAAATAATCCCCAGTCTCCCCCATCACCATGGCTCTTCTGGCACTAATTATAAGAAGGGTAATCAAAAACATTTACTTTCACTTTCAATTAACCACAGTGTAGTGTTGTGTTTGACTCCTAAACAGCAGTTAATGATAACTATATTAGTCAACTGGCTTGTTTCCGTAAAGCACCATTAAGACTAACCAGTTTGTCCAGCTTCAGATATATAGCATTGACAAACAGAATTCCATTGAAAAACAGAAAGCTTCGAATCTCCTCCTCACAGTTGCACACTAGGAACCTGGAGCTTGTTCACATAATGACATATGACTGCTATCATCATCACTGCTTACCTCCCAACTATTTGACCTCTTTAGCTGGTTTCTATCACTAAAAATGCATAAACGAAGCAGCCCAACTGTTATAAAGCTACTCATTTTAACTATACCGAACAGTAAACTACTTACTGAAACTTTTTGCGTACCTTGGCTATAGCAATAGCATTAAGAGCCTGATGCTGTAGATGCTGAATTATGTGCGTTACTGAATCAGCGACAATCATACTTCTTCTGTAAAATGTATGTTGTATTGCCTGCAGTTGACCAGATTTCAGAACACGAGTTAACATCACAATTCTGTTATTTGAATCACATTATGCCTATTATTCCATACAAAGAACTACTTTATCCAAATCTTCAACAGCTAAATTCAATATGAAATACAATTTGAATTTTTAACAAGGTAGCTATACTTGGATGTTCCATCAAAATCAACTTGCAGCTATATGTTAATATTCCCGTCAAAAGCAGTATACTATATTTGCTGCTATGTCAGCAAGTACAAATCATGCTGGCATCACCGATAGCTATAATGAAGGTTTGGACCACAGTCAAATGCACATTTTAAAAGAGACCATTAGTGGCAACAGACCACTGGTGCAACTAAAATTAGGCGTAATTGCTGCTGATTGTATCTATCAATTTCTAAAACATGCTTCCTCTAAAAGAACATGGGACCATTTACAGCAGATAGCAAAACAAACAACCATTATGACTGGATTGGCGAAGGCAGAAAGATAACTGCATTATGTAGGAAGAGTAAGAACAGAAGTAAGAGCAACATAGTCAGTCCTAATACCTAAACTATCTCTGAAGTGTCTTCAAAAGGTGCCAAAATGACAATACTGAGGGGGGTGAGCATATCTCCAGGAGTTCCACAAATGGAGTATCAATTGTATTAGCACAGAACTTCAGCTTAGGCACCCTATTTTGAGAACCTGACCTATAGTGGTTTCAGAATTACAGTAAATATATTTTACCCAGAAAAGATGCAAATAAAGACAACTTAGAGACACAAAACGTATGGCTCTGGAGAGATGTAAACCATTTAGATAAGTATACTTTGCCTGAATCATTGTTTATATATTTTGTCTACCATCTTTCCAGCTCATAAATTAAAGCACGCAGGTCGTAACACACCTGCAAAAGGACTACTGCAAATGTTAGGGTCACCAAGGAGATGAATATTGCAACTTACTTTGAGAAGTTCCACAAGCCTGCACAATGCTTTCACTGAGGTTTTAGTCATTGGCTTCTGCATTGACATGTGCAGATTCATTGTAGTTTTAATGATGTTACTAAGGCTGTAAGCGTACAGAAACCCCTAGAGATAAATTGGGAGGGGAACGTGAATCACCATTACATCTCTACTGCATCATAAATATTTTTTTGTGTCCAAAATCAGTTCTATCACACACAAATACAGCTGTTCAATATACAATTGAATTAAACATTATGGAATTAGAAGTAAACAAGCACCAACCTACTGAAACATGAACTATTAATCGATTTCCCGATTTCTACAATGCAAGTGATTTTATTCCTTCCTTGGTAGTCCCTTTTCTAGAATACCACAAGGCTGACTCCACCAACCTTCACTCCCCATTGTTACACAGCAAGCAGGGAAGCCTGATAAAGCTTCTCACACAAGTTAATGTGGAAAGCTCTGAGCTTTCGCTAGCGAATCTCAACTTGGGGGAAAAGTGGAGTATAAATACGTTAAATATTACTGATATAGGGAAACAAAACAGAACCCCTATTTCCCTGTTTGAGAAGATGGCTTGGTTGAGACATTGCAATGTAGAATTGTTTAGCATTAAATGAACGAGTCTGGAATGAGCCTAGGGCTTCCCTCCTCTTGTAGGAAACCATGGTTGCCTGTTACATCCAAAAAAGGGAAACTCTGGTTTGTGCTTATTCTACAACCAAGAAAATTATATCATAATTTATCAGTTCAGATATGACAGCAAACTATGGTTTGTCACATGAGTAAGTGTGTGCAGTGATCAGTGTGGGGTGACAAAGAGTACTTTTTCCACACAGCATCAAGCCAGTGATAGGAATCATATCTGAACCAAGCCTATTAATCTGTGAAGCAAAAGTTTGAAAATTGCAGAGTGAGCTAGCAAAATTTAATTTGATAATGCCAGTCATAAATAAATATATTCACTTAGGCTATATAAAGAAATTACTATATGTATTAACCTTACATTCATTAGTAAGCAATTGTAGTAATAGACCGTTTCAGCCGTTTCTTCTTCAGTAAATGGTACTCAAGAAATATAAAGTTAACTCTCCCTCCCTCCCTCTCTTATATATATATATATATATATATATATATATATCGCAGCATTTTCCAGCCATGTTGCTTTGGAACCTAGAACACACCTGTATAAAAACGCTGCACCTATTAGTGAGATCTTCTGCAAACTTATCCATTTGTTGTTCCTTTGACAAAATAGATTCCATTTTCATCATCCATGAGCTCACGAAAACGTAATATGACTGCATCTCTCTGGAGAGAAAACAAGTAATGGTTATGTAATGGTTCAGTCAGATACAGCTTTAACCAATGTTAGAGAAGCTGAGCTGTGGTTTTAAACATCTGAATTGACAGGCCATTGTTTGCAATGGGTCAAGAGCCATAGTTTGTTACAGGTTTATGCTATGATTTGGCACAATGCCCAACATAACTTCAGCCATCACTCTTCTTTAAGGGATTGTTGGGCCATGGAGACAAGTTACGAAGCTGAGTGCTTGTATGAAAAATAGCAGCCAAACAATGATTTGGGTTTTGAATTATGGTTAAAGCAAATCACAATTTGACATGCCAAATTTCTGCCAGTGTAAATTATCCTGAAAATTAACTGCTTGGTGAGCTTGACTAATCCAAGGTGAATATATCAGGCTTTAAATAAAACACAAAACTGAGCCAGCGTAACAATTTATTTTTTGTATTATTTAGATTTCTTACCTACCCTTCACAGGGCAGCTTAAAACCATTTAAATATATAATATTAAAATAGGTTAGAATATTCAATAGAATAAAGCACATGTCTTCAGCATTGGAATTTAATACCCTATTCCTGAATACTTTTATCTGGACACAATGGCCATGGAACATAAAATCCCCACCAAAAGAGGGGTGCTTGGATGTTTTCATAACTGGAAAAGAACAGGAATGTCAATTAGCTCCTATTTTTTCTGTTTACAAATATTTTTGATTTACAGAGTAAGAACCATACAGGTGGGGGGGGGGAGAGCTCCCTACTTTTCAAACCTTACTTGGTAAGTGACTGAGCCTTCTGCTGTAGAAAAGTTTCTCTGTGTATTTTAATGGAATGAAAATTCTTCCTGTCCAGAAGCTTGGCAGCAGCTGGCACCTTCTGAATGAGAAAGTTGTCAGCAAACCAAATGATATTAGCTGTAAGTGTAATAGCTGGCACCTGGAGCAGCAACAGTAACATTTGGATGAAGGATGGAGGGGGTGGGGAGAGAAAGATATCATATTAGACTTGATATTGAAAACTGCTACACCACATTCACATATGTAGGATTGTCCTATAGGTATTTCAAGATATACATACATAGCAGGCCAGTTCTAAGCCCAGTTTTAAGTAATCTCACTTCATTTCACATGAATGTTTGCATAGGATTTTAGGCTCTGCTGCCAAGTCTACACCCTGCAGCACCAACAGGGAACAGAATTATCAGAACATGTTTCGGAGATTAAGGAGGAGGAGGCGTAGCGGGACTGAACTAAGCTACACACAGTCCATAGCATCTTAGGATTCATTCCTTGAGTACCAGAGCAACTAGAACAGCTATGACAACTGTACCAATTCAGTGCATGCTACTTCAACAGTGAATGGGCATAAAAAGAGATTAGTGCAATCACTGCTAAATCCCTGGATAGAACAGTTTTGCTTTTTTTAAAAAGGTGGCTTACAGCATCTATGCCCATGTCAGAGCAAGGATGAAAAGAAACAGGTGTACCTCTCAATGTTTCATTTAAGCTGAAATTCTGGGCAAATTTATTTTGAAGCATTGAAGGAAGCACCACTTATTTCTGAGTAAACGTGGTTAAGATTGGACTGTTTATGGTGGTTATTAGCCCGTGCATTACTCACATGCAGGACATTGCAGTAACTAATGAGACCAAGGCCATACTTCCAGTTCCTCATCTTCTTCCTCAAACCATCATGCACTGCCTGCAGCTGACCAAAGATAAACCCCAACATGTGCAACCAGGGGTCCTAATTGTGACTAGGCCCTAAATGTGAGCAGGCGTTCACATGCTAGGGGTTTTCTTCAAACAACTGCACAAAATGTGTGGCTGTTTGAGGAAGGAGACTCAGCATTAAGAGGTGGAACTAAAAGCAGCCCTGCTCCAAGTAATCACAGCAATATCCTACATGTGAATAACACATGAATAGGACCATTATCAAAGGCAATAGCTGCCCAAATCACACACTTGCAATTAATGGCAAAAATAGCAGTTTTTGACCACAATAAAATTATTGCAACATTCATTGACAAGGCAACTCGAGTACTATAAAGATAACATATTGTCGGTTCCTTTGCTGTACACAAAACATAATTGTTATTCAGAAAGGACAACAAATGGAAACTATGAAAACAGAAAAAAACCCTAGCTAAATTATTTTAAAGCTGGAGTTACTAGTGAGAGCTTGTAACTAGATACTGTTACTATATTTTTATAAGAGGTTTTTATTTTTATGTTGTTTGTGAAATTTAATTATTAGAGGAAAATTACAAAATCTTCACCTTTTTGCAAATGTCCAGTAACGATTTGTAAAATTTCTTGTCTACTGTCCGAAAAATCTGAAAATGCAGTACAAACAGCCCACAAATTCCTACGTACTTATCTCTCTGGTCAATTTCTGAGGGTTCACCTTGTACAAATACACACAGAAAAGAATAGTTTTGAAGTCTGCCACTAGACAAACAATATAACAACTTTTACAAACAATAATGTCAATGCAAAGAAAAAAATCCATCTTGCATTACCAAGCTTAGCTTCAACATTTGCAAAAATTGTGCGAATACTATGTGCGAACTCCTCAGCAAAAGTGCTGTTCTTCGACACTGACACTCCACCATTGAGGCAATCAAATTGTTGCTCTATACAGGCCTGAATGAGGTCAAGAGAAAAAAGAGTGATTTACAACATTAGTGCCATGGAGAATACGAGCACAACATATTAATAGATGATTGCAAATCAATCAGAATTCCATGATGGAGACATTTCAACTGGCTAGTTGTGCTTTATTTGGGGAGTGTTCAGTTCAAATGAAACCATACTGAAAATCTAATCAAAAGGCGATTAAGATTGATTCGTTGACTGTTAATTGTCAGCTGAGCCCAGTACAAGTACCAATATGAGTAACCATTAATTTCAATACAAGTAGCAGTTAATTTCAAAGTACAATAAAATAAAACCCAAGCACTTTTCTAACATAGTAAATACTATTATAAGAAAATTATTAAAAGCTTATTTCTGCAATAAGAAACGTTACTGTTAATTGTATATAAGGTAACAACAAAGGAGGCATCTAAAACTTTTGATACTTTTACTACAGATCACAAAAAAGACTCAGCTGCAACTTGACTGATTCTAGAAATATAGTACAGTGGTACCTCGGGTTACAGACCCTTCAGGTTACAGTTTTCGGGTTGAGCACCGCGCCAAACCCAGAAGTACCGGAACAGGTTACTTCCGGGTTTCGGTGCTTTGCACATGCGCAGAAGCACCAAATCGCAACCCATGCGTGCGCGGAAGCAGTACTGTGGGTTGCGAATGCTGCAGATGGCGAACGTGCCTCTCACACGGATCACGTTCACAACCCGAGGTTCCACTGTACAGGGCATTTGCTTATGCAATGGACATCTCCTGCTTCTCCTCCTTCATAGCTCCCTACATGCCCCTCATATATGGTCTGGAGGGTCCTCCAACCCACTAGAGGAGATCTGTGAGGGCTGCAGAAGAAAGGAGAAGAGAGCACAGGAGAAAGTCCATAAGTGGATGTCTCCCAAATAATTCTGTGTGCCTTGATTTTTTTCTTTCCTTTTTCCTTTTTCCAAACTGTAGCTCTCTGCCCCACTTAGCAAGCTGCTTCTAATCTGAGGGAAGTTTCAAAAGTGATTTGCAATATGGAATGCTTTTAAAAGAAAACTGATCAAAAATTGCACTTGGTATATGCAAGCTCTTGGGTGCACCTAAAGTAGCTCTTTGGCTCCCAGTCAGAATATATTAGATAAATAACTGAGGAGAGGATACCAACAGCATACCATTTAAAATTTAAACACACCAATTAAGCGATGACATTTTCAGAAAAGAAACATTTTACTCCATAAATCTTACAAACCACATCTGAACTCTATTAAGAAATAAGCTCTATTATTTATTATGTTACCTGGAATATCGTCCCATCCAGTAATTGGTTTTCTAGTTTTAATAGCAACTTTTCAAATGGCTTCAGCTTATCTTCCTGCACTCCAAATTTAGAAGGGTTATGATGGACAGATTTTAGTAACCTAATAAAGCAATAAAAAATAAAAAATCTATTTAAAAGAAAATCAACATTCCTAAATGTGTACGGGATGGAAGGAATTATTTAGGAGGAATAATCTGGAGGAGCAAACTTTGTATTCACATACTTATGAATGATGTGGGGGGATAATATCATATTTGAATAATATGAGCTGACCTAAGATTTTTGCTTGTTTCGTTTACAAAAAAGCCCTGGCACAACTTCAATCAGTGGCCTTGACTGCGCAGCTACACTTCTGGGACACAAGGCATTTGGGACTGCACTATGCCATGATTACCATTATTCCCAGGGGATTAATGAAGAAGAAAAATGCTTTCCTAATTACGGTGAAGGGTGTTAACCTTGATTGATTGATTGATTGAACCATCACACGCTTGAGCATTTTAACAACAGTTCACATCAGCTGGTCACTGTAGGAATAATTAGAAACATGCAATAAAAGCTTAATGTTGCTCTGGTTGGTGGCAAAATACAGGAAATTAAGGCCTGAATACCAGAGTTGCAAAACACACACTAGTGAAAAGGTGCGGTGAAGCATCAACATCTGTTTAAGTGACCACTGTATTGATGCTACTTTTATTTTTCTACAGTACCAGTGGAAATAAATGTAAGAATTTATCCACATACCTTTTGTACATAGTCCAGTGCTCTTTCAGGGTAGCATGGTTGTCTATTATCTCATCCAGGGTAAGTAAAACTGCCAGCAGTTCTCCCAGATGCTCATACATAGCCTGTTTGAAAAGGTATATATCCTGGATTTAGAGTGAAATCCTATACCCACTTTTCTGGAAGTAAGTCCCACTGAACTCAATGGGAGGTACCACTGAGTATATATGATTAGGATAGTGTCCCCAAGAAAATTATTATATAGGGTTGGTGTTCTTGAGATGTACAGGACCATAACAATAGTTTTTATTACATATTTTATTCACTATGCCAGAGGTTTTCAACTTTTTTGAATCCACAGCTCCCTTAACCATCTACATTCTTTCTGCGGCACCCCTGTGGGGCTCAGGAGCCCAGTTATGTCTCCCCTTGCCTGAAGGGCTGGCAGCCCCTCACCCTTTTCCAGCACCCTCCCTTGTAGAGTGTTCCCTCAGCCTCCTCTGGGCAGCCGCCGCCGCCGCTGGTCTCTGAGCTGCCCACCCCATCCCAAAGACAGGTGCCTTCTCACACTTCCTCACATGCCTGGGACTTGTTTGCCCATTCCCAACAGCAAGGGCTGGCAGACTGCCTGGCTAGGCTCCCTCGCCTGCTTGTTTGCTTACTTACTCCTGGGCTGCCTCAGCTCCTGGCAACCAGCAACCCCTGACCAGCCCCAGAGGCACTACTTGCCTAGGGAGCTTGTAGCCAGGGCTGCTACAACAAACAGCTGTGCAAGCCTTGGGGAGACAGAGACATAAGAGGGCATCCAAGAAGGGAGGGAAGGAACAGAGGACAGTGTTGCCCGTGGCACCTGTGAACATCATTCAGGGCACCCCAGGGTGCCACGGCACACTGGTTGAAAACCACTACACTATGCTGTACTGTAAGCCTAGCTGGCAAGAAGAGATCCCTGAAGGAATCAGGTGTCCTTAGCCTATTAAAGAACCTAGCACAATTTATTTTTATTATAATATTTTTAGATTTATTTCATTTTTAAAAAATGCTTCCAAGTAAGGCAGATATCCAGATATCAAACTCCCAGGTAAAGAACCTACCAAGTTATGCAACATAACAAGTCAAAATCCCTACAGAATTCTCACCTGAAAATGAACTCCTGATGTTTCTATAACTTTAGGTGCATTCCTGAAACACAAAATACTGTATTTCACACCATTTAACAAAAACATTTTAGAGCCTCATGCTTTTATTATTTATTTATTATTAACGTATTTATTACTCTCCCCTTACCCTAAGGTCCCCAGACCTTTTAAATAAGCCGAACACAGTAGTTAGTTTTGAACACGCAAGAGGTTTAAAAAATGATCACTTGAGAACCCGAAATACTGGAATCAAAGTGATAAATCACATTAAGTATTGCTAAATAGGCCTGTCCAAGTTTTGGCCTAGAAACCTGAACACAGTCCAGCGGTCATATATGCCAAGTCCTACACACACGGGTTTTCACTCTGCCAGGCTATCATCAGCCACATGAATTTATTTTGTGCCCTACAGGCTGCAATCACTAGAAACTGGCATTCAGTTTGGTAGGTCACAAGTTGTACAGGTCTGTGATAGTAAAAGAGCTAATTATTCAGAAGTGAACACCTGCAGTAGCTAGTGACTTCAAATGGAACATCAAATGGAAATACTCATTAATCCAAAACAACCATGGTTTACATCCCAAAACAGACAGGTGTCCTTTTAACAATGCACACATCCCATATTTCAGGCACACATCCCATATTTCCTCCCCAACTCTGCAAAATTTAAGAAGCACATCAACATGCTGTATTTTTTTCATTTGCATTTTCAACAAGTAAATTTAAAGGATAGTATTTTTTGCAGTAATTACTTGTTACTGGTATAAAGGGCAGCCAACTGATGAACTACATTCATCACGACCTCGTAGCAGCGTGTCACGAAACAAGACAACTCCTGAAATGACAAATTTTGTACAGATTAGAAACCCCTTTCACACTAAATGAGATTATTTATCCATGGATTAGTTAGGGAAGTTAATGTAGCAAAACAGTCTTGTAATGAAACACTTGAACACTCTATTAAAACCCAACCTGTCACAATCACAAACAAGAGAAAAAATATTCAAAGTTCCTAAATACTGCCATTGTAGTGCTTATTAGTAGTCTAGACAATATTAAGAACTAATAGGCAGTGTAATTTCAAAACAGATTAATGTCTGGAATGGTGAATAAGACCTCATCAGTTATGCAACAGCTGTACCAAAAGAATGTTTACTTTTACTGGCTCTGTAGCAGGAAAGTGACCAACAGTAAATGAGAACTCACACTGGAGAAACATTAACAATTACTATGTCAGCATTTTCTATCCACTGGAAACCACTAATAGTCTCATGTATTAGAAGAATGCAAAACGAAAGCAGGATTTTATTTTTTTTAATCTAGATTCTCTGGAAATTCTCCTGACAATATCAGGTGAAACAGTAGGGAGCTATCCAAAAAGTGATCACCTAAACCTATGTGTCTCTAAAATAAAAGGTGGCGAAACACAAAAGATATCTCGTTTCATTTCACTTTTAATTTATATACCGCCTTACTATACACAAAGCTTACAAGCTGAAGAAACAACAAAATAGACAGCAAAGTTCACACATGTAATAACAATCTGATCCAATACAAAAAGGTCACAATATACTGTATTTTCCCATGTATAAGACGCTCCCTACTTTTGGGGACCCCAAATTTAGAAAATGGGCATATGCACTATTCATGTATAAGATGCCCCAGATTTTTAACCTTATTTTAAAGTAAAAAAAAACACCCTAATCTTCTACACAGAAAAATACGGTACCTATACTAAACACAGACACCAGATGTATAAAAGGGTTTTCAGAAAAAACTGCTATTAGCCTGTTTTAGCACGAATCAAAACTTATCAAAAACCATTCTTCCCCTCTTATTTTAAGAGAAGTACATTGTGTACAGAAAAATGACAAGGTTTGAGCCATCGCAATCACCAGTTGTTGAAATTATGCCAGGCACAACAACATGACTTGTAAAAAACATAGGAAGTTGAGCAATTCAGATCCTGCTTTCAGTTTTTTAAAAAAATATTCTGTAGTGGTTGGTTTCTTTCCACCAGAAACAATATTTTCAAAGTTTCTTGAACTAATAGCTATTTTAAAGAATGTTTCTCTTGAAATTCAGTAAATCAAACAATATACTTCTAGCAGGAAACACAACTAGTCTTATTCTGTATCTGAAGGTCAAGCATACTGTGTGTAGCTCTGCAATTTCCTTCCACCATCACTAGGGACAAAAACACAAGAAATTAAATTCTTGAGCAGGGGACCAGCAGAAAGGGGGTTGAAGATGAGCAGTGGCTGAACGCTTTCCCTGGCATACGTATGTCAACTCAAAATCCACTCCCTTTCTTTTCATCCCCCCCCCCAGGTTATTAAAGGGCCACAGATAAGCAAGCATTCACATCTTGGGGTGGCATTCAGACTTGCTATTTTCTGAACAGAAGTGCTCCTGACAGGTGAAAGGGGCCAATCTTCACTAATTCTCCCTTTGCTTTCATCCACACTACTTGGGTGGGTCCCACAACCCTATGGAACAGCTTTTGGGAAAGGCATGGTGAAAATACATCCTGCTTCCTTCAGCAGAATGTACTTTGGGCAGAGTTCTGGGCATGGGTAGTCTAGATCCATCTCAATGGTTTTAAAATAGCAACTTCAAAACTTGTGCTAGTAGAGCATTTTAGTCACATTGGGTACTCTTTAACAGTCACATCGAAATGTTAAAAAAAGTGGTGGCGCCACTGCTGGACTCAAGTACTTATACTTGCACTGCTAGACTTTTCCTAACAGCAGCTTGAATTGCTACTGAAACTTTAAAAAATGAGGTGACCAGAGACTACACAGGGGCAAAAAGACTTGAGTGAATGTGACAGTATAAGCAACACAACTGGTGACAACTGTATAGCATTGACTCTAATCCACTAAAAGCCTGTGGTATAGCAAACATTTTAGAAGCAAATGATTATGAAGTCTATTGATCAGCACAAAAAATACCATAGAAGTTGCAGAACTATGTCCCAGGTGTTACCTGTAAAAATGAAATAAATCTTCCCATTTGTATTTGGCCATCACCTTCCACCTTACTGGAATCCATAGCTTGAAAGGTAAAATGAGAGTTACAGGAATATTAGAAAACACATCGTTTACCTATTAATGACGCTTAAGATGGCAAAGGGTGTTTTTTTTAGTCATAATTAAAAATATACTACAACAAAACTATGCATCATCAATGGATTCCAAATGAATGATTTATTAGAAAATGCTCACTTCATGTTTAAATGCTACTTTACCACCACCCCACATAAAGATTACCAATATTATCTATCAAAAAAGAAGAAACAGCAGAGAATTTTTTTAAAAATATCTTCAGAAGGTAGTTCATGTAGACAGGCATAAGCTGGGTCTATTTGACTGGATGTTTGCCAAACGATCATATACTTTTTGTGGCCCAAATCCCTAAGAATCATTTAGCAAATGACAAATTTCTTAGTGGAGATTATTTCTGTGTAGAAAAGCCCAAGCATCTAATGTATACAACAGCAGGTGCCGTGAGTACGTTCACTGGATTTTGAGTATGTCATGTCAGATTCACTGCCCTGTACATCTTGTTTATGTGTGATGGGGAGCCACTGGCAATCAGGGCTTGCTGTTATATGCTCATATGGCAAAGTACATGTGGGAGCTTCTCACACGTTGACTTTTCCCACCACTGCATCCCCATGGTGGAAGGAAACACACCTAACGAAGATTCTCCCTGAGCACAAGTTACAGAGGTACTCTGCCTGATACTAAATTTCCCAGCTCTATCTAAATGGCTTAGTATGCAAAGAGTCGGGGGGGGGGGGATTACTGATAAAAATGTGAGTCTTGCAGCTGCTACAGCAATCTTTGCTTCCTGCCAGTGAGGAAGAAAATCAGAAGTGCCTTGTTTTAGTTTTGGCAGCACATCACTGTATCTTTCAAAAAGGATTTAAATACAAGCACAGCATATGAGAAGCAGCATCTTCCAGGAATTCAGTTTTAAGGTAAAGTTTATTTCCTGAAAGGTCATTAACAGTTTTCATCCTTTGTGAATATTACTGCTAATGCATACTAGAAGTTTTCCTTTTACTATCTAAATTAGAAACAGTTACTAGACTCTAGTTCTATAGGAACTTGTATCCTACAACCTCGGAAGGCCACTTCCTCCTTCAAAGCATGAACGAGCCAATCTTCAAAGGATTCTCATAGCAATGTGATCTCATTCATCATACTGGTGCAAGAAAGGAGACAGCAGCTTTTCCCTAAGCAGAAGAAACTATGCAAAACTGCCCAAAAGGATGTGATCGGGTGACTGCCATTTCTGGGCTCAACATCCTCTCCATTTTGGCAGTAACATTCTTTGAACACAAAGGCAGCATGGATCAAGGTCCCTCATGACTTCCTCTTCAAAGCACCCTCAGTATTTTAGCAAAAACCATTCTTATGGGTTAGCAGCTTTCTATGTTGGCATTAAAGCTTCCACTAAAGAATTACAATTTGGTTCTGGCAGACAGTATTCAAAATCTATCTTACCTATGGCCTGTGATTGTTCATATAGCTAACAGACCACATATTGAACACCACTAACTCATTAAGCTTTACTTCAAATAGAACTACTCAGAACTGAGCACTTTCATCAATTAGATATATCAGTTCATTACTGCCAGACCATCCCCATGCAGAAGCAGACTGTTCACCCAGGAGAAAAGAAAAAAAACCTCCATGTGACAGAAACCCCTCATACTTCACTGAGTCCCAATCCAAAGGGGGTTCCTTAAATTGAGATGGGTTTTTTTTGTGAGGGCAGCCACTTCAAGAGTGGAGCTTAAAAGTCTCTGTGTATGAGTGGCAAGGCCGTCCACACCTGTCTTGAATCCTGGCCAAGGACATACCAATTCTATTGACCTTGCACATCACGCTGCCATTGAGCTGTATCAACAGAAGCCAAACATTTATCTTTTGCAACTGTTTAAGCAACTCTGCCAAATGCTCAAACAGTTTAAAGGTAAGGTGAGTTGTTATCTGTGGCTTCAAATTTGGTTTCAAAACTAACCAAAGAAGAATTTTCACATATTAGCAAGATGGGCACAGCAACCTTGATGTGCAGAGCCCCAGCAGAGAAGTGTTTTGAAAGCAGATGGGCACATCCACTGCAAGGGCTATGCTCCTGAATAGAGCTACCACCGTCAGTAGCACATTTTAGGCACTGAATAAGGCATTACTGGGGGAGCAAAGGACACTGGATCCAAGGCCTTTTTGTCAGTTCATGAGGTTCTATGTTTGCCTCCCCACCACTCAAAAAAAAATCATGCTAGCCTGGATTTTGGGATAGTAATTCCACCAGTGGTGGAACCAGTGGTGGCGAAGAAAGAAAGATGATCCATGCTATGGGGAGCAGAAGAGGAAATTCCTCCTCTCTCATACACCTCCTGGCTTGGTCATTGCAAATGAACAGGTGTTTGGAAGTGGTGGGTGATGTGGCCCCACCATCACGCCCCACCATCACCCTACCTAGTAACAGTTCCTAGCTTGTGGAACACCCTACTCACAGAGATAAATCTAGTATTGCCATTGTATAGCTTTCACCATAGGCTGAAGATGCACCAGTGAACCCTGAGAGAACCCACCCTATTCTAACCTATCCTGGGACCTCGTAGCAAATGATGTGCAAGAAATCCAACCAACAGCAGACTGAACTGTAAAGTACTTACCTCCTTCTCCATAAAACAAGAGGCCATTATAAAATTTTGTTTCTGCCTAGGAACAAAGAAAAGATTTTTTTCTCTTGAATAAGAAGTCATAATATAGAAGGTGAATAAACTAGTTTCTAGAAAGCAGTTTGTAGTTGGCAAAATGAAGAGATATTTACCTCATATCTTAACTTTTTTATTTCACAGCAAAGGGCAGCATACACAGTGATTACTTTGTTTAGAACCTGGATAAATGAAATAGAAAAGCTAAATATTAGTACATTTACAGCAATATCTATCTGTCTGTCTGTCTGTCTGTCTGTCTATCTATCTATCTATATCTACAGCAAAGGGAGAGATGGGGGTCAGGCCAGGGCTAGCTACATTTAGCACATTCTCTCCCTAAAATATTTCCATTCAAGCTGATTATTAGAAGAACACGTGCCTGAGTTCCCTTTTTTCCTCCTCCCTTTCCGATTATTTCCCTTTTTGGTGTGTTTTAGGTTGTAAGTCTGGAGACAGGAACTTTGCTGTTTGTTGCTGATATTATGTAAACTGCTCTAGAAGCCTTTTCAGCTGAAGAATGGAGTAAAAAGGTTTCTGTAATACATATTTAAAATTAAGAACTTTACCTTGTTTTCCGTATTTATGAGTTCGAGTAAGGAAGACTGTTCATAAGGCAAAAGCTAAAATAAAACAAAATAATTGGTGATTTTAGGAAGCCAGAGACCTGCCACATTACTGAATAGGCTAAAATGTCCAATTACAGTTGACACAGCTGTTTCAAACAAAATCTTAAGTGCAAATATACAGGCGGATTATATATATATATATATAAAAAAATTATGATAAAGGCAGTAACAGAGATTGTTTGCTTAAAAAGAAAAGAACAAACAAACAAACAAACCCTGTTCAACTCCTCTGGGGGAGGGGGAGGAACCACACAGAGCAGAACTACAAGATCTTTTTCAAATGTTATTTTTAGAAACATATTAACTAAACGACGGCTATCGCATGGAAAAGATCTAGCATACAATGACTTGTATGATTTCTAAACAAGCCCATAGCTAGATACCACTAGGCACTTTTACTCGCCTTCAGAGACTCATGTACTCTGCCAGAAATGAAGTCAAGAGATTTTCAAGAGCAACTTTCTTTAATAACAATAATTTTGTTTTTTAGTGTAACAGGAACGTATGGTTTCCTGGAAGGCTTAAGTCCCATTTGTACTTATGGGCCTGGTGGAACGCTCTGCCTCATGAGACCAGGGCCCTGCAGGATCTGATTTCTTTCCGCAGGGCCTGTAAGACAGAGTTGTTCCGCCTGGCCTTTGAATTGGAGCCAATTTGATTCCCCCCCTCTCTTTCTTTTTTCCTTTCCTTCTCCTCCTGCGATGAGGCTACATTTTAATATTTTAATGTTTCAATATTTTAATGTTGTATTTTAATTTTGTTTTTAGTTGTAATCATTCAACTTGTTTTTATTATTGCTTGTAAGCCACTCTGAGCCCGGCCTTTGGCTGGGGAGGGCGGCATATAAATAAAAAATATTATTATTATTATTATTATTATTATTATTATTATTACTTTTCGTATCAACGAAGGAGCCACACCTACTGGGACATACTGTAAATAATTACTAAAATACTTACTTTACCCTAGATATGACTATCCAATTTGCAAAGCACTTCTGCACATGTGTGCATGAACACACACAGAGCATATGGTAGCCATAGGTGTTTTTTTACTTCAGGGTTCCAGAAATTTGAGGGACCTTGGAATGCACAAGGAGCTGCCACCAGAAGATCATGAAAACTTTGGCTCCCAGTCTAAATTAACCATGATTTCTAGTCCATGTTCCCAACTCTATAGGTTTTTCCATAATGATTTCTTACGACCGCATAGGGTTTTGTTTTTTAAAGTCACACAGCTCATAAAAACTTCTCCTGAAAAGACCACCAACAGATGAGAGGATTCAACAGGGGCACCTGCTCCTCCACTTCCCCTCAGCAAATTTAAAAAGCCTTGAGCCTGGAGTGGAATTCAATGGCGCGCGAGCACACACACACACCTAATTGGGGTTTTTTATGTTTGCTTCTCCCCGCCCCCGTTTTTTGCTGTTTGTGTGTTAGTTGTAAGCTGCCTAGAGTCCCTTATCAAGGGAAAAGGCAAGGTATAAATAATAGCAACAACAATAATTCCCTGTGTTTTTATATTTTCTTCAATTTTAAATTTTGTTGCATTTTTCTTTAAACCACTTTTAGCTTAGGAAACACAATATATGTTCGGGGGGACGGGACAAACAAGTGCAAGGCTCTATTGAACAAAAACACAAAGAAGGTACCAGGTTCAATTCTGGCATCTCTAGGTAGAGCTGGGACATAAACCTCTGTCTGAAGTCTTCAAAAGCCAACAGCATAGACACCAGTGAGCTAGATGGACCACAGGCCTGATTCGGTATAATGCAATTTCCTAGGCTTCTAGGAGGGGACCATTCCTCAGGTACCCCATACTAGCCTGCCTTTCCTCCGTGCCAAAGTCATCGCAGGGCAGCACTGACTGGGATGAGAGAGATGGTCTGGTGCAGGGGTGGGGAATCCTTTGCAGCCACATTCCCTTTGAGGCAACATTCCAGGAACCACATGCCAGTGGTGGGCAAGACCAGAACAACACAAGAGGCATAACCCATAGGGCAAGCCTTGGTTACAGGGTGTGGTTAGTCTGGAGAGAGCTAAACCATAAGACCAGGTTTTCAGAACACATTAAGCCAAGCAATGGCTCTATATTGCAACAGAATGACTAAGGAGGAGCAAGGTACCCATGATTTCTTCTCCTAGAGCCCACACGCTTGCGCATTCGTGCTAAGCTATGGTTTGGTTTATTGTGAAATGCAAAGCAGGTCAATGTTTAAAACGGAATACTTCTCTTCTGAAAGCAGCTGAATGCAAGACATTTAGGCTACAGTCCTGTACCCAGTCACACACAGAGGTCATTACTAACACGGGATTTACATGTGCATAGCTATGCAAAGCACTACACCCTATTCCAAAGAGCTTTAGATCACAGATATCAATTACACAACAGAATTAAGTGACAAGTGCATAGTAAACAAAAGCTTACATTTAATGCAATGGGATCAAGATTAAAATCCCAAACATCTCCTACGGAGTCATCCAATGCATCTTCAATTCGCTTCAGCTGGGAAGTGTATGCCTCTAGAAATTTCCCATAATTCTTCAACTGTACTCCAACATGAATTTCTAAAAATAAATTGTATTCCATTAGGACAGGTTATTTGTTATCATAGTCATTAAACTAAAATTTCCTAAACCTTCAACAGAAACAATCTAGATCACAAGTGGCCAACTTGCAGCCCTCCAAAAGTTGCGGAACTACAGCTCCCACAATTCCTCATCATTAGCCATGCTGGCTGGGGCAGACAGGTGTTAAGTCCAACAGCACCTGGTAGACCAAAAGTTGCCCCCCACCCGACCTAGATAAATAACCTGTTGTTCAAGTGAATGTCGTGTGTGTGCCTTTTTTTTTAAAAAAAAAATCTATTTCCACAATACACGATTTTATTGGCGTTTTACTTACAATCTGTTTATGCAAGTTTAACCTCATACAAGGGATCTATTTGTCCAAAACAGAATTTTTTTAAACGAGACAAAGTCTACATAACGTTACACAAACTTCTGAATGTTTGAATCATGTATTTATGTAAAAGGGTAAAGGTAAAGTCCAGTCGCAGATGACTCTGGGGTTGTGGCACTCATCTTGCTTTACAGGCTGCTGACAGTTTTTCCAGGTCATGTGGCCAGCATGCCTAAGCCGCTTTTGGCTAAGGGAACACCGAAACCAGAGCAGTGCACGGAAACACCGTTTACCTTCCCGCCTGAGTGGTACCTATTTATCTACTTGCACTTTTTGGCGTGCTTTCAAACGGCTAGGTTGGCAGGAGCTGGGACCGAGCAACGGGAGCTCACCCCTTCGCAGGGATTCGAACCGCCGACCTTCTGATCGGCAAGCCCAAGAGGCTCAGTGTAGACCACTGTAACTAGTCACACCTATTTTTCCATGAATATTTTCAGTACTATACTAACAACAATATGCAACATCACTAATATTAGCAGCCTTGGAATTGAATCAATGTTAACTCCAACTTTTTAAAATGAATCAATAGTGTGACCAGGATATTAAAGGTCTGTTAAGCTAGGAGTACAGCTAAATGAGTGGAAAGTTATTACTCAAGCTAGAATTTTTAAAACTATTAAAAACAAGACTTGTTGAGGAAGAAGCACTGTAGTTACTACAAACAGAACTCATGTTTCATTAACCTTCTAAAAATTATGAGTGTCAGCAAACACCTAGAGAGGAGTAATCTGGCACACGTTATAAACTTAGATTTCCAAAAAAAAAATGACCAAGCCCCCAAAGGTTTCTAAGTAATCTTAGAGGTCATGAGCTAAGGCAAACAGATTCTCTTAGACACCAACTGAAGAACAGGAAGCAGAGGATATGGAGAAACAGTCAGTTTTCACAACTGAGGGAAGTAACCATTAGGGTCCACTGTTTTTAAACTACTATTAATTAATTTATAATTAACTGTAGTGAGTGTCAACTGTAGCAGTGTTAGCCAGGTTTGTAGATGATACAAACTGATTAAGAATATGGTAAGTGAAGAACTCCAAGAAGCTCCCCTCAAACTGGATGAATGAGCAACAAATACGTAAACGAGATTTACTGTAAGTACAAAGGAACTGGGGGTAGGGGTGGGGGAAGCAAAATCTCAACTTCATAACTGATAGGCACAGTCATTGAATGTTCTGTCCAGGAAATGGTTGTGAAGGACAGCTCCAGGTAAACATCAACTCAATATGCAGTAGCAGTGAGGAAAGTAAATTCTATGCTAGGTGGATAGAGAAATCTTTCTCATAACATTAGAACCCAGGCTCACCAATAAATCTGATTAGCATCAGATTCGAAAGAAAGAAAAGAAAAGACTTTTCCACACAGTGAATGGTAAGATTACTGAATTTGCTGCCACAAAGACATGGTGATGGCTACTAGTTTAAATGGTTTCAAAAGTGATGAACCAGCTTAACATATTTCATGTTCAGAGGCAGTGTGTCTCTGGGACAGTGGTGCTGTTGCCTTCATGCTCTCTGGTTGTAGATTTCAAAGACTAGGTGGATCATTGAGCTGATCCAGTAGGTCTGATCTAACACTGCCATTTTCCAGATCTACAAGCTGTATGTTAGCTAAGGATTCTCGAAACAACAACTTTGAAATGGGTTTTTTGCTTATAGGAGCTTCTTGCTTTGGAGCAGATCTATTTTCTTCATTTAAAGCAAAGCAGGAAACTGTTTTCCTTTCCCACACAGTCAACTAAACATGGTTGCTTATAATAAAGCTTTATTCAGTTTCTCTTAGCAGAAGCAACGAAACTAGAACAGAGCAATATTTGCAAAGTTAAATAATGCATTGCTAGCATCTTTACATTTAGCAACAACAACATAAAAACTGAAAGTAGTATACAGTGACATATTGATGCAAATGCACACCAATTTCCTATATTGAAATAAATAAATGAATAAATAAGCGGTAGCGGTCAACTTTAAAACGACAATTTATAGACAGAATATTGTTGAAACTTAAGACTGTGCTGAATCCAAAGGTAATTTTAACTCTCAGCCTGTGTTCACAACATAGCAGTCTTATAAATTTTAAAAGATTTTACACTTAACAGTCATAATCCAGAGATGATGATAGCATATACCAGTACACCTGGATTTTTACTCCATTTTTGCTAATACAGTTTCTAGCACTAAACCATCAACTGCTTTTAAATACTATGAGTGAAAAGCAGCAGGTTTGTTTAAAACTGGCAGCTACAATATTGTAAAAGAAGCAAAAACTTTGAAAATATGTAAGTAAAAATGTAAGGCAATTAAAATACAGGCAAAAATTCCAAAAGCTTCTAAAAATACCCTTAACAATAATAAAACCATTAATAAAATACACACAATCACAATCTGTAAGGCTCACAAAATATTCCCGAATTGTCTCACAAAATCTTCCAACACCCACAAGAAAAAGATAATGCAAAGACCACTAACCCACTGCTGGGTTTCTGATAAGAAATTTCTCCTAATGCTCAGCTGAAATCCACCCTCCTCTAACTTAAGCCCATTAGATCTAGTCCTCCTCTCTGAGGAAGCAAAGAACAAACCTAAGGTCTCTGCAAATACCTGGACAACACAGAAGAGAGCCAGAAGTCCTCTTCCGCAGTTTCTTCAACTTTTTTCTCATAACGCTTGTTTTCCAAACCCCTGACCACCCTCATTTGAACTTGTTCAAAAAGTAAGACACCCAGAGCAAGACACGATACTCCAGGCGACATTAGACTAGCACAGAATAAAGCAGAGCCATTGCCTATTGCAACTTGGAAACCACAGTTCTACTAATACAGCCAAAAATTGCATTAGTCTTTCTTACACATCCCAGTGCTGACTCATGTTCAGCTTGCAACAGACTACAATCCCAAGACATGGGATTGATCTCATGACGCTGAGCTACACATTCTTTGTGACATACTCCCCTTCCATGTCTTAGGCATGTCCTTTTTATTTTCAGCTGATTACTAAGCTTTTTTTGTGTAGCTACACTGACTTTTTTATAGGTCTTCTATTTCTTTCTCTCACTTATGATTGTTCTTTAGTAATATCTAGTCATGGAATCCTACCTAGCATTTCTCTGAGCTTACTCAAATCAGCTTTCCTAAAATCCAAGTTACATTTTTAACTATATTCACCTTTGGCTTTCTATAAAATAACGGATTCCAGCATTACATAGTCAATTACACAAGAGTTCACACATGAGTTAAATATACTGTTCAGAAGCTATAATTTAAGACAATCAAAGGCATCATCCCACAAATGCAACGCAGGAAGTTTTAAATGAAATTATTTAGAGAATATTTTTAACCAGCTTTATAAGATTGCTTTCATCTTGCTTTCCTTATCAGCTAGCTTTCCTGACCCACCTGCAAGGTGATTTGAAAGGCACATGTTAAATGTCAAAGTTTTCCCGTTTTTTTGTTTCATCTAATTACTTCAGTATTCAAAACTGGAATGCTGTGTGAAAAACATTACTTTACAAACTTCTATTGCATATGCCATAATGAGCAGGTAGACAGAATGTCAAGATGGGAAATTTAGTTTTTCCTTCAAAAAAACGGGCATTGATATGCTATAGATCACTGTGACAAAAATGAATCTTTTGATTCATTTCTCCGAGTAATGGTTGTGTAGTATATAAAGCATGATAATTCATTTCAAATTATGCATAGCATACTAATATGCCGTGTACATGCAAGCGTGTGGAAGAACAATTTACATAAGGTTTAAATTTCAACACCATGAAATCATTGCCACATGCAATTATTATGGTGTTTTTTAAATGAAGGTTGTGAAAACTAAGTGGAAAAGAGTGTCCAGTTTCTTCAAACTAAAGTGAAGAGAGTGAAAGCCACACACCACCCAACTAAATTATTTCAGCATGACTTAATTTTTCTGGCTAAAGAATAGTGTAGCTGCAAGAATAAAGCCTAACTGTATCTAAGAATGAAGTACGTACTTAATGAGAAAGCAAACCACAAATTTGGGGAAGATTTGGAATAAAGTGGCTATTTTAGAAGAAAAAAGCGAAACAGAACCCCAAAGACACAGGCAAAGAGAATGGAAAGTGTTATTACCATATTAACAAGGAAGCTGCTTGTCAGAAAGAGTGCAAAGCCTCAACTGAAAGGCGGGAAGGGGACTTCCCAGAAATCAAGCTGCAGCCCAACACTCAGAACAGAGGTTTCTTACTGCCAGCTGACCTACAGCATGTTACATTACAATAACCAATAGCTTTCCATATAGGACCTATCAATGGCTGCTTGCCAGAATGGCTATGTTCTGCCTACACTGGAAATCACAAGTGGGAAAGTGCTATTTCACTTCAGTCCCGTTTGTGGGCTTCCCATAGGCATAAAGTGTGAGAATACTATGCTGGTCTAGGTAGGCTTTTGGTCTAATTCAGCAGGACTCTTGTTATGTTCTATATTAGACCCAATGTTGTTGAACCTGTGGTATGTACACAATCATTTGTTCAGTATTCATTTGAAATAATCTCCTTACCCCAGCTTCCATATTGACAATCACTTAAAAAAAGATAGATTCCCTATTTTACCCACAAAGATGCAATAAAACTCAGGGGAAATCTATCAAACTCTTGTCAGTTGAAAAACAAAGCAGATAAATGTTGGTGATTGTATGTATCTCCGCCACACAACGAATCTTGAATACAGGTGTCTGCTAATGTGGAAGAGTTTGTTATACATTACTGCTCCAGAGTAAACCAGAACTACCACCACACTCCAAATTTATATTGACAACCATGATGCACAGAAAGAATTCCCTCTTAATTCAAACATGAGATTGCTTAATCACATACGTTTGGAAACTTTTGAAGCACAGCACAACTTGCAAGAAGGGTGGTTAAAGAGTTATAAAAAGGAGCTGAATTCTAGTCCCTTTCCCAATGCATGTTTATTGGCAGGAGGAGGACTTTAATCTGCATTATAGAACCAGAGGGTAGCATGGTAATTCCCAACAAATTAATTCAGGGAGAGGAAAGCATAATTGTTTATAGTAGAAAAAAGGCAACTATAAAATAATTACAAACATGTTAACTGTTACTCATACTGTATCAAACTATCCTCTGGACTGAGTTTCTAATTTAGACCATTAAGTCAAGTGGGAGGTGGTAATGGAACATGGCCGAAATGGTAAAACTGACAGCATGCAAAAAAAGAAAAAAGAAAGAAAGGGGGAGTTTCATCTTTGTTAATTACTGGAACCAGACTTTTAACAAGAAACAAGTTTTTAACAGTACAATCCCACTCATGCCTGCTCAGAAGTTACGGTCCAGAAGACCTTTTCCACCCCATTTCGGGATAGAGACTCCTTCCTCTCAACCTGGCAGGAATTCGTGTGCTATTGATTTTTGGCCTCTGGGAAGAAAGGACGTGATTTTTGTACAGGTAGTGATGATGACACCCTTGTACCCTTCAGCCACCTTGACCACGAGCAAATGGGTGGCTGAAGAGCGTGGCTGCCAAAGGTGCCAGCTTCCCAAAGAGGGAGCTTGAGGCTGCCTCTGGTCATCTCCCCACCCCACCCCCCACCCCCAAAAAAAGATGCACTAGGCTGCTGACAGGCAGGCAGGCTGGCTCTGGACAGGGCATGGCAGGCAAAAGGCCTCCCTCAGGGGTCAGTCGGGGCGGGGCAGAGAGGGAAGGGAGCTGCGGGGAGGGGGGGCCCTTTTCATGGGGGAGGCAGTTTTGACTGCGGGAGGGTGAGGGGGGAGCGGGATGTCCTCATGAGCAGAAGGACTCAACCCCCCGCCCCGCCCTCCAAAATGGGGGGGGAGCGGGCAACCCCGCTGCTGGGTCCCCTCAGAGAATGAGACACGCTTCCCGCCTCCCTCGCGCTTACTCTGGGAACCGTCGTCGAGGCGGTCGAACTCCCAGTCCGGCGAGAGGGTCTCCAGCGCCATGACGGACCCGCGCCCAGCGGCGGCGCCAGCAAGAGCAAGAGCAGCAGCAGCAGCAGCAGACCTGCCCCTTCCCACCCGACTCCAAAGACACGGGACTTCCTGTCACGCCCGCGCGGCATGCTGGGAAATGGAGTCTCCGGAGCTCGGGGCGGGCGGGCCGACGGCCGCGGCGCTTGGGCGGTTTAGAGGGGCGCCCAAACAGCGGCCCCTGCCGGGTGAAGCGGGCCTGGCAACCGGGGAGGGAAGCTCGTGACAGGCAGCGTTTAAGGACACGCCCGCACTGAAAACTGAAAGCAAATACATTCCGATTTGCAGGGCGATTTTAGGAATGTCTACTTAGAACCAAGTCCTTGCAATCCTGGACCCATTCAGATGAGAGTTAAACCTAATGGTGTTTACTTCTGAATAGGTTCTGCTAGGCGAGTTGAGGCGACTGCCTCAGGTGGCAGGATTCAAAGAGGCAGCAGATTCTTCCTCCAGGGAACGCACTGCCTGCAGAGACCTGCACGCCTGCAATTGGTTGCTAGAAAACCAGTTTGGTGTAGTGGTTACAGTGTTGGGCTAGAACCCGACACACTAGGGTCCAAATCCCCACTCGGCCATGAAGCTCCATGGGTCACCTTGGGTCAGTCACTGCCTCTCAACTTGACCTACCTCACAGGGTTATTGTGGGGATTAAATAAGGAGAGGGAGAGCCATGTACGCCATCTTGAGCTCATTAGAGGAAAAGCGGGTGATATAAATGCAATAAAATAAGAATCTACTCTTCTCCCATTGATTTAAATAAAACCAATACAATTCTCTATGGGTTATGCCAGACTGAAACACCTGCTCTGGTAGGAGATCACCACAGATCAGAGTTTCCAACTGACATAGCATTTTGCTTCAGATCCAAAGCAGAGCCTCCTTTTGGTTTGTCTTCTGATACTTGATTGTGGACTCACAAGGTCTGGAGTTGTTATGATTGCCTATGGCCAGCCCCCTGAACTACAGTGAACAACTCCAGTGTGGCAAGAGGGTGGCAGGTACCCCAGGCAAGTCATGTCTGTTAAAGTAGGGCTTTAAATGTATCATGTGGATGTGACCTTGTGGGTCCACAATCAAGTTCAGGAAACATTTTCCTCAAACCTCCATGTGTTCAGGCGACAAGAGAGTCTTTTTTTCTTTTCCTATTAGTGGCAGCAACCATATTAAGTTCTGTCTTAGTTACTGGCAGCCACATAACTGGATGCCAATCTGTCCATGAAGCCGTAAGTGTCAATCCACAGTTTCACTTGATGCTTCTCATGTGAACTCGGACAACTTGAAAATAAACACCAACTGCCTGTTGGCTTTGACTCACCAGAAGCAACATCATGTGGGTATTGATGTCTAATACATACAGGATTCCTCCTACTTCATACTAGAACTGCTCTCATATTACTGTTTGCCAGTGCTGGTAAGGGACAAATCAGGACAAAGAAGAAATGAGAAAGTTCCTTACATTTCTACTCTCTCATGCATGCTCATTCCTTTAGTAATTCATACTAAGGAAAAAACGTAACTTAATCCTAAAGGGCTTTTGCTCCCGTAAGGAGATGTGCTCTCTCCAGCCTTAGTTCTGGCCTCTTCCACTTCAAGATCTGTGACTCCACCGGGGAGAAGGAGGGAGCAGTGGCAACTTATTCTCGTTCAGCGGAGGTGGGGTGGTGTTTGCATTGGACAACCCTCTGTTGGGGCAGAGGGAGCTTCTTTTAGTCCAAGTCTACACCTAATTGTCTGAAAATTTCATCCCCAAGGAAAGGGATGCTTGCCAATTTCATCCATTTTTGCCAACGAATGAGGTTAAACATTACAACCAGCAAGAAAGGCATCTGAAGTATCAGAAGACAAACCAAAAGGAGGCTCTGCTTTGGATCTGAAGCAAAATGCTATGTCAGTTGGAAACTCTGATCTGTGGTGATCTCCTACGGAAATGAAGGACCAGAGCAGGTGTTTCAGTCCGGCATAATCCATAGAAAATTGTATTGGTTTTATTTAAATCAATGGGAGAAGAGTAGATTCTTATTTTATTGCATTTATGTCCCCTGCTTTTCCTCTAATGAGCTCAAGATGGCGTACATGGCTCTCCCTCTCCTTATTTAATCCCCACAACAACCCTGTGAGGTAGGTCAGGCTGAGAGGCAGTGACAGACCCAAGGTGACCCATGGAGCTTCATGGCCGAGTGGGGATTTGGACCCTAGTGTGTCAGGTCCTAGCCCAACACTGTAAACACTACACCAAACCGGCTCTCCAGGAACCAATTGCAGGCGTCTCTCTGTTTGGCCTTCAGAACTCCCCTTAGGCCCCTCTCCTCCACAGGTCACACCATTCACTCACCTCACCCTAATCTGCACCCTTGGGTGTTTTCGTCTGACCAGAATGTGTCTTCAGAGAGGGTGGTGATGCTTCTTCCTTACCTGGATGGATGATGCAGAGGTGAATGTGTATGTGCAGAACCCCTTGGTTTTTGCATAACTGAAACGTAGCCTTTGTACAAATACAAAAGTCACTCCCTTGCTCCACCCACTTATGTGTCTGGCAAGAGAATGTGCCTGACGAAAGGATTCCTACTCCAGTTTTAAGGCTACAATTGAAACAGATTTGAAATTTACAGCATGTTGTACACTGAAAGAAAATTTTATGAAAATGATGTACCAGTGGCATTTGACTCCTACTAAGTTACCTAAAATGTATACAACCAGTTCAAATATCGCTGGAAATGTAAAGAAAATGATGGTACCTTTTACCATATGTGGTGGTCATGTACATAACAAAATCATTTGGAGAGATATTATATAAAAAATTGGGAAAAAATGTTTAAGGTAACATTTATTTTAAAAAACAAAAGCTTTTTATTAGAAATTATATGTGCCGAGATGCAAAAGACCAGAAAAGACTTTTTATGTATGCGGCAACAGCTGCACAGATGTTATTAGCCCAAAGATGGAAAGAAGCAAGGATCCCAACTAGGGAACAATGGCAAGCCAAACTGCTGGATTATTCCAAAATGGCTAAACTATTTGGAAGACTCAAGAATCAAGAAGATAAAGATTTTTTAAAGAATGGGGAAAAATTATAACTTATTTAGGAGACCATTGTAAGCAAATTAAAATGTTAGCTGGACTTTAAAAACCACTTGTAAAGTAATGAACATTATGCATAATTAAGAAAAATGAAAATTATGGAAATTGCATTGATATGTAGATTTGGAAAAATAGTTATTAGGATCCATGTAAGGGATGGGGGGAAGTCAAGAAATTCAGAGAATCTCACAAAAGGGTTATATAGATAATTTGATGTAAAATTGTAGTTGTAAAAAAATCAATTAATTTTTTTTTCAAAAAAGGCTACAATCCTATACCCAGTTTTTTAAAGTACATTATATTATTCCACTGTAAAGTTCCAGTGCTATTTAAACATACCTGGGCTCAGCTGCAAATAAAACATTTTAAGCATGTTGTATACAAATGTGACACTAGATGGCGATGCTAAGCTATGGCAAATTCAATATATATTTTTCAAAACTTTTTTTAAAAAAACATTTTCACAATGTTTTTTTTATATGTGTTTAGATTCCACCCTGGACTTAATCCTCATTGAACACAGCTGCATTTATTTCTGAGCAAACATGCATAGGATGAAGCAGCAGATCTGATTGATTTCAATGGGGCTAAACTTCACCCCTTAGATCATCAGGCCTCTGCTGGGACCATCTCATTGCCCAGTTTTGCACTCATTGGGCAGATGGTTCGTACTAAGTAACTCTTGAATTGTGCTGGTGTTAGTTATAATTTTAAAATCAATCCTTTTTCCAGTACTCTCACAAGGTGGCACTATATCCTCAGCTACTAAGATTCTGCCCTTCATTTCTACTACTTTTGTTTTCCTCTTAAAATGCTTTAGGATCTGGGAACCTGTGGCCCTCTAGAACAGGCACCCCCAAACTCGGCCCTCCAGCTGTTTTGGGACTACAACTCCCATCACCCCTAGCTAACAGGATCAGTGGTCAGGGATGATGGGAATTGTAGTCCCAAAACAGCTGGAGGGCCGAGTTTGGGGATGCCTGCTCTAGAGGTGGCTGGGCTGTAACTCCCATCATCCCTGACCATTGATCATGCTGACTGGGGCCGTTGGGAGTTGGAGTTGAAGAGTCACAGCTTCTCCGCTTCTGCCTGCATCTCATTGATGCTGGCCATGTGGCTTAATCTGCAGAGGAGAGTTCTCTGTTTAAAGGAGTCCTCTATCTGAAGGGGGGATGCGGGTGGCGCTGTGGGTTAAACCACAGAGCCTAGGACTTGCCAATCAGAAGGTCGGCGGTTCAAATCCCTGCAACGGGGGGAGCTCCCGTTGCTCGGTCCCTGCTCCTGCCAACCTAGCAGTTCAAAAGCACGTCAAAGTGCAAGTAGATAAATAGGTACTTCTCCGGCGGGAAGGTAAACGGCGTTTCCGTGCGCTGCTCTGGTTCACCAGAAGTGGCTTAGTCATGCTGGCCACATGACCCGGAAGCTGTACGCCAGCTCCCTTGGCCAATAAAGCAAGATGAGCGCAGCAACCCCAGAGTCGGTCACGACTGGACCTAATGGTCAGAGGTCCCTTTACCTTTACCTTTACTATTTGAAGGGAGAATAAGATCCTTGAAGCTGCTCATCAACAGTTACTGCCTGGAGTGAGCAGGCCTTCAGGTCACTTGGGCCACTACCATGTGATGCATTTCTATTTAATATCCAGTAATGATTTCTAAATATGTATCTATGCATAACTCAGCATATGCACATTTTATACATGTGCATATTCTTTTGTCCTTTTTGGGAGATGCGTTTTTGCTTTATTGGTGATGAACCTTAGTCACGTCAGCACCATGCACTTAAAGCACACTTACAGCACCTTTTTTTTTTTTTTAACAATCATGGCTTCTCCCAAATAATCCTAGGATCTGTAGTTTGCTAAGGGTGCTGAGAGTTCATAGGAGACTCGTCACTACAATTCCCGGTAGCAAACAATAATTTCCAGAATGCTTTGGGGAGGAAGCCATAGGGGAACCTATGGCCCTCTATAGGTTATCAGTCCCAGCCAGCATGGTCCGGAATAATACAGACTTTAGTCCAACAACATCTGGAACACTGCAGGAGGTTACCCATCCTTGAAATAAATAGAAGACGGTGGGGGGTGTCCAAGTTTCTAAAATTCAATTCATACAATAAAACCTATAGCGGGCTAATACAATTCAGCATAGAAAAGGGTGCTGTAACTTCAATGCTATACTAAAGCTCAGGTCATAGAAGCTTGCCTGAAGCTTAAGAGAGAGCTTAATATACCCTTTCTAATTCATGCAGCAATGAGGATGGCAGCAAAATCAGTAATAAAAGACTCACTATTGCTTTCTGCAGAGAGCATGGGGTGTGTGGAGAAACACCCTTTGGCAGTAATTAAATCCAACCATAGTTATTATCTTTTTAAGGTATCCTAAGCAGTCAAGCAGAACCAAATAAAAAATCTAAAAAATAAAAACTAAAACATGAAAGGCTTCTTTCTTGTGAAAACTTGCTTCAGAGCACAGTAAAACTTGAAAAACAGCTACAGAGGAACAAATACTACTTCACTGGTTTGTAAAAAGATAAAAAGAGATAAGAACAATAACGCAGAATGTCTTAAACAGAACTCTACCTGAATTTTAAATGTTGTACAGGCAGAGTCTCAGAAATGGCTTCATGTGAGCAGGAAAGGGTCAAAACCAATACTAGAAAATAATCAACGGATAAGGAGGATTAGTAGCAGCAGTTTCAAATTTCACACAGCATTGGGAAATTCTGGAACAAGAGGGAGACAGACTAAAATTGCAGAGTTTTGAAAAACTAAAAAATAGAGTGCAAGACTGGCTCCATTATTATCAAATAATGGAGGCGTACAATTTGGATAAAAAAATTGGCTTCCAGGTGGAAAAATCAAAATTGGAAATAGAACTGTTAGATCCCAAAATTAAGAACTTGTCAAGAATGTATAACTTGCTGTTGAAATGGAATACTCAGGATGAAACGGTGAAATCAACTATGATTAAATGGGCACAAGATGTAGGACATAATATTATGATGGCTGACTGGGAACAGTTATGGACCACAGGTATGAAGTTTACGGCATGTAATGCCCTAAGAGAGAATATAATGAAAATGATCTACAGGTGGTACATGACACCAGTCAAGCTTGCAAAAATCTATCACTTGCCCGATAATAAATGTTGGAAATGTAAAGAGACTGAAGGTACATTTTTTCACCTTTGGTGGACGTGCCCAAGGATTAAGACATTCTGGGAGATGATTTATAATGAAATGAAAAAGGTATTTAAATATACCTTCCTGAAGAAACCAGAGGCCTTTCTCCTGGGCATGGTCGGCCAATTGGTGCCAAAAAAAAGGACAGAACTTTCTTTATGTATGCTACAACAGCAGCAAGAATACTCATCGCGAAGTACTGGAAGACACAAGATCTACCCACCCGGGAAGAATGGCAGATGAAGGTGATGGACTACATGGAACTGGCGGAAATGACTGGCAGAATCCGAGACCAGGGAGAAGAGTTGGTGGAAGAAGATTGGAAGAAATTTAAAGTTTACTTACAGAAACATTGTAAAATTAAGGAATGTTAGAAGGATGTTGGAATGAAGTAATGTGGTTTTAGCAGAGATGCTGTAAAGGATTAAGAAAAAACAGATTGTTAAATGGTGAAAGGAAGGAAAGCAAAGTTACATTATATTAAGATAAAAAAGAGGACATAAACTGGAAAAGATGGAAAGGATTTGCTGAAATAGCTAATTGAACTAGAATACAAAAAAGGGAGGTGTGAGGAGGTCAAGGAAACAAGCAAATGAAAGATAAGTTATGGGAAGATTCATTGTGTTTTGTTTTGTTTTGTTTTTTCTTCTTTTTTCTTTTTCTTTTTTTTTCTTTTTTATTGTGATGTGATGTTCTGTTTTTGCTTAGTATGCTGTTTTCTATTTTTTCTTTTTGTAACTTTTCAAATCTTAATAAATATTATTAAAATAAAAAAAAAACAAATTTCACACAGCATTATGAAATTGATCAGCCATGCTGGTTAGGCCACCTGTTGTCGTTGGAAAATAGATAGTGGGATTTAAAATAAAAACAGGTAATTAATGGACCTAACTTAATCATGTTCATTAATATCAATGGGTCTATTCTGAGGGGAAATGTGGTTAACTACCACCCAGTTTCTCCTTCCTTTTGGGGCAAGGGGGGGAAAATCTAGCAATTAATGGCCACTTTTGAAACACAGTTACACCTGCTGAGCAGAAAACATGAAATACGTGCCCAGTAAAAAGAACACTGTGACTTTCCCACATAAAGAATCCCTGCAGGGATGAGCGTAAGCTCAGTCTTTCATGAAACCACTTGCCTCCTACCTGATCCTGCAAGGCAGAAACATTTTATAAATCAGAGGAACGAAAGAGGTGTGCCGTTTATGTGTTAACGCTGCTGAGAGAGTTCTTTGAAATAAAATACCCCTATTTGACATCTTGTGGTGCTGAGATGTCCTGCTGTGAGAGAATTTTTCCTTAGTATATATTTTGTACTGGAGATGTTAGATGGCCCTTATTTGGAAATACTTCCTGTCAGATTTTAGGATATCACAGCCCAACACAACAGGTTTCATAAGACTGCAATTCCTTGGAAGCTCTTTAAAGAGATTTTTCAGCGGGAAAATAAATAACAATCAAGCGGTATATACATTTTATGGAAGAAATTCAATGCAATAAAATGCAAAAGATGAGGAACTCGGTGGGCAAAACGAAGCAGAACCATTTTTGCAATGGTACAATGATTCTTCCATAAAATGACTGGGTCGCACACATCAGGGAAAGCCTTATTAAAGAAAAATTCCGATAGCCACCTAAATATAAAAATGCAGGGCACTTCTCTAATTTCTGGGATTGTTAAGTTGTTCTGAACTGTTTTTAATACTGTATATTTATTTAATCAAACTTATATACCACTTTTTTATTCCAAGGAGCTCAAGGTGGCGTACCTGGTTCTCCTCCTTCCCATTTTATCCTCACAGCAAACTTGTGAGGTGGGTTAGGCTAAAAGATGGCAGCTGCCCCAAGTCCTAGTCCAACACTCTAACCATTACACCACACTGCCTCTTTTTGAATGTTATAACCCACCCTGGTACTGATTGGTAACTGAGTCAACACCTGTGAAGGCAGTGCACCCTGAAAGGCGGCTTAAGATCTTCAAAATAAACTAACAAGATCACCTAGTGAATGCACACCAAACGCAAGGATTTGAACCAGGTAGATCTGGATTCAGGTTCAGCCTCTCACCCACCAGATTTAGGGATTTAGGGGAGCACAACCAGTCTGGTTGCACTCAGGGCCACAGCAACTGTGATGTAGAATGGAAGATGAGAGGCTGGGGGCACCAAATGTTGGCATTGCATAAGGTGCTGCTGAAATTTGAGACCCCAAGGCCAACCGCTGGACCCACCAGTGTATCTTCACTATTCTTACGACACATAGGAAGCTGCTTTAGACCTAGTCTGCCCATTGGTCCCTTTAGCTCAGTACTGTCTACCGGCAGCAGCTTTCCAGGGTGCCAGACAGGGAACATTCCCAGCCCTACCTGGAGATGCTTGGGTTTGAACCTGCGACCTTCTGCATGCAAAGCAGATGCTCTGCCGCTCAGCTACGGCCCCTCCCTTCTCGTGGCTGCTGGAAAACCATCTACCTGTTGAATTTCTGCCTGTTCCCAGGCGAAAAATACAGGGTGCGGGAAGGAAAAAAGGGGGACTTTACTTCTCCCCCAAAGCTAAGCGCAGGGTCCGTCTGCTTTGAAGGTACATCTCCCACCAGGCAGGCCTCTCCTTGTTTTGTGGGGTGGCGGCGTTTTGTTTCAAATTTGAGGGCGAGGAGAAGCCAAGCAGCCAGGCGGGCCCCCGCCTCTCCACTGCTGGCGCGGCGGAGCTGCTGGCGCGCCTCCCATTTGCGCGCCCCCGCGGAGCTCGCTTCTGGCTGGCGGGCGGCCAAAGGCAGCTTGCTTGGGTTGCATCAGACTAGACGCTGCTGCCGCTGCTTGCTGGGTACCAAAAGCTGGACAAGCGATCTCCTAGAATTTCATTTCTCTCTCTCCGCTGGCCAAGAAATGGTTCGCTCTTGAGGCTGTTTCCATTATAATTATTCTGGACCGGCTCTCTCAGGCGCAGCGATGCTCTCCAAAACCAACCACTTGCTCAGGAAATTTTCCTCCACCGCCACGGTGAGTATAGATAAACTGAACTGCAGGAGCTAGATGGGAAGGATGCTGTCGTCGCTGCCTTCTTCCACCCCCCGGGAAGGGAAAGAGGCTTTTTGCCAAGAGGTGTCCCTTGTGCTTTGATGGTTCTTGCAAGGATTTGGGTGCCTTTTGGTTCCCAAGGCAGCAAATTAGATGGGAAAGGGTTGGAGTGGAGGAGAAGGGAGGCCAGTGGGCCTTTCATAATGTGAACGGACAATTTGAAAACACACACCAAAAAAACCCACAAACTTGTCAAAGGGATTTGGGCACTGGTGATAGTAGTGAAAAGTGACTTCTTGTGTGGGATGCTCTTAAAGGTAAGGTTTTTATTCCCTAAAAAAATATATCAGCACCATGGATGGTAAAGATCTTCACCTGTGTGTGGGGGGGGGGACCTCTCCCCCACAATGGGATGGTCAGTACAAGTTTGGTGTTGTGTTAGCCTGCTTGTGGAAAGGTTGTGCTTTGAGTCGTGTGTGTGTGCGCGCACGCGCACTTGCTCCCTTCCCTTTCTGATGGGCCCGTCTTCATTCCCAAAATTGCATTTGACTGCAGTTGTTGCATCTTATGCCCCCAAACCCCAGGGAAAGACAACGTTCTCACTCAAGGGTGGCACGTTTATGTCATCAAAGACTATAATTGTGTCACGCCTGCTGTCTTCTTCCAAAAAAACCCCTAAAGGCAGCTTTCACAGAGCTATAACAGGATAATTTTTAAAACAACCCTGCATAGTAAACTGGACTGAGCGAAAGATCAAGGTCACCCACCAGGCTTCACAGCCAAGCAGGGATTGGAACCCAAGTCTTCCAGCAACCAGGTCTCCAACATTATACCAGAATTGTAGATAAGCTCCTCCAAGTTGCCAGCCTATAACTAGAGACACAAGAAGCTGCCTTATACCAGTTCAGATTGTTGGTCCATCTAGCTACACTGACTGGCAGGCGCTCTCTGGGATTCCAGACAGAGGACATTCCTAGCCTTACCTGGAAATGTTGGGGATTGAACCTGAGACCTTATGCATGCAAAGCAGCTGAGCTATGGCCCTTCCCTAATAGTGAATTAGATTCTTGGGGGCTGGCAGAAGAGCTGCAGTTCTTCTGGGCATGGATGAGGGGATTTCCCTCCTTTAGCAATCTGCATGGTTTCTAGGCACTCCATCCCTCCTATGCTTGCTCACCTGCATGGAACCCCAGGCACTCCAGGCATGCGTTTCTTAGCCACGTATGCTATTTCTGCAAACCTAGAGACAAGGCGGCTGCTTTGGTGATTTCTGGGTTTGAAAGTGATTACAAGAGTGCCATGGATATTTGTGGACTATTGCAATATTCTCTGGCGGATTGAGTGGACAAGACCAATAGTAGGTCCAACGGTCAAGTAGGCGGTTTCTGCACGTGCTGGAATTGGGGGGCAGATGGAGCACCCCAAATTATACCTGCACCTGCACCATTATAGCAACATTTGTTTTCTGGAGGCAGGAGATCTGCTGTTGTCACTGAAAGGTCCATTTTAGAAGTATGGTTGAAAGGCACTTGTGGTTGGATTTCAGGTAGTGGGGGCAAAGTGGCCCTTTAAAGGTAAAGGGACCCCTGACCATTAGGTCCAGTCATGTCTGACTCTGGGGTTGTGGTGCTCATCTTGCTTTATTGGCCGAGGGAGCCGGCGTACAGCTTCCGGGTCATGTGGCCAGCATGACTAAGCCGCTTCTGGCGAACCAGAGCAGCGCACGGAAACGCCGTTTACCTTCCCGCCGGAGTGGTACCTATTTATCTGCTTGCAATTTTAAGTGCTTTGGAACTGCTAGGTGGGCAGGAGCTGGGACCGGGTAACGGGAGCTCACGCCGTTGTGTGGATTCGAACCGCTGACCTTCTGATTGGCAAGTCCTAGGCTCTGTGGTTTAACCCACAGTGCCACCCGCGTCCCTCAAAGGGGCCCTTTAGTTCCTCATTAAAAATGTGTGTGCAAGTAAGGGAGGCATTCCAGTTTCGACAGTGAAATTCGCAGGCTCTGCCAGCTAACTGCTGCTTTTCAGAAACCTGGATGGTACACTGTGTTTGACAACACTGTCTGGTGCAGCGTCAGCAGTAGTTTGAATGGAGAGGGGGAACTGTGTCAAGGGATTGCTATAGGAAGAAGGCTTAAGCCGAGCAGCTTGGATTGCATCAGCAATGCTAAATATGAGAACGAATGGCTGATGACAGCACATTGCATATGGATGGGGAGGGGCTTTGCTTTAGGTTGCCACAAGAAGTTTCTTTGCTGGAAAAGGAGCCCACCATAGAAACAGAAAGGAATCCTGTTGCTTTTTTTATATGACGAATTAGCTACAGAGATATCTCCTGGAGCAGCTATTTTAGTGCCCAGCTATGCATTGCTAGGAACTGAAAATCATCCAAGGAAAATGCCATAGCTCAGAGGTAGAGCATCTGCTTTCCCAGGGCCCCTGCTTCCATCCCTACCAGGAGGTATGAGAGAGACTCCTGCCTGAAACCTGGAGAGCCGAGGCCACTCACTTTCGATAATACTGAGCTTGGTGAATGCCGTGGTCTGCAGAGGTGGGCTTCGGTCTTCCAAATTTCAGCAGCACCCTGTGCAAGGTCAGAAATCACCCCCACTGCCACCTCTCACCTTCCGTTCTGCTCAATTCACTACGTCAGAGTTGCAGTGCGCCCGCCCGCTTGGTGCCCAGGGCAGCAGCACCGGTCGTGGTGCCCTAAATCTGCCTCTATGGTCTGACTCTGTAGAAGGCAGCTTCCTATGTTCCTATGTTCCCCCAAAGAGCTGCTAGATAGGATGTGGGACAGTCATGTGCAAACATCCATCAAGTTCAGAGGGTTAAAATTATACAAAAAGAATTCTGTGAGCTGATGGCCTACCGCTGCACGAGGTGACCAAGCACACTTGATGTGCACATTTCCTCTTATGATGAATTGCTTTCCTTGTCTGCCGGACAACTTAACTGAGTAAGAAGCAATACAAGATTTACAGAAGAACAAGCTAACTCTTCAGGTCTTTTGTTGACAGGCTTATTACCAAAATAAACTAAAGCTAGCTTTGATAGGCCAGAGCCTTTTTGGGCAAGAGGTCTACAAGCACTTGCAAAAGGAAGGCCACAAAGTTGTGGGAGTGTTCACAGTCCCAGACAAAAATGGAAAGGCTGACCCTTTGGGTAAGTACCGTACTCCACCTTTTTTTGTGTGACTATCATTTTTTATAACAGGAACAATGCAGTGACCCATGCTCATTTTGCTTTCTGTGTGCTGAGATGTGTTGCTGTTGGGTTTGTTGTGAAGCAGCCATCCAATTTCTTCACCAAACGCACAGCTGTTTTGCCCTGTGCTGAGCTGAACAAATTCAATCCCAGGCTTCATCTTTAGACGCCAAATTATAGCACTAATCAAGCCCTTCCTGCACCACTCCAGTATTATCATAAGATCTGAAGAATCCGTAGGAAGACATAATTATATATATATATATATATATATATATATATATATATATATACTCTGCCCATCTGGTTCGGTTTTCCCAGCCACTCTGAGCGGCTCCCAACAGAATATTAAAAGCACAATAAAACATCAAACATTAAAAACTTCCACAAATTCCTTAAAGCCCTGCCAGCCCCTGACAGGTTGCATGTTCAGGCTATTCCAAGCAGAACCACAAGTTGTGTGGGAACTTCAATAACTACAGAGGGGTGGCCATGAGGATGCATATCATTCATTCATCAAATGTATATCGTAGGGCAGCTGTCAACATGAGATCCAATGAAACTATATGCAATAGCCAATAATAATAAGTGGGTAATAATAATAATAATTTCTTACTTATACCCTGCCCATCTGGCCGGGTCTCCCCAACCGCTCTGAGCGGCTCCCAACAGAATATTAAAAGCACAATAAAACATCAAACATTAAAAACTTCCCTTAACAGGGCTGCCTTCAAAGGTCTTCTAAAAGTCAGATAGTTGTTTATTTCCTTGACATCTGATTGATTGGAGGGCATTCCACAGTGTAGGTGCCACTACCAAGAAGGCCCTCTCAGGGGCAGAGGAAGAGGGGGTGCAGTGGGGCGGGCCGACCCAGGTGTCACCACTGAGGGGGGTGACAAAATGCCGGGCGGCACTCACCACGGGGCCTGCAGCGTGACCGAGCCACGCATGTCTCCTGGGAGAGACGTGGTGGCTTTGGTACACGCAGGCTCCGCGCTGCCCAAACAGTCCGCCCACTGCATCCCCCCAGCTGTAGGGCGGCTGAGTAGGAGGCAGACTACTCAGAGGCTTTGCCGCTGGGCCCTCTGCCTGGTTCCCTGTAACCTCACTTCTGTCAGGGAGGGAACCACTAGAAGGCCCTCAGAGCTCGACCTCAGTGTCCGGACTGAACAATGGGGGTGGAGATGCTCCTTCAGGTATACTGGGCCTAGGCCATTTAGGGCTTTAAAGCTCAGCACCAACACTTTGAATTGTGCTCAGAAGTGTACTGGGAGCCAATATAGGTCTTTCATGACCGGTGTTATATGGTCTCGGCGGCCACTCCCAGTCACCAGTCTAACTGCCGCATTCTGGATTAGTTGCAGTTTCCGGGTTAACTTCAAAGATAGCCCCATGTAGAGCGCATTGCAGTATCCCAAGCAGGAGATAACTAGAGCATGTGCCACATCCACAGGCAGGTAGGGTCTCAGCCTGCGTACCAGATGGAGCTGGTAGACGGCTGCTCTGGACACAGAATTGACCTGTGCCTCCATGGACAGCTGTGAGTCCAAAATGACTCCCAGGCTGCGCACCTGCTCCTTCAGGGACACAGTTGCCCTATTCAGGACCAGGGAGTCCTCCACACCTGGCCGCCTCCTGTCCCCCAAAACAGTACTTCTGTCTTGTCAGGATTCAACCTCAATCTGCTAGCCACCATCCATCCACCAACAGCCCACAATGTGCTGTCTTCTCTCACAAGGATTGCTCAAGTAAAGAGAAAACACATCACTGAAAGTGGATGTAAATTTGCACAATATGTACACCTGCTAATTTATACTTATAGATGCACATTTAGAAATAATTCCTATGATTAAATAAAAAATACAGTCCATCTCACCATCTTGAGATGGTGCCTACCCAGCTTGCTGTCCAAGTGCTAACTCTGGATAGGCAACTTCAAGAAAGTCAGTTAAACAGAGAACTGTTGTCCATAAAATAGGACACACAGGCACCCTATACATGGTCTAGATCAGGAGTGAGGAACCTTTTCAGCCCAGTGGCCTGGATCCTTAATTTTCCCCACTTTGATAAGTGGGTGGGGCTTCCCACTTATTGAGCACCTGGCCGCACCATGATGTCAGGTAACCCATTTTTCTTTTCCATCATGCCTTGACTTCAAGCTACGCTGCAAAGAAAGTTCCTAGCCCATCCCTGTGGGGCTGAAGTCACTGGTAGTCAGTGGATAAAATTCCCAATTGGAAACTTTAGGGTGTAGCCAATCCCAGCAGGACTTGAATTCACTGCTGGTCAGGGATGGGTCAGGTGGCTTGGGGGAAACTGCTTTGTGGGCCAAATTAGAAGCCCTTCCAGGAGGTTCTCCATACCTGGTCTACACCTGGCTGGCTGCAACTGCTAAAGCAGGGTGAGAAGGGGGCTTGCTTTGTCCTTACATATTTTACCTATCTATGTCAGTTTTTCAGTCACCAAGAATATTTGCAAGTGGTCTTCCCCCCTTATTTGCCAGCATCAGCTGCAGAAAAGGATGGAACCCCTGTGTTTAAGTTCCCAAGGTGGAGAGTTAAGGGCAAGCCAATCGAGGAAGTTATCGAAGCCTACAAATCAGTTGGAGCAGAGCTGAACGTCCTTCCGTACTGCACTCAGTTCATTCCCATGGACGTTATTGACAGTCCGAAGCATGGTTCCATTATTTACCATCCATCGATCCTTCCCCGTCATAGAGGTGCTTCTGCAATCAACTGGTGAGTAGGCTTGATAAAAGCCTAGCTGAGCATCCATTTGCATGGGAGGTGGCAAGGGTGGGAGGCTGAAGGATGAAGAGGGAGCAGGCAAGGAGTGGCCATCTACCCACTATAGAACAGGGAAGGGCAACTGGTGGCCTTCCAGATGTACTTAGACTCCAATGTCCATTAGTTTCAGCCAGACTGGCTTACGGTCAGGTAAGATGGCAGGGTTTTTTTAAAGACTCTTCCAAAGTTTGCAAGGCAATCTGTGCACCTGTCTCATAGCTGCAAATAATGAAATGATATTGCTTTATCAAGACATTTTGATCTCATTCATACCTGACTTTTTGCTTACATTCAGGACTTTAATCCAAGGGGATAAGAAGGCTGGCTTCACCATTTTCTGGGCTGATGATGGTCTGGACACAGGGCCAATTCTCCTACAAAGGGAATGTGATGTTGCCCCAAATGATACTGTTGATGACCTGTACAATCGGTTTCTTTTCCCAGAAGGAATAAAAGCTATGGTAAGACAATCTGAGCTAAAAAGGCATGTCGTTGGGCACTTCAAAAATCAGAGTTTTGATCTGGAGAAGAATATGGCACAAACTGTCAGACAGATATTTGGTAATAATACTACTTGCTGTTTAGTTAGCAGTTTTCTAACAACTCAAAAATCTTCACATATATTATTATTTGTTGCATTTATATCCCACCTTTTTCTCCACGGAGCTCAAGGTGGTGTACATGGTTCTTCCCCTCCTCATTCAATCCCCATAACAACCCTGTGAGGTAGATTAGGCTGAGAGGCAGTGACTGGCCTGAGGTCACCCGGTAAGTGTCAATGTCAATGTTTATTATTACGGCAAACAGCCAGCATACTAAAACCAGAATTTCTGCATGATTCTTTACATAAACAATAAAAACAATCAGTGTGGGAATTTGAACCTTCATCTCGCAGGTCCTTTTCTGACACTCTAACCACTACACATTACCTCAATAATCTAGCGAAGTAGGCCAATATTATTGTATTTCTGTTATGGTCATGGGGCTGAGGCCTATCCAGGAAGTTACTGTTGGGATACTGCCAGGGAGACAAAGTCCATCATGGCCCCCAAGCCGGCTGCTGGACGATCCATCGATCTCCCGTAGTCACACAGTATCAGCAATTAGCGACATGAGCTCCAGAAAATAGCCTGCCACATTCTAGAGCCGATGCACACTCTGTTAGCAGATAATGCACAGCAGAAGTCGCACTCAGGAGAGCATTATTTACAAGTTTTATTCAGCGTTGATCAGAACAAAGAAAAACATGATTGCCTGCTTTAGTATCTACGACACAGAGAGAAAACGAAAGCAACAGAAAACATAAACATCCTGTGAACAGGAAATGCGCAGACTCTGTGACTCACAAAGCCTGCTCCCTTTTAAGGTGGAACGGAAATATCCTAACAGTTACTAAATATTTAACTGAATATAATCCAGGAAGTTACTGAATATTTAACTGAATATAATAAAATGAAGGTTAATTTAGGGTTGAATTTAGAACTTCATAGGGCACTTCCAGACCTATTTACTGGGAATTCATCCTGGTTTGGTTTGGTTTTTGCATGGAAATTAGGCAGTGTTGGCTGTTTAATGAGCTTTCATTCCAATTTATTTGTGCGGACGTTAGATGCTGTGTCAAAGAAAGTGCTATCGCACACTTTCCATTCACTTTCTTTATCACAAAAAAAAAATAATCCTCCGGAAGCAGGTTTTTGTGGAAGACTTCCTAATCAACTATAACTACACAATCTGAATTTGCTGGTATGTAATTAAATCCTGTCTGAGAACAGTGTGGAAGTGCCTATAGTTCAGATGTACTGAGGCAATACATGGCAACAAATACTACCAATAAAATGCTACTGATATGCTGATCCCGCGATAGGATTTTCAAGCAGCTATCACACATGCTTGAATTGGTCCTTTAAATAGCTGTAAAAATGATTAAACAACATTTTGATTCCTAGAGCAATCAAAATTGTGTTGTTTTTTGTTTAGGTAGAAGCTGTACAGTTAATTGCTGATGGTAAAGCTCCTCATATAACTCAGCCTGAAGAAGGGGCAACTTATGAAGGCATTCAGAAGAAAGAAAATGCAGAGGTATTGTTGGCAACAGTGTGCTGTGGCCCAAGGTGTGGCTGTGGTTTCTGATATAATGGCTGTATTTGGCCATGATGCTGAACCATGGTTTAGCTTTGCATAACATGAATGGGATTCTGCCATTTCCCTCTCCTCTTAAAGCAAGCGGTTGGGAGCTTTTGCTTTAGTTTGTCAGCTTTGTCCAAACTGGGAATCATTAACCATGATTAGTTTCAAAACAATATAACTTGAATCTGCGGTTTGTAAAGCTGGTTCATTTAAACTGAGCATAGTTAGTGTAAAATAAAGTTCCCCATTCAGACAAAATGACAGACTGTGATTAACTAAAAGCAAAAGGTAAAGCTTCCAAACTCCTCTTCCTCAGACACGCAGGAGAAGGGGATAGCAGGGATTGCACAAGCCCTGGTGGAGCTCAGGCCTATTCACTTCACACTAAACCGTGGTTTGGCATTATATTAAATGCAGCCAATGACAAAAGACAAAAGTGTCAGTTGTAAGTTTGCCACTAATGTTCATCCCTGTAGAATGTATTTATTTACTGAATGTATTAATTTACGAAATGAATTGGAACACCTCACGTACTGGTGAGCGCAAATCAATGTGCAATTTAAACTAAAACACCATGTTATGTAAGAAATTTATAAGGTATTACTTGAAAAACTAGAAGAATTTTCTGGATCTTCCTCTGTGCTGGTATCCTCCAACAAGAGCCAAATTTGACATTTTCTACATACATTTCATAAACACTCAGAATGTTCCTCTTTCCATAACTAATTTATTCATTGAAAGAACTATTAAATGGTAGTAACCAACATCTGCAGGTAGACTACAACTCCCATCATCCCTGACCATTGGCCATGCAGGCTAGGGCTGATGGGTGTTGGAGTCCAACAACATTATAACTAGACTATAACTTTATTCTACCCACACATTTATTGCTGTGCTGACTGTGACTTCATCCCAAATCCCCCAGATTAATGTCAACAAGGAACTTTACTGCTGTTCGAATTCAGTCCCAATTGCTTTTAACAGGAAATGTCCATTAATCCATGATTTATCTTTTTCGATCCAGATTTGATTTTTAATTGTAGTAGGCCTATGTTATGACTGTCATAAGACAGCTAACCTCCTCACCCTCTTTCGTGAATGAATTCCAAGAAAGTGCAACATGCCTCCACAGAAGCCATTTATAATTAGAAACATCCTGACCTGCCCGGCATCTCCAGTGAGAGATCAATTTATATGGAACAGCTGTTCTTCCCTTTAACTCAGCCTATTAAAAAAATAAAAATAAATCACCAGTTTTACTTTTCTATGGAATATCTATCCTGGGAAAAAAGGTTTCTGTGTCATTATTAATGCAAGGATCATAACACACTGCTTGCAAGAATATAAGCGGTTACAGATGAACTATTAAAGACCACCACACACAAAAAACTAAATTCATGTCAGTTCCTTAGAACAGGTTAACATGTGGCTCTCCAGATGTTGTTGAGCTACAACTTGTATCAGGCCCAGGAACCATGACCAGCCGTCAAGGATGGCAGAAGTTATAGTTCAGCAACAGCTGGAGTGCCACAGATCAGCCACCTCTGGTTTCCTTTACTTATTTATACCAAGTAAGCCTTTTTTTTGGATGGACTAGGTAACAGAAGAAAAAGACAAGCAAATCTTAACTTGTACAGAAGTAGACCTCTTGACTAACAGTGCAGTCCTACAGGATTTTAGGCTAAGGTTCGTTCCTTACCATATTGCAATGCTATCTACATAAGGACATTGCCAGTACATTGAGACAGAAGATTCTCTCTTTACCTGTTTTTTACAACTGTTGCAATCTATCTCACAAAATAGCACTCTTAGTAACATCTGAAAAGTATTTTGCCTCATTGCACGAGGATTAAATGAATATTCTGCTGCATTCACTTTCTCTGCATCATATTATGTTGCTTGTTATTATTGCCAGCTCTGTAGCCATTGTCACAATCAGATGTCATGATCAAACATGGTTTAGCATGAGGGGAAAGAGCCTAGATGAACCTTGAGCTCATTTGCTTCCCTTTTCTCTTTCTTCCTGCAGTGCAACCGCAAGGAATAAATCAGAAGCTCTTCGGTTCTATTTTTTTTTATTAACTGGCAGCTTCTCATATGGTCCAAACCCAATAAACTGTGGTTAGCCTTAACTATGATTTGTTTGACACAAGTCAACTTAAAACCAGGAGCTATGAAGTTGATGTGTTTCAACAGATGTTCCTCATTCTAAGCAGAAGACTGAACTGTAGTCAATCAAAAACAGAAGTGAAAAGCTCTCACACAAGTGGCATTTAACGCCTTTGAGGTGTAGTCATATTAACAAAGCTATCTCTCCTCTTTGCTGGAGAGGGTGTAAAGAGGTTAGAATCACTATACATATGTGGTGGGCATTACAAATTACAACCATTTTGGAAGAATGCTGTTGAGGAAATAAGTTTCATCCCCAAACAAAGTGTTACTTGTACCCCAACTTTAGTATTGTTAGCAATATTTAAAAATGAAAATGTCAGTCTGAGATACAAAGAATTGATTCCTCTTCTGTTAGTAGCAGCTCAACAACTTGTTGCCCCAAACTGGAAATCCTTTGAACATTTGGCAAATGTCACAATGGAAACAAAAAGTTTGGACCATAGCACTTTCAGGGGGGAAAACAACTGACCAAGGAAGTTAAAGCCTTAGCTGGAAAAGGAGAGGAGGACAATTTTATAGAAACGTCGTATCCTTTCATCACATACGGTACTCAACAGAACATCACAAGACTCACATTTGAAACTTTGGAAAAACATTTCCCCATAGGGTTCTGTGATCAGGGGATGGGGGTGCGTGGGGAGAGAAAATGTTTGATAAAGGGTGTTTTGTTCTTATGTTCTTTTTGAAAAACAAAAACAAAAAACACTTTTATATATGAAAAAAAATAGAAGTGAAAGCTTTCGATCTGCTTGTGGACATACTGGAGGAAGAGAGGTAGGGACTCCTGTCACAGTAAGCCATAGTTTATCATGAAGTCCAAACACAGCCCTTGACCAATTAACCAATATTGGGAATGGCTTAGATATAGGTAGGTAGCTGTGTTGGTCTGCAGTAGTCGAAACAAAATAAAAAATTCCTTCCAGTAGCCCCTTAGAGACCAACTAAGTTTGCTATTGGTATGAGCTTTCGTGTGTATCTGAAGATACATTTTGTGTGTATCTGAAGAAGTGTGCATGCACACGAAAGCTCATACCAATAACAAACTTAGCTGGTCACTAAGGTGCTACTGGAAGGAATTTTTTTATTTGGAATGGCTTAACAGTATGATATGGTATGTAAGTAGGAACAAGTAACTTGCGCATTTTGGTTTCCTAGATTTCTTGGGATCAATCAGCTGCAGCTTTGCACAACTGGATCCGAGGGCATGATAAAGTACCTGGAGCTTGGGCAATGATTGATGACAAGGTAAACAATGTACATTACAACAAGCATATTCTGTTGCCTTTTGATAACCAAATGAGTATAGATCAAGGTCTTATCAAGAATGAGGATCGGTACATGACTGCTGAAAGAATAATGATTTAGGACTCAGCTAGACTGGTATATAAAAGCGATTTATATGCGTTGTATGTTCAACAGAACATTGTGGCAATGTGGAGTCCTGTTTTCTGTTTTCCTTGTTTAAATTTACAATGCTTTCAACTGAAACACTTCTTTGATGTGTCTATATCCAGCCTTGGTAACATAGCCAGTAGGTGCTTCTAATGTAAAATATATTAATGACAAAGAAATGATACTCTTTTGCTTTTATCTCTTGAATCATACTTTTGCCAAGGACTTTCATTTAGATCAGGGAGGGGAACCTGTGGCCCTCCAGATGTTGTTGGAACACACCTCTCAACACTGAGGGCCATTGTCCATTATTGCTGAAGCTGCTGGAGTTGCAATCCAACAACATCTGGAGGACCACAAGTTCCTCATCCATGATTTAGATGCACTTATAATTGGCGCCCAAATATTCCTCTTGCACAATATAGTTTACAACAGGAATTTCCCCATAAACTACCACTGAAAGACAAGACCAAATAGATTGGTTCTATCCAACTTGGCCAGTTGTGTAAAATCCAAGCATTGCTGCCACTGTTTGCTGATTTTTTTCCTTTTTGTAAAAAATAATAATATTTTTTTATATATTAAAAAACAGATGGTTACTTTCTATGGGTCATCATTACTTCATGGTTCACCACCTCTGGGTGAAGAACTGGCAATAAAAGGTGCTGCAAAACCTGGTCTTGTAACGGAGAATGGGCTGGTTCTGTTTGGCAATGATGGAAAGATGGTAAGCATTTCAGAAGCAGTCTTGGGGTTTGGACATAAGAATGAACTGCAGTTCTAAGTGATCATAGAATCATAGAGTTTGGACCAGAATAAGATAACATCACATGATTCCAGTGTGAATATTATGCCATTCAAAACAAGGACTGACTTTGTGATGGCACTGTGATTCTAGGATTCTGAAGATTCACATCTTTACCCTGCCCTGTGACACCTGAGATATGTGTCTCCCAATTTCTGTGGATTTGATTTGTTTTAACTATTCTTAGTATTGGATTTTTAAATGGAACCTGCTGGTTGAGGGTGGGTTAAAAAAAATGGTATTGCTGTTGTTAATAATTATAAAAGCTTAGAATGGGGGCTTTGTTTATTACAGTTTTTTGGGGTTTTTTACACCGCTAGCTTCTTTTTGTATTTGTTTCTTTTTCTTTAGTTGCTGGTAAGAAATCTACAGTTTGAAGATGGAAGAATGATACCAGCATCTAAATACTTCTCCGCTGATAAGCTGTCTGCCATAGAACTTACTGAAGAAGAGAAACAGATGGCAGAAAATATCAAGGTAAACAATTTCTGTGTTTTGAGAAAGAAAATCGATGAACGTGTGCAGTGGGCTTATAAACCTGGAGGCACACACTGTGTTTTTTAGCCTTTCTACAAAGCATAGAACATTTTAGTGTGCTATAAGTAATAAATAAGGTTCCACACACTTACCTGGGAGTAAGTCTATTTGAACTCAGTGAACAATAATCATAGAATCACAGAATTGTAGAGTCGGAGGTGGCACAGAACTCCATAAATAACTGGCTCCTTCCTCTGGATCAGCCTTGAGGGGGGGGGCCCTGCCTCTGCCACAAATTCCTTAAAGCCCTGCCAGCCCCTGACAGGTTCCATGTTCAGGCTATTCCAAGCAGAACCACAAGTGGTGTGGGAACGTCAAAAACTAGAGAGGGGTGGCCATGAGGATGCATTTCATTCATTCATCAAATGTATATCTAGGCCTTCCTCTCGGAAGGATCGTAGGGCAGCTGACAACATGAGATCCAATGAAACTATATGCAATAGCCAATAATAATAAGCGGGTAATAATAATAATAATTTCTTTCTTATACCCTGCCCATCTGGTCGGTCCTTCCCAGCCACTCTGGACGGCTTCCAACAGAATATTAAAAGCATGATAAAACATCAAACATTAAAAACTTCCCTAAACAGAGCTGCCCAGATGTTTTCCAAAAGTAAGATAGTTGTTTATTTCCTCGACATCTGATGGGAAGGCATTCCACAGGGCGGGCACCACTAACGAGAAGGCCCTCTGACTGGTTCCCTGTAACCTCACAGGGAGGGAACCGCCAGAAGGTCCTCAGAGCTGGACCTCAGGGCTTTGGCTTAACATTGCAGGCTAGTTGGGAAGTCCATAGTGGGGACCAGTTCAAAGATGTTAGTTTCTACAATGCATGATATGTAAACCAACTTGCTTCATTGGTAGATGGATTTGTTTGTATCGTTGTGTCACACATTTTCCATATCTTGCAGTCCATTTGGAAGGGAATTTTGAGCAACGTGGCTGTAATTGAGGATACCACGGACTTCTTTAAATCTGGAGCTTCTTCTATGGATGTTGTTAGGTAAGCCAACCTCCTCCTGTAAGGTCTCAATTCAGACATGCTGGAAGAAGAGCCTAATCTTCTAAAGCTAGCCTGTCACTTCCCTCAGGTGTCAGTAGTGTTGAAGGTAAGATGCAGCTGCCAGTCTGGTCAGCTTCTGTGCATGGAATTGTGGAAGAAAGGGCACTGTTCCATTTTTCACCTCAGGCAATAAAATGTCCTGGCATGGCTCTGGTCATATTGCAAGCAGACAGACATTTTGGCTTGATATTTGCTGCATTGTAGAACCACCATAACACCAGTCCCAGCTTGAAGGCCAGGAAGGGATCGAGTGATCTTGGGAGCTAATAGGGTCCCATCTAGCCTTATATTACTACTACCTCTAGCCTAACTCCTCACTTTGAGCAATTTGTCACTCAGTGTAAGCTAAGTTGCTTGAACATAGCCTGAATCCACTCTTGCACCTCTGCTGAGGTACACCTCCAGGCTGCCAGCTCTGATGTCTCCCATTTAAAACAGTGTGGCTCCAAAATGCCATTTGAAAGATGAAGACTCAAATGACTCATGATGCAGTCAGTGCAAAAGAGGCAGGGAGAGAGAAATGAAAGCAGCCACATGCGATCGTCCCATTCAGTTTTCTATTGATTTCACTGTTTTGGTCAACTTTCACTTGTTTGATTTCTTTGTCTCCCAAGGATGATTGAAGAGATTAAGCAAAAATGTGGTGAACTTGAGCTACAGAATGAAGATGTCTATATGGCGCCCAAGTTTGGAGAGTTCATCCAAATGGTTGTCAGAAAGCACAGGGGAGAAGGCAAGGAGGAAGAATTAGTAATTGATTATGTTAGTAGCTTATTTTTTCCCCCCATTTTCTTTCATTACACTAGTAAATTGACAAGGTGTGTAGTAAGGGAGAAATTTTACATTGCAAGGACCCTCTGTAGAACATAGTGCATCCCTGGGCATACATTGGCCCAGTTTGCATGTAACACTAAGCCAAGCAAACGTAGAAATATGTAGGCTCTCAGAGAGGAAATTGCGCCCACTCTGCTCTTTGTTGAGTCCGGCTGCTGCTGCTGCTGTGAGCTGAGCCATAGTTTGACATAGTGTGCTGTGCTTTTGGACTATAATTCCCATCAGTCCCAATTGGAAGACACCAGGATAGTAATATTTATTCTAGTACAGTCATACCTTGGAAGTCGAATGGAGTCCATTCGACTTCCAAAACAATCAGAAACCAAGGCATGGCTTCCAATTGGCTGCAGGAAGCTCCTGCAGCCAATTGGAAGCTGCAGAAGCCACATTGGATGTTCGGATTTCAAAGAACGTTCACAAACTGGAACAATCGCTTCCAGGTCTGCGGCATTCGGGAGCCAAAACATTTAACTCGCAAGGCGTTCAGGATCCAAGGTACAACTGTAGCTGTTAGAATCAAATCACCTGACATATAGATAACTTGTCTGAAAGTAAACTGAAGATTAAATCCCACACACTCATCAATGGGATCTCATTTGGATCCTAATATGGGCTACAAACGAATTGGAACCGTTCAAAATATATGTTTGTTCTGCTTAATGTTTTCTGCAGGAAGTTCATTGGTCATAGTTCACACATGCTAGTTCAGAGGACAAATTGAAGCTTGTGATTTTTGTTTTGCCGTTAGGTTTCAAAAGATGTCAACCGTATGACTGTGAAGATGCCATATCAGTGTTTTATTAATGGGCAGTTTGTGAATGCTGAAGACGGGGGAACATACGACTCTATAAATCCAACCGATGGATCTGTGAGTTAACCCTTAGTGTCCACATTGTCTTTCTCTGAGTTCTTCGTATCTGGGTTGTGCAGAACTCTTTAAAAATGTAGTAAATACTATACAAGGAATCCCTTCCATTGTGCCAGAGCAACCTGTTTGAGAATCTGAATTGAAAAGCCAATAACACACTGCCACTGGTCACAATGTCTACAAGTTGTATGGCCAGCTGGGATAAAAAAGTTCTAAATTAAGAGGTGCCAAAAGTTGTTCATCTCTCAGCCGCACTGATGGAGTGATTCTCCATCCCTTTTCTTCCCTGTTGTAGTGTAGTATGTTAGAGTGCAAGGCAAACTCCCATCTCCTTGCCAGTGGGGCTTTACAGAACGATGTAATCATAGAATTGTAGAGTTGGAAGGCCCCTCAAGTATCATCTAGTCCAACCCCCTGCAATGCAGGAATCTCAACTAATGCATCCAAGACAGATGGCCATCCAATCTCTGCTTACAAACCCCCAAGGAAGGAGATTCCCCCACCTTCTGAGGGAGTCCGTTTCACTGTTGAACAGTTCTTACCGTCAGAAAGTTCTTCCTGATGTTTAGTTGGAATCTCCTTTCTTACATCTTAAAGCCATTGGTCTGAGTCCCGCTCTCAAGAGCAGAAGGATCACAGGGCCTGATCCCTGCAGCGCTGGATTTAGGGTGGTGCGGGCAGTTCCCCTGCACAGGGCGCTGAGCCGAGGGGGCACAAGGTAGAGAAGATCCATTTGTTGGGCCAAATTTTGTCCTCGTACATGGTGCCATATTATAGATGATTACCTGTGACAGTTCTAGGCTGGCACAGTGATTGGGTCCAACACCAGCTTGAGATGACTGTTGAGACTGACTTGGGGTCCAGCGGATCCTGGGGTGACTCAGCCTTGCCTGCGCCCCACCCTTGGAACATCCCTTTTACAGGGTTTTCCACTAGGCTCCCCCAGCAGCAATGCTGCCAGGTGGAAGGAGGAGCTTTATACCAACAGAATGTTGTTGTTGTTGTTGTTGCCTGGGATTGCTCTGCCTGCTGGCATCTATGCTTTGGAGGAAGGAAGCTCAGCAGCAAGGTTAATTCTGACCAAGCCTCTCTCTATATTTATGGCAGGTGATTGCCAAAGTGTCGCTGGCTACAGCGGCCGATGTTGACAAAGCAGTTGCGGCAGCGAAGAATGCCTTTGAGCATGGTGAATGGGGAAAGATGAATGCAAGAGACAGAGGGAGAATATTGTACAGGTATGGCATGTCTAAGAAACCAGTTGCAGCTCTGTATGTTCCACGTCTCATAGGTCTCCTTTATTACCTGTGTAAAATCATGCTATGCCCTATTTGAATATATATATATCTCCCCCCAATGAATAATCCTATGTTAGAAGGTCAGATTCTGTGGATGTTCTGCAAAGAATTCTGTACATATATGATTCTGGAATTGGTAAAGGAGCAGAGTTCTGATTATGAGCACCTGCACACCTGCCCTAAAGGTAAAGGGACCCCTGACCATTAGGTCCAGTCATGGCCGACTCTGGGGTTGCAGCGCTCATCTTGCTTTATTGGCCGAGGGAGCCAGCTTCTGGGTCATGTGGCCAGCATGACTAAGCCGCTTCTGGCAAACCAGAGAAGTGCAAGGAAACACTGTTTACCTTCCCTCCAGAGTAGTACCTATTTATCTACTTGCACTTTGATGTGCTTTCGAACTGCTAGGTTGGCAGGAGCAGGGACCGAGCAACGGGAGCTCACCCCATCGCGGGGATTTGAACCACCAACTTTCTGATCGGCAAGTCCTAGGCTCTGTGGTTTAACCCACAGTGCCACCCGTGTCCTGACAGCACCTGCCCTAGGAGCACATAATTATTCATTGAATTGTTATTGCATTGAAATCGGTGTCGGGGACTGGCGGGACATTGATGAGTGTCCACTGGGGGAAGAGGGGCTGCAGTCTGACTTGGGAGAGGGGGGCAGTGATTTGTGGGGAACTGTACCAGCCAGGTGGCAAGAGTCAGAGGCAGGGGAATCTTCAGAGCTGGAGGGTGGAGCAGAGGATGGGTCAGAAGAAGAGGAGGAAGAGGCAGGTCAGGCAAGCGAAGTGCCAAGTGCTTCCCCACCCTCTCCTGCACCACTGTTTCCCAGAACCAGGAGGGGATTGAAGAGGGAAGAGCGAAAGCAGCTTCCACACAGATGTAGTCTCTGGATACGTGTGTGCATCCCTTTGGGAGGAAGTACATAAACTGGTGGAGTGGCTCCCTGTTGCTGCAGCTGCTCCATAGAGAACAGACCTGAGAATAGCTGCCTAGATGCTAGACTGGGGTGTGTTGGTATTCAGAGCCATAGAAATGATTGTGTCAGCTTTGACAATAGATGACTATCTGCCGTGTGCATTCCTTCGGCAATTGGCAATCCCTTGACAATTGGCTTCCTGTGCTGCATTTTTCCTGCAGATCCCTCTTTTCTTTTATTTGCATGCAGTTTGCCACCATTTGCACACACACCCCCACCCACACCCCCGCAAGTTACCAATGCAAATAAGCACACATGCTCCTATGTGCATTGATCAAATCACCCTCAAAAGGGAATCTTGAAATGATTGTTACATTTACATCAAGATTCCATTTTTGTGGATGTTTTAATCAGTGTGTATTTGCAGAACAGCACATTGTAAGGAAAATATATGTGAACTAAATACTGCGCCAAGTTTGTTTATGTGCACTAATTTGAATGGCACCCAGAAAACAAAAAGGGAAGAAATGTAGATTTCTGACACATCTGTCTGCTTCATAGAAAGACCTGGTAATTCAGAACTTCACGACCCAGAGAAGAATCTGGATTGGGGAGGGGGCGGATTTCTGTCTTTCCTCCAAGGTGCTGAAGCTGACATACATATATTTTCCCCATTTTATCCTCACAACAACCCTGCAATGTAGGTTAAGCTGAGAAATACAGTCATACCTTGGGTTAAATGTGCTTCAGGTTGAGCGTTTTCAGGTTACACTCCACAGCCACCTGGAAGTAACGGAGCGTGTTACTTCCGGGTTTCGCCACTTGCGCATGCGCAGACGCTCAAAATAACATCACACGCATGCAAGGAAGAGGCGAATCGCAACCCATGCACATGCAGACGCACAGACGTGGGTTGCATTCGCTTCAGGATGCAAATGGAGCTCCGGAACGAATCCCGTTCGCATCCAGAGGTACCACTCAAAGTCAGCCAGCGAGCTTCACGGTCCTAATCTGACACAGTTTTACCTGGCTCTTTCCTGCCCCTCTGATTTCCTCTATGTGTGCATGGAGATGCAGAATGCTTTCCCATCCCATCTTCAGTGCTTTTGCAGCATAAAAGTCACAATTCTCAAATCACACACTTTGGTCATTTCACTAAAACCATTGGTTCTACTCAAAATATTAACGAATCTGCATCATAAATTCTGCTATTTGGATATAGGGCATTACAGACACACCATTTTTTGTTTTACATTGTATGTCATTATTTCATTTTAAAGACTTGCAGATTTGATGGAAGAACACCAAGAGGAACTGGCAACCATTGAAGCTATTGATTCAGGAGCTGTTTACACACTGGCTTTGAAGACCCACATCGGAATGTCAGTGCAAACATTCCGATACTTTGCTGGATGGTGTGACAAAATACAGGCAAGCTAACATTTGAGTTGGCCTTGATCCTTGGGAAAACAACAAGGGGATTCATGCTCTTGCACACATTGGTCCTTTTCAGAGAATTAGCATGGGTTTCCATTGATATATTTTTCCTATTCATTTGATGTATGAGAAAAAAAATATCCTTCCAAGATCCTGCTTGTTGCAGGAGTATCATGTTGTCACACGTGATTCCTATAGAATCAGGGTGGTGGTACAGGCGCTTATTAAGCCTGCTAGACTGCGAGGCCATTTTAAGCAAGCTGTACACTGCTTTCTGTTACCTGATGTCATATGTCCAGCACAGAGATCTGTTATCGCCATTCTCAGCCCTAAGACTGGAGATAAACGTATCTCCAGTGTTAGCACTGTGGTTGTTAGTACAGTACTAAGATCAGACATACAGTAAGTCTCTGCCTGCTCTCTGGCAGTAAATTGTCCACCATCCTTGCTATAGAAGGTGGCGGCAATCCATGGCCAGGAATGAGCTGGGGGGGGGGGGGAAGAGGCTCCTTGCAACACAGATTATCAGCTAAGCTTACGTAAGGCTATGGAGTCCCACCTAAACAGCATTAATGTGACTGTTCATGCTGGAATTCCCTCTTTAGGCCAGAGGGACATCACCTGATATTCCTCCAGACTGTCAGTATTTTGCAGGAAGGACTGAAGTGTGTAGATTTAGGCTGGAGGATGGATGGCAGCTAACAGATTGAGGTTGAATCATGACAAGACAGAAGTACTGTTTTTGGAGGACAGGAGGCGGGCAGGTGTGGAGGACTCCCTGGTCCTGAATGGTGCCCCTGAAGGACCAGGTGCGCAGCCTGGGAGTCATTTTGGACTCACAGCTGTCCATGGAGGCGCAGGTCAATTCTGTGTCCAGGGCAGCTGTCTACCAGCTCCATCTGGTACACAGCCTGAGACCCTATCTACCTGCGGACTGTCTCGCCAGAGTGGTGCATGCTCTAGTTATCTCTCGCTTGGACTACTGCAATGCGCTCTACGTGGGGCTACCTTTGGAGGTGACCCGGAAACTACAACTAATCCAGAACGCGGCAGCTAGACTAGTGACTGGGAGCGGCCACTGAGACCACATAACACCGGTCATGAAAGACCTAAATTGGCTCCCAGTACATTTCCAAGCACAATTCAAGGTGTTGGTGCTGACCTTTAAAGCCCTAAATGGCCTCAGTCCAGTATACCTGAAGGAGCGTCTCCACCCCCATCGTTCTGCCCGGACATTAAGGTCCAGTGCCAAGGGCCTTCTGGAGGTTCCCTCACTGCGAGAAGCCAAGTTACAGAGCAATAAACCCACTTTAAAATAATTGGACTTTTAGCAGCTAGGAAAGTGACAGGGAAAAGCACTAAATGGTGTGGGAGAAATGAATGATTAAGAGGAAACAAACCAGAGGAAAAGCTCAATAAAGACTGCATATAATGTAACCTCCAAGTAAGCTTGTGCAAGCAAATCAATAAACAGGCCATCTGGAGGAGCCTGCTAACAGCAAACATGTTGTTCAAACAAATGTGATGATATGATGGATGCATCTTGTACCACCTTAATTTAAAAATAATAACGATTCCTTTCTCATTTAGGGGTCTACCATTCCAATTAACCATGCACGGCCAAACCATAACTTAACTTTCACCAAGAAGGAACCCTTAGGGTAAGACAAATTCTTCTTCTTCTTTTGCTAATGGAATTAGATAAGATTCAGTGTTTTACTAATAGCAAATTTCTTTGAAAAACCAGTTTTATTTCTGTATTTTTTCCCTGCTTCCAATTTAAAGTGTCTGTGGAATTGTCATTCCCTGGAACTACCCTCTGATGATGCTCGCGTGGAAGAGTGCGGTGTGTTTGGCTGCTGGCAACACTTTAGTTCTGAAACCAGCACAGGTAAACATCAAGCAGGCTAATAATGTCTTGATATATGGCATTCCTCCAGTCTACAGTAGGGATAGGGAACCTCATGTCCAGGGGCGAAATGCAGGCTTCCGGGTCTCTCTGTTGAGATTCTGGGATATTCTGCAGGCCGCACCTGCTTCCCAGCCACACCTCTCTCCCCAAACCACACTCTGTATTAGCCCTCTTTTCCACCTACCTTGCACTTTTGCCTAGCGGGAGTTTACGCCAACAAGGCTTGGAGGGAGTCAAGAAAGGGATGTGCAAGTTGGGGATGTGTATCCAGAAACAAGCCTGCTGTACTAAAGCAAATTCATGTTCATTGCCCCGCCCACTTTTGCCTCTGACCCCAGCCACCACCGACATGCGGCTTCAGGCTAAATAAGGTTCCCCCCCACTTGCCCCAGACAGTTTTTACCGATGTCATTGTGGTGATCACACAGGGTCCCCGGACATTTCACCGTCTATTGATCCCTGTGCCACCACTTTATTTCTCGCTGCCACCACCCAGGCCCTACCTGAGTCTAGTCAGGGTTAAATTGGAACATAAACTTTGGTTTATTTATTGCAGTTTAACAAGCATGTGGTTTCATAAACGGTATTGGTCAATTACAATCATGGGGTGCCTATCCAGACCTATAACTTCCGCCACCTGCTCTCACTCACTAAACCACCTCTCAAATATTTACTTGTCTTCCTAGCCCCTAACTGTTCCTGACTCAGCTTATTTCTCTGCACTAACTCAACCTACCCACAAACTCTATCCCAATTCACTCCCATTCCACCCAACCACCCAACTCCCAACAAACTCCTTCCTTTGCCCCTCCCAGAGCTGGTTTTATAGTCCTTCTGACTCCACCCCCTGGGTCCTGATTGGGTAACCTGTTTAACTATTTCACCTCCAGCACTCTCAGATGTTAATGTCACAGTCATCCACTGATTGACCTTGATAGAAATTGCACAGATAAAGGAAGAATATGCCATTGTTGAAGAGGGTTAACAATGGAAATCACATTTCACACTCTGAGGGGGGAAATCCTACCAGGGACATCTCAAAACACTTTGAGCCTGAGTCAAGGCAGCGCGCTCTCCTTTTCCCTGCACAAAAGCTGACCAGACAGGAAACTGAATCTTACTTCAAGACTGCTGGTGATGATGGGGCAGTCACACACAATTCTGTCCTCCAACATCAAAAATACAAAGGAAGGTGTTATAACTCAACCAAATAAAATCAAGAACAATAAAGAGAGAAAGGGGCGGGGGAATAATACAATTCTTTTTTTAAAAAAAACCCTAAACCATGCTACAGGATTTTGTAAACATTGCAATTTTCCTTATACCATACGACACATAGATCATCTGTGTTGGTTTTATGTTATCACAATATTATAATTGGCTTAAACTGTCTTCTGTTAGAACCTTCTTTGCCTGTATGTCTGCATGCCTGTATGTCTGCATACCAAGGCAGGCAGTCTGGTAAAATCATGGTGTGTGCTTTTACGTAGGTAACTCCACTGACTGCCTTAAAGTTCGCAGAGCTCTCTGTGAAAGCAGGATTTCCCAAAGGCGTTATCAATATTGTACCTGGTTCAGGTAAAGCAGTGATGCAATGGTTTCTCTTTTCTGTTCAAAGAGGATGGAGGGAATGGGGTGCAGCACAACCTAATCACTGAAATAAACAAAGTCCGCAATGACACTAAAGCTCAACATTTAATTATACTTATGTCACAGGTTCAACAGGGCAACGCTTGTCCGATCACCCAGACATTCGTAAACTTGGGTTCACTGGCTCAACACCAACTGGGAAACAAATCATGAAGAGGTAAGGTATTCACTGCCCACCCCCACCCCACCCCCATTTTTGCATGCTGTACATTTTTAGAGCATGGCCTTCACATGGAGATGTTTTTGTACAGCCATGAGCTGCGTGGCTTTTGCTATGTGTCTCCCTACACTGACAATGTAAAGTACAGGGGTATCTTGGTTCTCAAACATAATCCATTCTGGAAGACCGTTCGAGTTCCAAAACATTAGAAAACCGAGACGCAAAGGGCTGTCTGCAAATTCAAATGAGAAAATTGAAAAACATGCAGTTGAAGCCGTTCAACTTCCAAGGCATGTTTGAAAATGGAAGCATTTACTTCCGGGCTTTCGGTGTTTGGGTTCTGAAATGTTCATCAACAGAGATGTTCGAGAACCAAGGTACCACTGTAGGGGTGGAAGAACCTGTAGTTCTCAAGATCCCGCTAGACTACAACCTCCATCACCTCTGACCATTGACCACATTGGCAATAGGCTGATAGGAATTGGAGTCCAACAACACCTGGCATGCCACAGTTTCCCTGCCTCTGGTGTAAAGAGGAATCTGTATGTAGAAATTGATTTGGATGCTACTTTTCCTTTCATGACTAGAAAAGAGGTCCTTCACCTTCCTTTCCCCCCACAAAAATCTGCTGCTGCAAGTCAGGTGACCTTTGGAAATAGCATGGGCTATGGTGCTGGGCAAGGGCTGCAGGCAGATCAGGGAGTTGGTGGATATGGTTCTCTCCATTATGTGAATGGAGGAGGAACTTCGGACCTGAGCCATAGTAAATGTTCAATCTGTAAATAGAACTTGGTTTATTTTGGTACCAGTCATGGCTTCCCGCCAAGAATTCTGGGAGCTGTGGTCTGTTAAGGGTGGTGATGTTGTTAGCAGGGGTGGATTTAGGGCTGTGCAAGTGATGCACATGCACTGGGCACTGTCTCAAAGCACTGTTTTTGGGAAGGAGGCATGAGGCCCTGACACTGTCCTAGAGTCCTCCCTCCTCAAAGCCAGATTTGGGGAGGAGGTGAGAGGGCTCTAGGGCCCTGCCAGAACACTTGTAAAGGTAAAGGTAAAGGACCCCTGGACAGTTAAGTCCAGTCAAAGGCGACCATGGGGTTGCGGCGCTCATCTCGCTTTCAGGCCGAGAGAGCTGGCGTTTGTCCACAAACAGCTTTCTGGGTCATGTGGCCAGCATGACTAAACCGCTTCTGGTGCAACGGAACACTGACGGAAACCAGAGCACACGGAAACACCGTTTACCTCCCCGCTGCAGCAGTACCTATTTATCTACTTGCACTGGCGTGCTTTCGAACTGCTAGGCTGGCAGGAGCTGGGACAGAACAATGGGAGCTCACTCAGTCGCAGGGATTCAACTGCCAACCTTCCAACTGGAAACCCAAGAGGCTCAGTGGTTTAGACCATAGCGACCTGCGTCCCTTGTACCTCCTTCCCAAAGCCAGGCATCTCCTTACTTGCCTTTGGAAAGGGGGGGGGGCGCATGCCAAATTCTGGCCTCAAACAGGGATCTATAGTACCCAAGTCCACCACTGTTGTTAATATAATAATAATAATAATAATAAACTTTTATGTATATTCTGCCCTCCCCGGCCAAAGTCGGGCTCAGGGCAGCTAACATCAGATATATAACATTAGTATAAAATCAAACAATAATTAAATTACCTCCTAAAAACAGGTCAAAATCAAATGAAAGTCTAATTAGATGGCTTTCCGCAGGGTTAGGGTTGGGTTAAGAGGCCCCTATTCCCTTCACAGAATATGCTTACTTATGTAAGTTTATATAAGTTCCCTTCACTGGCTATCAGGAGGAATGAGACTGAATTCTGAATGTTTTCATTATCATTTTTACAGCTGTGCTGTCAGCAATCTGAAAAAGGTTTCTTTGGAACTGGGAGGAAAATCCCCACTGATCATATTCAACGACTGTGAACTTGACAAAGCTGTGAGAATGGTAAGCCGGCTTCGAAAAGGCTCTGGTGAACTTGCTCCATAGTGTATTGTACATTGTGCTCTAGAGAACTGTGGTTGTGACACTGCTCTGAAATTATAATTATTTATTAAATTTGCTTACCGCCCTATACCCGTAGCTCTTGGGGTGGTTCACAACATAAAATCACAATATAAAGAACACAAAATCCATCATAAAATAAAAACATAGACAACCCAACCCCTTCCCCTTTACCTGGTAAGATAAAGAACATTTTAAATTAATTGTTAGAAGAAAATAAAAATGCTCATATTCACTGTATGTTCTATATGTTCACAGGCTTCCATATAGAAAATGAAAATGGAAGGAAAAAATAGCTTAAGATAACAAAAAAAGCATGTTCAAGGTGTGTTCTTTTTCTTCCAACGCAGGGCATGGGAGCCGTTTTCTTCAACAAAGGAGAGAACTGCATTGCAGCTGGCAGACTTTTTGTGGAAGAATCAGTCCACGACGAATTTGTTAGGAGAGTGGTAAGAAATTTAAAACGTGAGATTAAACATGATTTTTGCCTTAGGAGCCTTTCCACTACACACCAGACGTAGCCAACATGGGGCCTTCCAGAGGTTGTTGGACTCCCAGGCTACCTGGCCCAATGATCAGGGATGATGGGAGTTGTAGTCCACAACATCTGAAGGGCACCTGGTCAGGGAAGGCTGAAACAGGGCTAAGCCCAGTGTGGCTATCCTATGGCCTTCTAAATGTTGTTGGACTTCAACTCCCAGGCAGCACAGCCAACAGTCAGGGATGCTGGGAACTGTAGTCCAGCAACATCTGGAGGACCACTGGTTAAAAACCCAATAGTTTCACAGTGTTTTTGCTTTGTTTGAAACCCCAGGAAGTTTTGCCACGCGACTTGTCTGTCTGCCTGGTGCCAGTGCAAGGGGAAAACTGGTATGTCAATTTCTATGGGCATGAGTGTATTAGTATAAATTGCTGGCCCCAGCATGGCACAAATCATATGTTTGAGGGGCCCATGCAGTATTTAAGTTTGCCGAGGCAGGGGGCAGAACACACAGCTCTCCCATCTAAAGGGCTACTTATTGATTGGCACGAGAGCCAAGAATATGAGCTTCTGTTCCATTTTGTGAGAGTCCTCCAGCTAGCAGGACAAAGGACAATTTCCCTTTCTTCTCCAGATAACTTTAACACCTCATTACAAATTACTTCTTCGGATGGGATGCCAACATTATTGCCCAAAAGGGTTTTAGTAGTTGCCAGATACTTTTTCCTCTCCTTTGGTGGAATCCGTAGGTGGAAGAAGCCAAAAAGATGAAAATTGGTGACCCACTTGACAGATCTACAGACCATGGTCCACAAAACCATAAAGGACATTTGGATAAGCTTCTGAAATATTGTGAAACTGGCGTGAAAGAAGGGGCTACTCTGGTATATGGAGGAAGACAAGTAGGTAGACCAGGTAAACTATGATCTAAGTAGAATCCATAAAACAGATTAGTTGATGAACAAAAGCAGTGGGGGGTGGGTTGGTGTGTGTGTGCTATATATATATTCTCCTACGGGCCACAGATTCCTCACCACAGTTCTTACCTAATGAGGCGACATGGGCTACAAATTTGTAAGTCTGGTCTGCTCATGCCTATTGTTGGATTCTTGGCTTTCATTTGGGGAATTTGTCTCAGGTAGAGCCTTGTGGATCAGACCAAAGGCCCATCTTGTCCACCATCTTGTTTTCACCATGGCCAACCATATACCACTGGGAAGCCATGAGTACAACAGCACTCTCCCCTCATATGAATTTTAGTGGATTAAACTGGGTACACCCTTTTTAAATTCCTCAGGAGATTTCTAAGTCAGTTTATCTGATTAACCAATCAAATGCTGCAGCCCTGGATAAGATATTAAAGAATTAACACTTTTAATGCCACCATATGGAGTGCGCTACAGAAGACGCATACAGCATAGCCTCAATGGTATATCAAGACAGAAAGTGCCTGTAAAATGAAATAAAAGCATTTAAAAAAGCAATTCTCAAGGCAGAAAATGCCTGGAATCATTTCAGTTTTGCACATGCCACACCATCTTCTCTTTGATCAGGCTTCTTCATGGAACCTACAATATTCACGGATGTTGAAGACCATATGTTCATTGCACAAGAAGAGTCTTTTGGTCCTATAATGGTCATTTCCAAGTTCCAAGATGGGTAGGTCCTGCTATAGATTAATGGTGTTATTCTTTATTCTCCATGCAACAGTTAATCATGTGGGTCCAGTGCCCAAACAGGGCTTACAAAGGCAGGCATCTGTGATTGGAAAGTGTTGTTGTTTTTACCTTCATTCCTACTTGTATGGGATGCCTCCATATCGATAACTTATTTTAACAGAGGATGCTTTCTAGTCAAGCTTTTTAAACACATAATAAAGAAGCAGAACGAAATAGCGTGTGGGAAAATCTGTTGATGAAAGGCAGCTTAAACTGACTTGGATTAATGTCTCTGCTACATTCCATGTTATGGGACGCGAGTGGCGCTGTGGGTTAAACCACAAAGCCTTGGACTTACCGATCAGAAGGTCGGCGATTTGAATCCCCGCGATGGGGTGAGCTCCCGTTGCTCGGTCCCTGCTCCTGCCAACCTAGCAGTTCAAAAGCATGTCAAAGTGCAAGTAGATAAATCGGTACCGCTCCAGCGGGAAGGTAAACAGCGTTTCCATGCGCTGCTCTGGTTCAGCTTAGTCATGCTGGCCACATGACCCGGAAGCTGTATGCCGGCTCCCTTGGCCAATAAAGCGAGATGAGCGCCGCAACCCCAGAGTCGGTCACGACTGGACCTAATGGTCAAGGGTCCCTTTACCTTTTTACGTTCCATGTTGCTGCACTGAAGGCAGATTATTCTCTCATATTGCAGGGATGTCGATGGGGTGTTGGAACGAGCCAACCGGACCGAATATGGCTTGGCTTCAGGGGTCTTCACCAAAGACATAAGCAAAGCTCTCTACGTCAGCGATAGGCTGGAAGCTGGAACAGTTTTCATCAACACCTATAACAAAACTGATGTGGCCGCCCCATTTGGAGGATTCAAGCAGTCTGGCTTTGGAAAAGATTTAGGTAAGTTGCATTTTACTTAAGATCCACACAGAAATCTAAAGCTCAGTGCAGTGGTGGGCAAGCTGTGCACCTGCGGACAGCGCTAGACTACAACTCCCATAATCCCTGCTGGCTAGGGCTGATGGGACTTGGAAGTCCAACATCAGCAGGTCACCATGTCCTTACCTTGGGTCAGAGGTTTGAAACCTGTTTACCTTTTAAAGTTTCTTAGTTATTTAATACTATGATCTCATTATGTTATGGCTAGCTGCTTTTCAGCAACAGATCACACCCACATCATGCATTTAAAGCACCTTTAAATAATACTGTGGTACCTCTGGTTACATACACTTCAGGTTACAGACTCCGCTAACCCAGAAATAGTACCTTGGGTTAAGAACTTTGCTGCAGGATGAGAACAGAAATTGTGCTCCGGTGGCACGGCGACAGCGGGAGGCCCCATTAGCTAAAGTGGTGCTTCAGGATAAGAACAGTTTCAGGTTAAGAACAGATCTCCGGAACGAATTAAGTACGTAACCTGAGGTACCACTGTAATACTGTAGTGGTGCCCAACTTTTAGTGGGAATGGGTAGGACCTGGTCCTTATCAATGTTGCTAGATGCTCATTTTATGCATTTTACATTATTTTAACTTTCTCTGGTTTTATATTGTTTTAAACCATAAAACTACTTTTTTAGGGTCAAGTAGCTTTGAGGCTTTTTACTGTTTCAATTACCTATTTTATCCATCTGTCACTTTAAAGTACATGGTTTCCCCCAAAGAATCCTGGGAATTGTAGTTTGTTATGCATCCTGGCAATTATAGCTCCATGAGGGATAAACTGCAGTTCCTAGGATTTTTTGGAGGAAGCCATGCACTTTGAACATACTGTGTGGATGTGACCAGAAAGGCACATCTATGTATCTTAAAAAAAGGTTCGGCATAGGTTTTATTGCCGATTTATTTCTGGCAAACCCAGCACTTGAGACAGAAGGCACACATTTACCTCACATTTAAATTACTAATAGTGTTTGGAATCGTAGCTCTGTGAAGGGTAAACTATAGTTCACTGGATTCTTCGTGGAAAGCCGTGAGTTTTAAATGTGTGTTAAATGTGCTGGAAATTTATGGAGTGGATGGTGCAGAAAATATGTGCAGTCTACAATTGTTTCCATGCTCATGTTCTCTTCAGGTGAGGAAGCGCTTCATGAGTATCTCAGAACGAAAGCTGTAACAGTGGAATATTAAGCATCGCGACTGGGGTGGCAGAATGCTCTTAAAACCAAGCACAAGACAGGACTCCAAAATTACAACAGCAAAACCGCGAACTTCCACTGGCACTCAAAAACGCAGATCCAGAACCAAACCCTTTTATGATGTGGAGAGTTCCGCATGCATTCAGTAGGGAATCACTTCTGAGTCTCAGACTTTACTGTGAAATTATCGGCTTCTGCAGCTTTTTTGTACCATGGTCTCTGCTACCCTGAATGTCATCACCTATAAAAGCAACTGAACCATCCAGTGGTGACATATCGAAACCTCAGATCCCTGGACTTTACAATGGAGATCTTGCCCAAGTAGGAAACTACCTTATACTGAGCCACAGCATTAGTTCATCTAGCTCAGTATTGTCTGTCTGGACTGGCAGCAGCTCTGAGAGTTTTGGACAGGTGTTCCCAGTTTGACCTGGAGATGCTGAGGGTCAAACCTGGGACGTTATGCATACAAATCAAACGTTCTACCACTGAGCTATGGCCTTCTTCAGCGCTGTATGTCCCTTGTTTCTCCAAATTAGTCACATAGTACTTAAGTTTCTACAGAATGCATCACACCAGCATTATGCCTCTTTTCTTCCTGCAATGCAAGTTTTTAAGCAGCACAGAGAACCAATTTGCCATAAACATTGTACATAAATCCAAGTGCACTTACTGTGTTTTTCGTATGATATGCAGAACTTAACGTCTGTGTTCTACTATGCATATGAAAGCTATAGCAACTATTTTATAATGTGTTTACATTTCCTCCAACGAGAAATCTACATAGTTGTGAATTCCAATTATGCTATTAAATCATATTTGTGCTGAATGTGTTATACAGAGTGTTACAATCCTGAAATACATCTGTAAAAGCATATAAACAAACACTTATCTTTGGCTACCACTTTTCATATCCAAAGGAGCAGGGTGTAATGGTTGCACCCTGAAGCCTTTTAGAGCAGGGGTTTGGAACATGATCTTCCAGCTGCACAGTTGAGTTTTATTTTGGTGAACATTTACTGTCTGCAGAATATTCAGCCTAAATGACTTCACTTGCAAGATATACATAATTTGTATCCATATCTGCTGCCAAAGAAGTGGCAGCTCAAATACTATGCATGAATATTCAAAAGCAAATCATTCCAAGGTCACTCTCAAATAAGTGCAAAGGACTGCATCCTAGGAGAAAGATCTGTGTCCAGGAAGCCATCAGCTAACAGGGTTGCACAGCTGTTCTTCCATTAAAATTGTAATGTAATGTCTGATTTTCAAGATCAAAACAGTACAAACTTGTGAGCTGGTGTATTGATAACTAAACAAATACAGAATACCTTGAAAATAGTAGTTATTTATTTAACAAACCCACATCTCCTTTATGAAAACATGGGAAATATCCCAATTTCAAATGTGTAACAGGACTGCTGCCCAAACACTCAACCATCCTGCAGAATTTTGAGGAAACAACTTCCGGTATAAGGCCAGATAGTTTGTACTTAATCTGAGCATTTACACATATATGTTTGGGATCAGAAAAACAGGCTACAGGACTTTCAGCAGCTTCCCTCATGATCCCCTCTATGTACAAGAAATGTTTTGACCGGCCCTGCTGCTGCTACCTATCCACAGCTGGAACCTCCCCTTAAGAGGCCAATGCAATTCTCTCTCCCCCTTATAGCAGACCTAAGATCAACTCTTAGGTTACAGCTGCTAGGCTGAAGCTGTTGCAAAGTAACATGCAAGGGTCACTCACCACAGGTCACCCCAATCTGAAAGGTATTCAGGGTAGCAGCTAAACAATTCTCTCCAATAACTAGAAGAATCTACATGCTTCCAGCACATGACAGAAGCATTGCCAGTTTCCATGTAGCCACCATAACCTAATAATTGCTTCCATCAATAAATAGGAATACAATTTAAGCACCAATTGGCCTGACGGGTATTTTCTGTCTGCCTGATTCAGTGCTTCCTCCCCCCACCCTGCCCGCCCCCATATTAAGCTCCTGACGATCCTTATTAATCTTTTTCATCTTGGGGCTTGGACTGAAGTGATCTTCCATGCCTCTTAGGAATGAGAGATGCAGTCTGCAGGTAGCACACCTGGAAGCAAACTAGCTTTTCAAGAGAATTTTTTTCAAGTTATGATACATGGCTTGTAACATGAATTGAAATCTGAGACGGCAAACATCTACTCAGTACTTCTAGGGTCCAAAATTTCTATTCTGCCTTCTCCTTTCGGTTTAGGAAACTTAATGTTGTCGACGGTCACTTCTTCACAAACAGAACTGTCCTCGCTTTCGGAGTCATCTTCTGAGCCTGAATCTTCTTCCTCTGTATCAGAGCTGTTCAGTTCAACCAAAGCCACATTCTGCAATAAAAAGAAATACATATTATTTTTAAAAAATCACTGCTGAAGCTGTAAAGGAAGGCCAATTCAAACTCTAAATGAAGACGTACAGAACTGGGCAAATCATGGCTTCAACAGCCAACACCACAGCCTTAGAACAAACATCTCAATAGCCATGTCGATAAAATGATTTTTATAAAATTCACTGTCATAATATGTAGGGGATGACCGGCCGAATGGCTTTTAAAAAAAGACTGGACAAATTAAATTGAGAATGGGTCTATCAGTGTGTAGGTTAATTGGGGAGAACATCATACTGCCTTTGTGGAACAGGCTTGTACACTGCTTTTTTAATTTCTGTGTTATGCTTTATTCATTCTGCTGATTAGTTTTAAGCCATTGAAGTCATTTATACTGCTTAATTTGAAGTTTATGGACTGATTTTTTAAATGATGTGTTTCCATATTGACACTAGCAATAATTTCCACCTTGTAAATAAGCACACAAAAGCCAACAGGCTGAAAAAAATACCACCCTGCTAAGAGGCCAGTAGCCTTTGTTTCCATACTGTCTGCAGAGAAAAGGAAAAAACCCCACCCACCCACTTCCTCAGCAGCCAGGATAGAAATGCAGAAAACTAGGTTCTGTTTCTGAATACCAGTTCATTGTTATTTGTGGTGCACAAGAACCAGTTATGCACAAGAACCAGTGTGATGCAGTGGTTAGAAACTTGGAATAGGATCTGGGAGACCAGGGCTCAAATCCCCACTCAGTCATGTAGCTCAGTGGGTCAGCTTGGGCCAGCCACCGTCTCTCAGCCTAACCTACATTACAGGAGTGATGTGAAGATAAAGAGCAGCATGTCTTGATCTTCATTGAGGAAAGGTGGGTTAGAAATGTAATAATAAATAAGTAATACATTAGGCTGTACTATGGCTATTGTCATTGTTCCTATTAGCGTTTTTTCTTTTTTGAATGGTTATATTTATTGCTGTTCATCTGATATGCTGCAGGTAATTTAGGGTACAATCTTGGCAGGAAATAACAAATAATCTGATGATTTATACAAATCATACAAATAAACTGATGGTGATAATTTGGATGACCACTTTGGTGTGGTGTTCTCCAGAATATTCTTAATTTCCTATGATTTTTTAAACCACACCCTAGGAATCTGTTTCAGCTATAAACCAGAAAGCTAAAGGCATGAGACACTGTTTAGACCAGGCATAGGCAACCTCGGCTCTCCAGATGTTTTGAGACTACAACTCCCATCACCCCTCACCACTGGTCCTGTTAGCTAGGGATGATGGGAGTTGTAGTCAAAAAAATCTGGAGGGCTGAGGTTGCCTATGCTTGGTTTAGACCACAAATTATCAGGCCTTAACCATATAATAATAGAGCCAGGAGAAAATTCATCCTTTTTGCACACTGTAAATATGAGTAAGATGCTAGAAACCAAGGCATTAATTTTAGAGAGAGAAATTATTCACCATTTCAATGACATTTTCAACTGAAGCATCCACATGTTCAATATCAAACTCTTGAACAGGGGTGTTTTCCATTTCTCTTCTTAGCTCGTCATTTGCGTTGGCCATCTGTGGTAGAAAGTTCTGCACCCTGTCCAAAACTAGTACATGAAAACAGGCAAGATGTTAATGCACTTCTACGAAAGACTTTGATAAAATACATTGGATGGCTTTACTCCTAGTAATGTCCAGTATCTTAACCCTTACTGCATACTGCAACCCTCCTGTCTGCAAATAGTCTTAAAACTGTTAGGCTTGTCACAGACAACGCTTTATAAGTTGCACAACACTAGAGAGGCAATAAGGCATGTATTGGGCGCTGCTACTCCACTGTCACTAACAGTATTGCACTTTCCCATCTGCCACAGAAATAATACAGCGTAAGAACAGCACCCTATGCAGTGCTTTTTTTCTTAAAAAATGTTTAGGGGTATTCTCATTTTCCTACTCATATTATACTGCCTCTCAATAAGGCCAAACTTAGATTCACAAAATGTTTAAGAGTACCCCTGCGTCCCCCCAGAAAAAAGCACTAACCCTTTGTATGGCAGAGCACCACTTTAGCTAATGGGGCCTACCGCTGCCGCCACGCGATTTCTGTTCTTATCCTGAAGCAAAGTTCTTAACCCGAGGTACTATTTATGGGTTAGCGGAGTCTGTAACCTGAAGCGTATGTAACCTGAAGCATAGGTATCCCGAGGTACCACTGTAGTATCAGTTTAGTACTTGAATTTATAACTAGATGCTACAGGCCACACAAAAATGCTTTACAGAATCCATGAACACAACAGACACACTGTATTTTGGAATGTTACAGTATTCCCTCACTACACCTTTTCAATGCCTCCCTCTTCTCCTTCTGTCATATTGCACTGCATGGACTTTCAGGTCTAAGGGGAGGAACAGAAAATTCTCAAGCTGTTTATGCTTGAACGCTAATTCTAGGTCAGGAATGTTTCTACACAATTCTTTAAGTTTGTATCTTACTGAAGTTCACACAATATATTTAAAGATGATGAGCACTTACGGTTGCTCCTTGGAAGCCTGACTGTCTGTAAGCTCATGGCTTTCTTCTTAGCATGCTTTGAATTTAGCAATAGTGTCTCATGAATACCTACAAGCCAGAATTCCAACATCAGTTCAGCAGTCACACACCAACCTTTTCTATTCACATAGAATATTCACACTATTCAAATATAACAGTACAGTAGAGGAAACGGCATTCCAAAACAATTGGTCCATAACAAATGTGATTTTTCCATTCACCTACCCTATCCAATCTTATCTCATTTTTTAAAATATGCAAGCCCTCTTCATATGCCTTTCCACTCTCCCAGAACCCCAATCTCAGGTTATCCGAATCAAGCCCCATTTAAACTAAATCAAGAAATGCATTGCTAGAATTTTGATTTTAATACACCCTTTTCTATTTCACTCATTACAGATTAGCCAATACAATACACTCTACTCATGATGATACACATGACAGGAAGCTGCAATGTGAAAAGCAACAAATATATATATATATATATATATATATATATATATATATATATATATATATATACACATACATATACATATATATATATATACATACATATATATATATATATATATATATATATATATATATATATAAAATGCAAGCTTGTAATTCATGATGTGCATGAAGGGCAGTGCTTGTGCAGTGTATTTGTGTATGAGAGAGAGAGACCACAGCTTCCTGTATAGATCTGTACAGGCTACAAGCACTGATAGTTATCTTTGTTGATCCGGAAGAATGGAGAGGGGGAGGCAACTCCCCAAACAACTAGCTTAACAATATACTGTTGATCCGTAGCAGCAGGAATGGAAGAAAGCCTCCTCAAAACGACTAGCATTTGGGGACCAATACAACGAAAAGTGAGCAAATTCTCAGTCAAACTAGATGTAAAACCAAACAACAACAAAAAGCAAAAGGGAAGGGAAAGGCCCCAATTCTACTATTACAAAATACAGATTTTGGGTCTCAGCAATATGCTATTACATGTGCTGAGCCTGAAAGCTTGCTCACTTCTTTTAGTCGCCCCTACTAAAGGTATTATATACTACGGTTATTTTTGTGGGTCGCTTTGTTTGCAACGACACCTCACCTTATCCCTAAAATGCGTTCAGGCCGCAGACTTGCAAAACATGGGTCCAAGGAAAGAACACCTAACCGCTGCAGGGAAGCGGGAAAGGGTCGGGTATTCCCGCTTCCCCCCGTTCCTGCAGCGCAGAAAGTTGTCCCCCTGTCTCGGCAGCGCCTGCTCCGGCAACTCCTTGCCAATTACCTCCTCCGCTCCCCGCGGAAAGCAGCTCCCGGGATACAGCCGGAGCCGCGCCATCTCCGCTCAGCGCCATGCACCTCTCTGCAAACCGCCGCTTCCGCGCGCGGCAGCCTCCGCGGGGGAAACCGGAACACGCGCACAAGGCCGGAAGCGGCGAAGCCCAGAGCGGCCTCGCGAGCGCAACGGCGCCACCTACAGCGCGGAGGGCGGCTAGGAAAAGCTTTTCTCCCTCGTTTGACGAAGAGGAATGTTGGAAGATCCGGGAAAGAGAAAAGCAAGCGCTTATTCACTCAGCGCAGAGTCAAACTCACAGGATGGTCACATCACCTTGGATGGCTTTAAGGATTAGGCAAACTAATGGAGGATAAGGCTATCGATGGCTGCTAGCCAGGATGACTTTGCTCTGCCTCCATGGCAGGAAGCAGTGATACTTCTAAGTAGCAGTTACTGGAAACCCCAGGAGGGAAGAGTGCATTTTGTGCTTAGATCCTGATTTCTGGGCTCAGCCACTGTGAGAACAGGATGCTGGACTAGATGGACCAATGGCCTGATCCAATGGGCTCTTTTTATGTTCTCCGCATTTGGGGAATCAATTCCAATTTCCGCATCCTCAATTCAGTGTCAGAGACAGGATCAGAATCACCAGGAATTGATGCTGGGGGCTTAGGACAGATCCACACAATAAATTTAAAGTACATTCATGGCATATTTAAAGCACATGACTCTGTGGTCTCTGCTGATCTTCATTCTACAGAAATCAAACCCCTGGAGTCTCTCAATTCTCACTTTGCGGTGGCATGTAACATCTAGACTGGGCTGAGGACCAGCCCTGACTAGTGGATGAAATGACCTTCACCCTAGCTTACGTATTGTGGCTCCTACATATACAGTTATTTATTTAAACATTCATTCATCACCTTTAAAACAAGAGGATAGGTCAATTACAGTATAAAAGCAGGCCCCCACACTGCTCACTTTTACATTGACTTTCCAGTGGGCAGTTGTTAGAACTGTTCGTTATATGTGTATGGACATTGCCCCCATTATCTTTCTCTATTGCTGTCCATTTTCTTACACTTGCTTTTAATTTTGTTGTGCTTTATGTTTTTATTTGTGTAAGACACCTTAAGTTTGGCTTTTATAGAAAAGTGGGATTTAAAAGAATGACATACAGCGCTGTTTCAGAATCTGGAGTGGTGCCACAGTTGATGATATTGCAGTTGCCACTTTACCAACAGAGACAGACAGGTGGCTTTTATTTCCAGCTCACAGAACCAGTATTTCCTGTGGTTAACTGTAGAGATAAAAATATTTGAACAGGACATGGTGAACACTCCCCAATGTTCAAATAACATTATTGCTATAGATATTCTAGCAATGCAATCTGACTTGATTTTCTCCTAAATTTAGTGGCTATAGGATTGTAATCTGTAACTGCAGCACACTAGTTCTTGCACAACTAAGGGTCCACTCACACTTCCATTTGCCCCTTGCTTTCATGCTAGTTTTATGTCATTCGCTCATGCCATGCTTTTTGGTGAATTTCTCTGTCATTTTTCTAATTGCAAAAAGTGGATTTGTTCTGCCAGGGCACCAGAGTGCTTTAATTTCACAAACCTTAATTTCTATAATGCGCTCGAATCCCTCTTGCAAAATACTGACAGTCTGGGGGTGACAAGGATAGATGGCTTGCAACCTGAGACTCATAGAAATGGAATGGATCCCAAGGGTCATCTAGTCAAACACCCAGCAACGCAGGAAGAACAGCTAAAAATCCCTGACAGATGGCCATCCAACCTGAAATATACTCAGAGTCGAGTGTAAATTTCATGCTCTTTATTCAGCTCATAGTAGCAATGAATGAAACTTCTCCAAAACGTCTAGCTATATATACATTATTTACACAATGGGTCCCGTGATTGGCTAATTCCGGGCTGCTCCTGTAGGCCAATCAACTTGCGGATTCACCTCCTCCAGAAGCCTGATTGGCTGCTCCTGCAGGCCAATCAGGTCACTGATTCACTTCCACCTGGAGCTGGATTGGGTGGCTCCTGTGGACAAATCAGACTGCTGCATTCTGGATCCTATTGTTCTAGGATTCAGCTCAGTACATAACACAACCTGTTTTAAAACCTCCAATTAAGGAGAGTCCATCACCTTAAGAGGTGGTCCACCCCACTGTCAAATAGCTCTTGCCATCAGAAAGTTCTTCCTAATGTTTAGTAGGAACCTTCTTTCTTTTAATTCTTCTACTGCTTGTGAAGCAGTGGAAGCGCTGTCTGGGAGACAAGTTGAAGGCACTTGGATCTAGTTACCAAAACACAGACACTTTAATAGTATTGATACAAAGGTTACGTGCCACCCCCAATCTCTGCCAAGTGGTAGCAAGATTCCAGGCGGCTCCAGATGCTCATCCAGGTTTGTGTTGGGAAATTGAGGCACAGCATAGAATACCGTATTTTTCCATATATAACACACCCCCATGTATAAGACGACCCATATTTTTTTGGACTGCAACAAAACATTGTGGGGGGGGGATTTGCCAAGAATTGTTGAGCTTTTTTGGGGGGGGGGTCATTGCTGCCAATCACTCTACAGCCTGCCCTCCAATGAAAATCACATGCATCGCCGTGGCCATTCAACGCAACAACAACCAATTGCATGCCCACCTCGCCACTGCCATAAATAGCCTGCCCAATTGCCACAGCTGCAGCAAATCATCAGCAAGCCTTGGTGCAGCAACCAATCACATGCCCAGTCGCCGCTGCCAATATCCTGCTGGCTGCTGTCACCAATCACCCATCCCCCCTCTGCTATCCCTGTGTAAGACGACAAGCAATTTTTGCCTATTACGGTGGTACCTCGGGTTACAGACGCTTCAGGTTACAGACTCTGCTAACCCAGAAATAGTACCTCGGGTTAAGAACTTTGCTTCAGTGGCAGCAGGAGGCCCCATTAGCTAAAGTGGTACCTTAGGTTAAGAACAGTTTCAGTTTAAGAACAGACCTCCAGAACGAATTAAGTTCTTAACTCAAGATACCACTATATTTCTAAGGGAAAATTATCGTCGGAAAAATTTGGTAGTTTCTTTAAGAAATATGGCTTACTTTACACCTATTTATCCTTGGAAGCCTTCGGTGGAGGGGGTGCAGAACATTACAGCCCGAGAGTGTCTTTTGTTGCTTGTCTTGTTTGGGTTCAAAGTAGCAGCCACCATGGCCCCTGACCTCTCAGTGCAGCCTCCTCCAGCCAGCACCACATAGAATTCTCTCTTTGTTCCTCTCCTTCCTCCTAGAACACTTTGCCAAACGCAACACCTCCCCTTCTGTCTGCTCATCCCCCTTCTCCAGACCTCTTTTTTAAAATGACAACATTTTTCCTGTGTGACATCACACCCATGTTACCCTGGCAACCTCCATTTCACAGACCCAAGCATCCTCCTTTGATGGGCCATCAGCACCTTTGCCATGCTTGATGACTTCCATCCAGGTGAGACTCTGAAAAACAAGCTTAGTCTGCATTTTTACACTGCTAAACTGCCTCTCACCCAGGAGAAGACTCCAAGCACTTACTAATTTCTAGCATTCAGTAATTTCTAACATTTGTAACTTGTTAGAATTAAAGGCGCTTTTCGTCCCCCAAATTCTGGTATACCAAATCTGTAACAGTATTATTTTGGCCATATTTTGAGACCAGGACTATGTTAGTTCTTTTCTCAGAGTTCTGCATAACCAATTGCACACAGTCCCCTTGCTTCTGATTCCAAAAGCCTCCTATAAAGACAAAGGCACACATAGCAGGGGAAATCTCTCTCTCCCCCCCCCCACATTTCTGGCATGGAAAACACATTGCGTTTAAAAGAGTGGTGGTGCTAAATTAATTTAAACAAACGTGTAATAAGTTTGAATGCTGGCAAGCAGATGACTAGCTGCTATTTTTGAAATGCGCTAATTGTCAGAGCTTGGCAGGTGCCCCTGAGATTAAAACATTTCCCTTAAGGCACGCAAATTATCTTTTGATAGAATTACTCACACCCGTGTAGCCGACTCAAGCTGACAAAACAGAATTTGCTCTTTACTCGTATTGCTGTAGATGCTTATCATTAACTGCACCTTGAAATCGGTAAAAACAATTGGGTAATTTGAAGAGATGATAAGAAGTGAATCTTCTACGTTACAAAGTCCAGTCCATATCACTTGAGATATCATACATTTACCACTCTCTATTGCCATTTTAAGGGACGTGGGTGGCGCTGTGGTCTAAACCACTGAGCCTAGGGCTTGCCGATAGGAAGGTCAGCGGTTCGAATCCCTGCAACGGGGTGAGCTCCTGTTGCTTGGTCCCAGCTCCTGCCAACCTAGCATTCGAAAGCATGTCAAAGTGCAAGTAGATACAGTGGTACCTCAGGTTAAGAACTTAATTTGTTCTGAAGGTCCATTCTTTACCTGAAACTGTTCTTAACCTGAGGTACCACTTTAGCTAATGGGGCCTCACACCGCCATCGCACGATTTCTGTTCTCATCCTGAAGCAAAGTTCTTAACTCAAGGTACTATTTCTGGCTTAGCGGAGTCTGTATCCTGAAGTGTCTGTAACCGGAAGCGTCTGTAACCCGAGGTACCACTATAAATAGGTACCGCTCTGGACGGAAGGTAAACAGCGTTTCCGTGAGCTGCTCTGGTTTTGCCAGAAGCAGCTTAGTCATGCTGGCCACATGACCCGGAAAAACTGTCTGTGGACAAACATCGGCTCCCTCGGCCAGTAAAGCGAGATGAGCGTCGCAACCCCAGAGTCATTCATGACTGGACTTAACTGTCAGGGGTCCTTTACCTTTACCTTTTTACTGCCATTTTGGTTGGCATCCGTCTGTCTTGGGAGATGATGGAAGAGTGTGCCTTTAGGGGTGAAGTCAAATAGCTGGAGAGTTACAATGCCTGCTGTGAGTGTAGACACTGATATGGGAGAGACATGTTTTGTTGCAGCTGGGACAGATAAAGGCATCCAGTTGTGCTGATGCAGGTCTTCTTTCTGCACTCCTCCCAGTGATCATTCCTACTCTGGTCACTGCTGTGGACACACAACCTGACTGTCTCCAGGCGCTGTGACCATCTGCAAGAGATTCCCATATGGCAGGGTTAATGTTGCCAGCCTTCATGCCACATTTGCAGAAATAACTGTAACACAGAGCTGATCTGCCAACATGCCTAGTGCCTGAAGCCAGCTCCCCATACAACACATCCTTGGGGAACCTGCCACCTTCCACTCTGTAGACATGAGCTAGACGTCACTGAGACAGGAGTGCAAACATGCTGGGAATATGGGCTTGGGAGAACACACTTTGGTTTGAAACCCTGTCCTGCCAAGTGATGCCCAAAATCTTCCGGATGCAGTGCATTTGGAAGGTGTTAAGGCATTGCTCCCGGCAGGCATCACTCCTGGCACTTGTCATTTGACAGATCATGAGTTATGGATCCATCCATGTCTAGCATGGATGTTCTAACTCTATCGGTTAGACAATTGGCACCAACCACTACAGTCTGAGAGAATTTCAGCAATTTCAAAAAGCGTGGCTCGGGGTGTGCGAAAATGTTCCATCCATTTAGCATCGTCCCAGATCCACAGTGCAGCGTCACCCACAAATGTTGTGCCTTATTTTGTAAGCACCTGATAGTAAAGCAAATACGACGGCCCTATGACTATGCAAACAAAAACAGCAATAACTAGCAAGTTATAGGAACTCACAATCTGAATAATTGCACTGGGCTCTTGTGCTCCCAGGATGCTGAAATGGAATTACAACATGGTGACATGATGGCACTGTAAGTTTCCACCCCCACCCCCCAAATTAATTAATTAAAAGGGGAACTCGAGAGACAGCAGGAATAAGACAAATGGTCAGAGCTATTAATAGGATATAATTCACCAGTGCGGATGTAATACTATAGAAACATCACAAAATTCCAAGAAAATTGCATGGAGGTGTGGAAGATACAGATGAAACCACTATAATTCCACCACCTTTTCTACTCGTATGGGATTATACTCATACCCATAGAATACCAGTGGTCTGGCAGTGAACCTGATCACTAAGAAGGGGATGTATCTCACTGTTGGTGCTGGCAAGGCTGTCTTCCAATGCTGCTAAGTAGCAGCAGGTGCACGGTGTACTGCTGTTCAGTCTCTGGATCAGGGCCAGTTAACGCAGCCAAAAACACTGTAAGATTATTATTTTCAGCTATGCCAGTTGATGTTTCCAAGGGAAGTGTATTTTACACTAAACCTAAAATAAGTAAAGAATTGTTGACTGTTGTCTTTTATTGCCAATAAAGCTTTCACGAGTGCAAGCAAATGCATCTTTATAATTTGCCAACAGCATATATACTTGCTGCTGGCTCGGTGTGCCAGCTTTTTTGTTCTGTTTTGCAGTTGTGATGCAAAACAGAGGGATGAAGCTTTTCGCTTTCAACTTCTCTTGAACTTTTTAATTAAGGAGAAAGGTACTGAAAGTTACAGAAGAAGGAAGAAGCCAGAGTGGAAACAATATTCTCATTTCTGCATTTTTATTCTAGCACTCTGACTTTTCAGAACGTATTTATCATTTTGGGTTGTTTGCTTTCTTTTTTGAGTTGAAAATTGAAAAAGCTGAAAAAACAAAAAAAGGTAAAGGACCCCTTTACGGTTAAGTCCAGTCAAAGGTGACTATGGGGTAGCAGTGCTAATCTCGTTTTCAGGCTGAGGGAGCCAGCGTTTGTCCACAGACAGCTTTCCAGGTCATGTGGCCAGCATGACTGAACCGCTTCTGGTGCAATGGGACACCATGACGGAAGCCAGAGCGCACGGAAACTCCGTTTACCTTCTCGCCGCAGCAGTACCTATTTATCTACTTGCACTGGCATGCTTTCAAACTGCTAGGTTGGCAGGAGCTGGGACAGAACAATGGGAGCTCACCCCATCACAGGGATTCGAAGCGCTGACCTTCTGATTGGTAAGCCCAAGAGGCTCAGTGGTTTAGAAAACATACGTGTGGCAGGAGTGCACTGAAAATTTCCCAATGATTTCCCAGTGAGTAAGAGATATATAAGGCTTACTGTTTTCTTTTCATCTAAGGGCCCATTCATACTGTCCTTTAATGTGGATAGTAAGCTTCCTGTAACCACCTTTAATTCTCCACTGTCCATAGGATGGTTCTCCTCCAATCACTGCCTTCCCCCAGTTTCCCCTCCCTCAATCCAGATTTTCTCATAACCAGTACTCTCCTTTTCAGAGTATCCCTGGTTGATTGAAAATGGGGAAAGTGTACCCATGAGCACAGCAGCACTTCCACTCTCATGTTCCTCAGTAACTGGTATTCAGAGAGTCAAAGCTTCTGATACCAGAGCAAATATAAAGCCATCATGACTATTAGCCATCACGCATTAATCCTCAATGAATTAAAGTATGGAGCATAGCTGTCAACGTTTCCCTTTTTTAAAGGGAAATTCCCTTAATCCGAATAGGATTCGTCGCAAGAAAAGGGAAAAGTTGACAGTTTGGTATGGAGCTTCTGGGGCGCCACAACTGTGACATCCAACGGAAGGGCGAGAGGCGGAGGTGGGGTGTGTGTGTTGGATTTTGGCTTTGCAGAGGGGCGCCGCTTGAATTTGAGACATCAAGGTCCGCCACTGTATAGACACGTGTGCCATTTTGTGTCTGAGGGGAACATGCCTAACTACATCCCCAATCTTCCCTGACCACTGGCCATGCTGGAGGAGGGCGTCCGGTTGCCCCCAGACCTGCTTTCAGATATGCTGCCTGCTTGCAATCCCACCCACCCACCCGTGCACTCTTCCCTCCAACTAGTTATATAATATGAGGCGGCTCCTCCTCCAAGGCGCGCGTCGCGTGCCAGGAACGTGTGAACGAAGGAACCCGTGTCTTTCCAGGGTGGGCCCATTCCGGGCCCATCGGCGCTTCCCGGTGCTCCGAGGCGGGCTGCTCCGGCCTGCGCGGAGCAGGGTTCCCTGGAGCTCCCGCGGCCCCCGCCGTGGAGGCGCGGAGGAGTTTTCCGAGCGCCGGCGACGCCCGGCCACATCAGCGCCCGCCTGCCTGCCTGCGCGCCCGCCCCCCTCCCCGCTCTCCCCCGGCCTCTGCCGCGCGTGCTCAGTGGGGCGGCGGAGGCGGCGCCGCTTCTTCTACCCGGAGGAGCTGCTTCTGCCTCCTCGGCGGCCGCGGGCAAGTTCCTTCCTGTGCGCGAGGAGCGGGCGGCGGCGAGGATGGAGGCGAGCGGCGGAGGAGGCGGCTGCTGCTGCCGGGGGTGGCTGGCTCCCCTCCCTGGTTCGCCGTTGCCCAGGTAGGAGAGCGGGTGGCCCGAGGGTGGGGAAGGAGATGCGGAGGCAGGGCGGGAAAGGCGCCGCCACCGTCGCCGCCTCCTCCACCCCCGGAGATGGAGGGAAGGGAATCCCCGCGGGGAAGTGAACGAAGAACGGCATCTGCCTCCGAGGCAGCCCCGGGCCCGGCTGGCAGGCTGGCTGAGCCTTCCTCCCCAGCCTGACTTTCTCTCCCCCACCTTGTTAAATCATTATGGCTAAATTGGAATAGCATTTCCTCATCCCGAGCATCCCTCTATGTCCCTCCCCTCCGCCCCTTTCCACTCTCCTGAGAAATTTTTAATACTATTGCGTCCTCTTCATATACTGGTTTTATTTCTGTTTCCAGCCCCAGGGTTTGGGGTGGAATAAGCTGGGCAGAAAAGGCAAAGTCTCTTAAGTGGCCCCCCCCCCCCGGGGTGCTACAAAAATAGGTCACCACCTAAATGTTAAGATTATTGCATCTGCTGGTGTTACCAAGGCGCTGGGCGTTTCTCCTTTCTAGTTTCGTGTTTGGTTTTGCTGTCATTTGCAGTTCAGTTGTACCGCTTCAGTTTGTGAATGCTAATGACGTTAAGGCAAAGTGGATGGCTGTGCATAACTATAAATGTAGGATCTGCCTTGGTAATTTCACCCAGAAGTTGCTACAGAAGGCAGAGTTCAAGGATGCAAAGTGAAAATTAGGGTCATTCAGAAAGTATTAGTTACAATCCCCGACTGTCTAGAAAGTTCAACCTATATATTTAAATAGAATTTAAACAAACAACAACATGACTATTTATAGAGACACCAATGCTTTGAAAAATAAATGAGAATCAGAGAAGAAATAGTTGGCTGTTGTTAGTATAAAACAGTAGATATCCAAGAGTTCCATAGAGTAAACAGTGCCATATGGAGTAAGCATTAAAAACAGCCAAAATAAATACTACGACAATATCCCATCAATATTTGTTTGCAGTTATTACTTGGTGCCCCAGTTCTGTGCCAAGCTAACTTCGTAGTACACCTTGTGTGTGTGGACCTGTTTGATGTGTCAGTAAATGTGAATCCAGGATACCAACCTCAAATAGACTGGAAAGCAGATGCCTATAATTTTTTAGCCAGGTAAATTTCACCTGAATTTGACACCAAACTAACCAATTCCTCCATATACATAGGAATTTGGAAAAAACCAATTCACCTCACTCAGCAGCTTTGGTATGCTGTCTTTTGTTAATCATTAGATAATGGGTGGCAGAGAAAAACAGGGGAGCTTTCAAGCTGAGCTTATTTTTGAAGAGCTTCTGTTTAAATTAAGCACCCACATAAACTGTTCCCAAGAGAGCTTGTGAATGCATGTTGTATTTTTGTGCAGTTGGGAATAGTGCTGTTTTTTTTGTCAAAGCTAAGCAGCATGCTTAGGAATCTTGCTAAGTTCACAATTTATTTTGAGCAGAAGGGGTTCACAAATGCTTAAATCTTAACAAAGTATGATTTAACTGAGTTTTCAGTTCTGTAGATAGTGGTTAAGCTAGCCCTGTAACTGTTTGCACTACCCTGCATGTCTATTACAGTATTTGGCAGATAATCAAACTTACAAAACCAGGATGCTACTGTATCCATTGTCACTACAACATATTCATTGTTGCACTTGAGTAAGGTTAATATGAATAAAAACTTAAAATAAAAACTTTACACATTTTTTCTGGTTTATCTAAATCCGAAAATGTTTACTTTTCATTATTTTGGACAGGTAATTTTTACGATATACTGATGCATTTGGTCCCTGCTTTGCTGTAAAGTCTGTAAAAGATAATAACCTGTTTAAGACAGTATTTCAAACTGAGTTTGAACATGAGTTCCTTGCTTTTGGTGGCTTCTGGTTGTGACAGGTGACTTATGTACTATGAGATATCAGACAGTAAGAGCAAACTACAAGCGTGCATTAATTATTTGTGCTATGCCAATTTGTCATATCTACCTTTTATCAGTAACTTTGTACCTGCAACAAAAGGTTGCAGTGTGTGTGGCATGATCCTATTCAGGATTCCAGGCAGACAGGCATTCCCTCTTGCATTCCTCCCCAGTTTCCATTTTCTTCTTTTCAACACTCAGCTATCATTACATGTCGGCCGAGTATACTCACTTATCATTAACCACTTTGGGGCCTCCCCATCTCCCTGCTTTGCCCCCCCCCCGCAAAGTGATATGTATACTTCTGCAAGCATTGTGGTTCCCCAAGCCTGCTGACAACTTCCCTCTTATGAGATGATAGTACTGTTTTGACTTGTATAATGATAGGCACCTGGAGAATGAGTTCTCTACTAACAAGATGTCACGGTTTCATTTCCATAAGTATATACAGACAAGAAGGTCTGCTTGATTCCTATCTACATATGCATCTCAACTAGTGTTCAGATTTTTGAGCTCAATCTGAGGTCATATCATTTGGACCAACATTGGAAACGTGCAGACTTGTCCTCGGTCAGGGTTGACATAGTTCATTTTTGTTTCAAAACAATTGGGGGGGGGGGAGGAGAACAACAACCTATAGTACCTATAAAGGAAATTGCAGAGCTTGTAAATGTGCAGAATGGGGCATTCCAAATTATCAATGGACTTGTTGTTGTTGTTGTTTAGTTGTGTCCGACTCTTCGTGACCCCATGGACCAGAGCACACCAGGCACTCCTGTCTTCCACTGCCTCCCGCAGTTTGGTCAAACTCATCGTAGCTTCGAGAACAGTGTCCAACCATCTCGTCCTCTGTCGTCCCCTTCTCCTTGTGCCCTCCATCTTTCCCAACATCAGGGTCTTTTCCAGGGAGTCTTCTCATGAGGTGGCCAAAGTATTGGAGCCTCAGCTTCACGATCAGTCCTTCCAGTGAGCACTCAGGGCTGATTTCCTTAAGAATGGATAGGTTTGATCTTCTTGCAGTCCATGGGACTCTTAGGAGTCTCCTCCAGCACCATAATTCAAAAGCATCAATTCTTTGTCGATCAGCCTTCTTTATGGTCCAGCTCTGACTTCCATACATCACTACTGGGAAAACCATAGCTTTAACTATACGCACCTTTGTTGGCAAGGTGATGAGCACCTCTATTATAGGAAGCTGCCCTACACTGAGTCAAACCATTGGTCCATCTAGCCCCATATCATCTACATTGACTGGTCGCAACTGTACAGTGCTTGGGGCAAGAGTCCCAGCCCCAGCTGGAGATGCCCAGGATTGAACATGGGACTTTATGCATGCATACAAGCAAGGCGGATACTCTATGTCTTGTTAGTATAGAGCAGGAGCACATTGTGGACTTCCTGCTTGTGGACTTCCTGTACGTATCTGGCTGGGCTTTGTGAGAACAGAATGCTACCAGATAGACCTTTGGTCTGATCTCCTTCGCTAATTTGTTATAGTTAATGCTATTCCATTGATGATGATTTACTGTGGACACCCTCTGACTGAACTTCCCACACAGTTATGCTTCTCAAGTCCCTTTGAAGTCAATACAAGTTAGGAGTATGGATACAGGATTTTTAGTAACTGACTGAATTCAGACATTAGGCAAAATCTGTTAATCATTATTAAATGTGTATACTGCCCTTCATGCAAAGATCACAGGGCAGTTCACAACATAAAAATACAAAATGAGAACACAAAATACATCACGGAAAACCAAAAACAAACCAGTAACCCCCATTGCACAAGCACATTTAAAAGGCCATAGAGTGTTAATCAGCCAAAGGCCTGATTTTAGTTATGCCAACTTTGGTGCTGTCTGAATTTGCAAACCATAGTTCCACCTGCTGCTCTACACGCAAGAGATTGATGTTATTTGCAAATAAGAAGATGGCTGGGGGGCGGGGGAGATAGCTCAGCAGAGAGGAAATGAAAATAGATTATACACTTGGAAGTTCTAAACCAGGGGTCAGCAAACTTTGTCAGCAGGGGGCCGGTCCACTGTCCCTCAGACCTTGTGGGGGGCCAGACTATATTTTTTTGGGGGAAATGAACAAATTCCTATGCCCCACAAATAACCCAGAGATGCATTTTAAATAAAAGGAGACATTCTACTCAGGTAAGAACACACTGATTCCCGGACCGTCCACGGGCTGGATTTAGAAGGCGATTGGGCTGGATCCGGCCCACGGGCCTTAGTTTGCCTACCCATGTTCTAAACTATGATTTGGTGTAATTTGAATTGAGCCTTTGTCTCTCGTGGAAGAAGAATTTCACCCATTGAGCAAAAGCAATTAAGCAAATCTATCTAGGTTTCTCTGAAAAGTTGTCATTTATTTTTTATTGATTTTCCATAATTTTTAATAAACTTGTCACCAAATTAATACAAATGAATACAAATTTAAAAGCTGACTTCTCACCCCCCAGATGTTCCCTCTATTTTCCTCCCTCCTAGTACAATAACATTTCCAACTTTCATTTCAAAATTCATCTCTGAAAAGTTGTAATACAAGAATGCAGGTTGTGCAAAGCTCAGATCAATGTACAGAGGTCATGGGTAGAGCCAGAAGGCACAACCCCCACCCCACCATGTGTTGATTCTACACACACGTGTTGTGCAATGAGCTGTTCGGACAATGAATCGTGTTTGGGAGCTGGGAAAGTGTAAACAACTGAAGGAAAATATATTGTATTTTTGCATTTTATTTTTACTTTTGCAAATAGAAGGAAAATATATTGCAGGCAACAAAGAACAAGGAATACAGCAAAGTGAAACAAGATCATCTGCAGTGTAGACATATCTACCATTCTTAAACATTACACCTTTCGTAAAAACTGGCATAATGGGTTTTCCCGTAGGACCCGTCTATCAACACAGACACCATTATGCCTCATCATCCTAAGTACCTACTTGCTGATCTTTGCAAGTATGAAAGCAGCCTGTTAGGTTCTGAGTAAGCAAAATACTTTAAGTGTCCTAAGCTATGAGTAATATTTAATGAAGACAATGTGATTATTGATAATACAGTTAGGCAGTTAGGAAGAGTAAAGACTTAACAAGACCTATCAGTCATATACTGTATAAGCCAAGAGACATGGTAGGTGTGAAATCATTTGAACTATACTATGTGCAATTTTTTTTAGCATGGAGCAGTTTTATAATGCCAACAGACTCAATTGTCACATTTCTTTGGTATTTTTTACTCCAGCTGCTAAAATTGAAGATTTCTGTTTAAAATATCTTTTAACTACAGGTCCATGCATTTATTTACTAGGTTGGAGGTTTTAAAGAGGCAAAATAGATAGTTGCATTTGCAGAACATTCCAATGAACAGGTTTGTAAAGTGGTTCTGCAAGTTTCCATCACTTCTATTATTAGCCAAAAATACTTTTAAAAACAAAACGAAAGGAGAGCTAAGTAGATGTTGAGGAGAGTACTTTACTTCTAACATTTATGGAGTAGTAATTGAGGATATTAATTCAATTTATTTAAAAAAAAAAGACACATTACAACAAACTAATACTTATGAAAAATAGAAACGGTTACTCCCAGAAACTCTGACTAAATTCCAGAATGATGAATAATTTCAAAGACTCAGACAATAATATGCAATTGTGGTGTCAACTGGCATGTTAGAAGATTTGACCGACTCCTGTATCTTAGTACTGTACTAATGCTGTAGCTATCGCATAAATTATGATATATCATCATCATTTTCTTGCTGTTGTGTTTTAGGCAGAATGATATTATGCTTCAGTTTAACATGACCACCATTACACCAGAGCTTAACTGGCGTAGCTAATTGGCACCCTGTGCTTCTCAACAGAACATCAAAAGCATGGTAATAGAAATAGAAAAGAAATCTCTATCAAAGTAGTGAAAAAGTTCACTTCCACAGAGTATCTGGCAACATCATCACCATGTAACTATCACCACATCACTTCTAACATTGCCCCCGTGTTTACCAATGCTTAGAAGGCCTCAGAAAGCAAGCAGTGGTAGCAGGAGCACTATGATGAAGTCATTTCAACAATTCTATAATTTATTCTACACAGAAGGTATAAGCATAACTACCAGAAAGCATTTAAAGTGTCTCACCAGGTTAGGGAGGAAGCAAATGCTTAGAGTGAGGACTTAGAGTGAGGACTTCTACAGCCAGAGATTCAAAATCAAACTCAGGCATAGGCAAACTCGGCCCTCCATATGTTTTGGGACTACAACTCCCATCATCCCTGACCACTGGTCCTGTTAGCTAGGGATGATGGGAGTTGTAGTCCAAAAACATCTGGAGGGCTGAGTTTGCATATGCCTGGTCAAACTCAAGCATTTGTGGACAAGCCCTTTGTCAGAGGCAAATACTGATGTTGTGCTTCAGGGAAGGGGAGAAGAATGACTGCAGGAGAATCAGGATTTTATCTTGCAGAAGGAAAAGATATGAATCAAGCTGGGTTTTTTCCCATTCCACCCCCTGAATCCACCCATTTCCTTCTCATTTTGCTGCTGGGGTTGTGCCACCATATGACTGAGAATGATTTAAGATTACAACAGAAAATAATAATAAAAATACATTTAAAAAACCCCAAAAACAGTATAATAGCATTGCTATAACGTAGTAACTTCCTTGGAGTAGATGCCTGTGCAGGGAATTTGATAGCAGGATACACTTGCACTATTCATCTATAAACAAAATTTAAATGGAACAAAAATGCTATCAAGTTTTAGAGGCCAAAAAAGGCAGATGTGTTAACATTTTTACTGTGTTCTTTTTAGATCCCAGCTTTGTTGCGGAATTGCTCAAGACCAAAAGTTAGTGACAAAAAATCTTTCTACATAACAGACAACTTCACAACGTGATCGGCTGTATCAAATCAAAGATCTCTATATAACCATTTGATGCATCATTTAAACTTCTCTGGGATCTGAAGCAATCATCAGAACAACATTTTTGAAACAGCATGACTAACTGTAAAGGAAGATCTGTCAGCAAGAAAACAAATGATAAAGCCTATCATGGAGAAAGTTTTGTAAATTGGACTATAAATCTAAATACAATTCAGTCTGACAAGTTCTTGAACCTGCTGTTAAGTATGGTTCCAGTTGTTTATCACAAAAACCAGGAAGAAAGACATAAGAAAGTGAATGGTCTCTGGCAAGATGGATTACAGCCATCAGGGCATGGTTTCAGTGTTAGGACTGACCAGCACGTGGATTATCATCATTTCTCAGAATCAACTTTTCATAATGGTAGCAATGGACATAATTCATCGAGCTGTAGCCCAAAGTATGATAACTTCGCAGGATATAATTATTCAGACAGAATGGACATGTCGGAAACAGATATTATGCTGCAGGACAACAACGTATCTAGTGATGGTGAAGAAGATACCATTGTGGAAGGCAGCAAAAAACAGCCAAAAGAATCTAGTAGCATTATGGCATTACAGATACTTGTACCATTTTTGCTAGCAGGCTTTGGAACAGTATCTGCTGGGATGGTTCTGGATATTGTTCAGGTTGGTATTTCCTAAGAATGGTTTTAAATGTACACATTCTGATTTTTTTCTGATGCACTCAATCATGACATTTAGTATGGTCCTCTATATTAAGGCTGAAGTATGTGTTTTTGTTTTATTGTAATGTTGTTTGTTCGTTATGTAAGGCTACTTACACACACACAACTTCTGAGTGGGTTCTTCTGTAGTCAAGAGGGAGCTGAGGATTTTGTTTGTGATTTGAGTTCTCAAATGCTACTTAGGTTCATATGAGTTTCAGGAGGTTAATTGTCCTTGGAATAAACTTATGTTCAGCACATGTTGAACAAGATATTAGTCATGCCATTTTTCTAGTTTCATTTTCTTAGTCTACCCACTTCACTGAGTGAAGCTTTATTCCCTGCCCCCCCCTCTAAAATCAATTTTTGCTGCTTTAGAATTTGTAGGGAGGAAATGAGGTCATTTGGCACAAAGGCAGAATTTTCAAAGCCAGGCAAATTGTGTAAAGGGGCACCACAAGTGCCATTATATTTGCAGGATCTTTAATATCAACTGGACGCCACTCCAGTCTCCATGCAGTGCAAGATTCCAAGGGCTTGTGTTTCCTTTTGGGAACAAGACGCAGCAGAAACTGTGGTGCCTTTAGGATATATGGTTTACTTGCACACATATACAACCTGAGCCTGCGATGGAGGGGCTGACAGCATCAACACCCCAAAAGGGTCTTCTTCCTCCCATGGACACGGCCTTAGATTCGAACAGAAATCACACATCATGTTCTTTCTCTCCAGCTTGCCACTTTACTTCGCGTTTACAGAGAAGTTTAGGGAAGCTTTTTAATGTTTGATGCATTACTGTATTTTAATATTTGGTTGGAAGCAGCCCAGAGTGGCTGGGGAAGCCCAGCCAGATGGGCGGGGTATAAATAATAAATTATTATTATTATTTACATCTCTCTCACATCCACACACCAAACTCTCTACTCTAAACTCCGGCTTTTATCTGTTGAGGGCCCCGTTCCCCGTTCCCTTTAAAAGCTCATCACCCTGGTTAACCCCTCACAGGAAGCTAGTTTGGCTTGACAAGATTTGAGCACTTGCTGAATCCAGGGATTAATTAGAGGGGTCTGGCACCCACAAACTCCTAACGCTATCTTACAAAATATTCACATTTATATTTCAAATTCCTCAGTTTGCTGGTTGGAAATTGAATTAAGGTATGTTATTTAAACTACTCTGGTCCTATTGAATTAATCTTTAGGGCAAGATGAATTACACCTAAGGAACTTGAAGATGCAATCTGAGTCTTTGGATATAATTTTTGAGATGTGCCAGGGGACTGGATGTGCTGGGACACTTAGCACATATATATTGGATCTATAAAAGGGGTGTGGGGAGAAGATCCAGATTACAGATTGTTGGTCAGCTGGTGTTCATAACTGGGAAACTTTGAAGACAAATAATTAAGGAGTTAGTTTGGAAGCATTTGGAAAAGAACAGTCATTAAACACAGTCATTACAAAGAACTAGCATGATCTTCTTAATAACAAGCCATGCCAGGTTTACCTTTATCTGGATAGCTACTAGCTGGGTAGGAAAAAAGGTTATATGGCTGTGGTATATACTGATTTCTGCAAGGCTTCCACAAGGCCCTCCATTATATTCTTTTTGACGCCTGTAAAATGCGTGCTAGACAATGTTACTGCTAGAATGAGCTGTTCTTCTATATCAGTGCGAGCTGCTAAACTAATGGCAGCGAGAAAGGCCATGATACTTCTTTTTCTTGCAAGTCCCACTGAGATATCAAAGCAGATTAGCTACTCAGTTACAGTCTTTGGGCTTTTGATATGCTAGTTACATAATACTGGCAAGGGAAACAACAGCTCTATGTATTCAGCTATGATATGTCATGACTCATTATTGGAATGTTTCTGTATTGTTGATGGTACTGATACTGGGGAAAATATATTAGATACTGAACTGATTTTGGCTTTATTAGTTACTGAGATTCGTGAATATAAAGTATATTCTGCCCTTGGTAATTTCTAGATAGAAAACCCTTTCCCAGAAATGTAATTTTGTGTCACTATTTTTAAAACATTTATTTTATTGTGTGTTTTTTTAAATATATCTATTTTTATGTTTTCCATTTGTCAAATAGCATTGGGAAGTGTTCAAAAACATTACTGAAGTTTTCATTTTGGTTCCTGCACTACTTGGTTTGAAAGGGAATTTGGAAATGACTTTGGCATCCCGACTGTCAACAGCTGTAAGTATATGAAGCATTATAAGGCTGGGGTATTGATATTAGTGGTTTCTTGTTACACAGGGACATCTGCAACATTTGTTGAGATCAGCATCCACCATCAATTATCATAGGCAAGTGACAGTTGAAAAGTGAATAGACTGGTGTGCTGACCCTATTTCCCCAAACCAACCCCTGTGTCCTGTGCCCTTCATAGTGCATTGCACCCAGTCTTTTGTCAGGTTGGTTGGAGTCAGGTGTTGTCAATCTTTCTCTTATCCTCACATATCTCTATGTGCATAGTTATTCAAAATGTGCATTGATGTGCATTTAATTAATAAAATACTCTGCAGTTCTTTAGTTCGGAAGGTATTAAAGTATTTTTGGGGTCGTCTGCTTACTTCTATGCAAGAATTTGATGGTTTTAAAATTGTGCAAAATAAATACTCTTGCATCATTTAAGCATAAGTCTGCCTTTAAACATTTCAAACAATAAGAATAGAGAGAGAGACTTAAAGGGAAGGTTCTGAACAGTCAAACAACAGTCAGAACAGTGTCACGAGGGGGAGAATAACCATGCTTTATGTCTTTTGTCATCAGTCTTATAATTAGCATAATTTTCATATAATTTCTATGAACCAGCTGCTGCCAAACAAATAAAAAAACTGCAATTCTACACTCACTTATCTGAAGGTAAGCCCCATTGAACGTTCGACTTCCAAGGCGTTTGGGAGCTGAAGTACAACTGTATTATTAACATTTTATAACCTACAATTATAAATAAATATTTTTACAGTTCAAAAAAGATTCCAGTTTTTATATCAGTTTCATAAATGGCCATGCTAATAATGCTACTTTAAACACAAAGCAGTTTTTTACAAGATACGGTGTACAGACAGTATGTAGCTCTCCATTCCCCTAGCACTTTTGGATTGAAAGTCAGTTAAAGTCTGATCATTGCTTCCATTTTAAAGAAACATGCACACGACTGATATACTTTTGAGATTAAATGATGTTATAGCACACAAAATGTTCGTGGTAGAAAGCGATAGTTGAACTCTTCAAATTACTACCAAGGCAATATTTTTCACTTGCTAAAAAGACATTTTGTGCTTTTTTACAGGTAAATGTTGGAAAAATGGATTCACCCATTGAGAAGTGGAATTTAATAATTGGTAATTTGGCCTTAAAACAGGTAAGGATTCATAAAAGCGTTAAAAAGTCATTGCAGATTAACACATTGTCATAGATGCAAGATGTCATGGACTGGTTGGATGCAGAGGAATGGTGGGAGGAACCAGCTGGGGAAACCCAAGGGAAGAAGGTGCAGAGCCCAGGGAGTGCTGGTTGGAGGACAATGAGTGGTCAAAGGGAGAAGACTGGGAGGAGGAGCTGTCAGAAGCTGAAGAAGTAACAGGGCTTAGTGAGCTGGGGGAGTCTGTGACAGAGAGGAATCTAGAATCAGAGGCAGAAGCTGAAGCTGAAGCGGGGGGGGGGGAGGGAGGCCAAGAGGCATAGATGAGTCCAGCAGGTGAGGGGTCACAGGTGTCTCCCGCTTCTGCTGTGACAAACTCCCCTCCCCTCTGGTCTTGCAGAACCAGAAGAGGTATGAAAAAGGCGGAGGAGGTGTTAGCTTCAAGCAAGCACAGTCTCCAATTGCTTGGAAAAAACCCCTGGGGAGGAGGGTGCTTAGACGGCTGTGGGGAGGCAGGGACTTTCAGTCTCAGCAACTGATCCATGAGGCAAGACCTACTGGGGATGAGCTGTTGTGCTCATTAGGCCTGACACATGGTGTTCTTGCTAATAAAGTGTTAACTCCAACTTGCTGACACGTACAAAGCTGTTGCAGTCAGATGACTCGGGCATTGTTTCCCATGAGATTAATGTTCATAGGATTTTGAGAGTTTGCATACTATTCAAATAGCACTTGTAGTCAGATTTGAGTAATTATTCTCAGAGCTGTGGAGCATCGTTACAGAGATCCCCAGCAAGTCTCACCTCAGTTCGAAGTCTCCTGCAGTGCCTTGGACTGGCTGCAGTGCAGTCTCAGTACATTGAGATTGATGATTTATCTTTAAGGGAGTTTTTTTTGGACTTACTTGCTCTTAAAATATAGTCTTAGGCCGTTCAAAAATGAATTCTCTGGCTCTAGTCCAAAATATGTTTATTTGCTGTGCTCTTAAAATGTTGGCCTTTCTAAGATAATTATTTGTTCCATATATTTTAATGGTTTAGACTGCAATTTAACCATACTTGTTAGGAAATAGGCCCGATCGAACTCAGTGAGCTTTACTTCTGAGGAAATGTGGTTATGATTGGACTGCACACATTTTTAATTTTAAAGCTGATTTGTGTGTCTACGAAGAGAAAAGCCATAATAACTCAAATCAAAATCAGATCCCTCTATAACACAAGGGGAAGAGAAATCTGGAGTGGAGTCCCTAAGACGGATGGATGGTGCCTTGTACGCCTCCTTCCTGCGGCTCCTGCAGCCAAGCTGGTGCCAAACTTATTGCTCTGCTTTCCTTTGGACCACATCAGTGAGGCCGAGAGGGGAATATTGTTGTCTGGGCAGCCCAGGACCTCCATATACACTGCCCAGGTTTGCAAAAGCAACGTGGGAGGCAGCAGTTATGAGTTACAGGTCTCTGCAGCCACAGCAGGCACTGTGATTCTCTAGTGGCTTGGCTTCAGTCCCAGAGGTGCACTCCATTGTCTCTCGAGACAGATAGATGCTAACCTAGATTTCTCCATGCCTGTGAACCCCAGTTATTTTTAATTTAGCCCTGTGATCTTACTTACTTTTACAACTCCCATTCCCATTTCATAACCTACATTCGGCAACTCAGTAGCATGATGAAGTTCTTCAGGCTTCTTGAATCCAAAGCATGGATTTTTATTTTATTTTTAAAAAGCAACAGTAATAGAACAGTTCATTTAAGCTTTGTGTCTGCTAAAGAGAAAGCTGTAATTAACTCAAGCCTTCTTCAAATGGGACATGTTGAAGCCTTAGTCTCAGTGGTGGAAATAAGGCAGGTTATAAATAAACAAGTAAATAGCTAAATGAAATATAGAAGCATTGCAGTATTCTTCCAGTTTTCTGTGTGCTATAAACAATAAACACCCCCCCCCTGCTCACACACAAAAACAATTCTCACTATAGCCAACCAAAGACAACCAACCACACCCTAAGCCACCCCCAACCTCTCTCACCGCCGAGGAAATACAACAAGCGAATAGTAAGAAAACCCATACAAGTAATGCTAACACAAAACCCCACACATACACTAAGTAGAAGAATAGAAGCATAACCACCCGATCCCACCCCACATACCATCCCCCCCTTTCCCCCTCTTTCCTTCCTATTTGTATAACATTATCCTTGTCTATAAAACTCAGTTAAAAAAAGAAAAGAAATCAATAAATGCTATAATGAAGCAGTTGGCTGTACACACGGCAGCTCTGTCCTTGCCCATTTTGGAAGCTGATGCTGAGGAAATTGGTTTTAGAACAAAGAGCCCATCTCTCATGGGTGTTCTACCATGATCTTGGCAGTTGTTTGGATTTCCTCATCATTTGTAAATGTTTTGTACAGCAGAATGTTTATACAAAGGCAATTCTTGTGATACAAATTCAATTTTCATTTTTATCTTCACTTCTTTAGGTGCAAGCAACTGTGGTTGGCTTCTTGGCAGCCGTGGCAGCCGTTATATTGGGCTGGATTCCTGAAGGCAAATACCGCCTTGATCACTCAGTCCTCTTGTGTTCTAGCAGTGTAGCAACAGCCTTCATAGCATCGCTTTTACAGGGTAAAAGAAACATTATGTTATAAAAAGTACTTAAATACAGAAACAATTCTAATAAACAGCAGTTTTGCAGCGTAAACGAGGCATATTGTTTATACGAATAGTCAGTTTCATTCCACCTGTGTTCTAGCCCACCAGAAATAGAATAGAAATTAAGGTATTTTCCAGAGACTGCTTACTTGCATTTAATAAGTGGATTTTTTAAAAAAAATCTATTGAGTGTTGGTCAAGTAATGTTCTTTGTCTGGTCTTTACAAAATTATCTCACGTGTTTGTTAAGTTGTGGATTGTTGATGGAAACATTTTAATGAATAGCATATGAGGTAATAATAATTACAAATTCAGCTCCAGTTGTTCAAACATGCATTCTGGAATTTACACCATTTAATTTTTAATGATTGTAAAAAAGCAAGTATTCATGCTCTAATAAGCAGAGCTGCTTTTAACATGGTGAGAAGGATGTAAATTAAATAGGAGCACTGCACTAAGCTGGAAAAACACCCAATTTTTAAAATTTGATCACTTCTTAAAGTTTTCCACTCTTACAATTGCAGCATGAGACTGATAAACCTTCTACTTCTGTTGGCTCTAGGAATAATAATGGTTGGAGTTATCGTTGGGTCAAAGAAGACTGGCATAAATCCTGACAATGTTGCAACACCCATTGCAGCGAGCTTTGGAGACCTTATCACTCTTGCCATACTTGCTTGGATAAGTCAGGGTCTTTATGATTGCCTTGGTGAGTATTGTGGTGCTTTTAAAGGGCAAATATCTCCCAACAGGCAAATATTTGCATATGTGAACAATATGTTGACTGTTCACCCCCCACCCCCCCCACCCCCCGCTGGCTTTCTACCTGCATATTTGTTGTTGTTTATTGAGTTAGTTTAGTTGGGAGCTTGCAATTTGTCAGCTCACAAAGGAGGTGGGCAGAGTAGTCTGCCTTCGTCTCTGCACTCTACTGCTGAACTCAGCTGCTTAACTCACCTGTTACTTTGGCTTGATGCTTTGTCATCGGGGCTCAGAGCTTTTGTTCTTAAGCAGTGTTTCTCAACCTGTGGGTCCCCAGATGTTGTTGGACTACAACTCCCATCATTCCTAGCCAGCATAACCAGTGGTCAGGGATGATGGGAGTTGTAGTCCAACAACATCTGGGGACCCACAGGTTGAGAACCACTGTTCTAAAGTTTAAAGACTGCAGTTTACGCTTAATCCTTATCACACAATGCTTCATCTTACTAAGGGAACAGAAAGGGTTATTATTCAATCCATAGTATTGTACAGGGCAAACAGCTATCTGGAGAAACAACAACAACAACAACAACAACAACAACTGTAAGACAGTCTTTACTTGCAGTTTTTATTACCATAATTGATATTTGTGCAGCATCCCACATGCAGACTATGTGTATGAAGATAATCACATGTAGGAACTTGACCATTCTTTGTAACTAGATGATAGGCCTCTTCCCGCCCCCTGGTCTCCCCTTTGCTCCCCTTGCCACCTCACCAGTTCTCCCTCCCTCTTAGCCTAGGCCCTATTAAAATGGGAGCTCTCTCAACTCTTTGGAGTCAGATATTGCAATGTTGATTGGAAGATGCAGAGGAAAAGTATTTAGCGTTGGGTAATCCCGATTACCCAAGCGTGGCCTAATGCGTGCAGATACGGGAGAAAAGAAAATGCACATTAGATATGGTAGATTAGGAAGAGCGGCTGCATAGCAAAGCAAATTGATTGTAAGCAATACAAACCAAAATGCAGACAGCGTAAGCACTGCAGCAAAATATATTTAGTGTGCTACATTATTTTTCTGTTGGATCCTAATTTGTACCTCCCCATAATGCTCCACTTGCTTTATTATGCCAATTAAGAGTTTGTCTAAACTGGAAAAATAAATATTCTTTGCAATTGTCAGGGTTAGCAGTTTGGAGACAAGGAGGTACCACACAGGCAAATAGTTCAGTGGGGAAGCAGGCAGAGCATCAAAGCAGGTAAGCAAGAGAGTACGAGAGGAGTACAGTCTGTGTCCAAGTATGAGTTGCTCAAACTGAGGAACTAGGCTACAGCGGAACCTTAGGTTATGTACCGTTCTCCTTACGAATGCTTCAGGTAATGAGCTCCGCTAACCCGGAAGTAGATGCTCTGCTAACAAGGAAGTAGATGCCCCTAGTTGCAAACTTTGCCCCGGGATGCGAGCAGAAGTCATGTGCCAGCGGCGCGGCAGCAGTGGGAAGCCCCCATTAGCGAAAGCGCGCCTCATGTTCAGAATGGTTTCAGCTTAAGAACGGACCTCCGGAATGAATTAAGTTCGTAACTTTGTCAGAAGCTTTGTTTACCATATTTATAGGCTACTGTAGAACAGCGTTCCCTGGGCAATTCACAACAAGAAATAAAACAACTGAAAGTGTGATAACAATAGCATAAAATGCAGCTTACAGACAAGTCACAAAGAGCAAAAAAGGAACCAGATTTAAAAGGCTGTGTATGTGTGGATTTTGTTTGACACTGGAATGGGAATGAGACCATTTCACTTGCGCCAGGTGAGTCACTGGTGGGCCACCCACTGCTGAAAACACCTTCCATGCCCCAGGCCTCAACTGGCAGGAGGAATTCAGAGATGAGCCTCCAAAGGTGTCAAGGTTTGGTAGGTTTATGGTGGAAGCTTATTCCTGGGACAGGGGGGACCCTTTAGACCAGGAGTGACTAACCAAAGCCTTCCAAATGTTGCTGGACTCCATTTCCAACAGCCCTAGCCAGAATGGCCTGTGGTCAGGGATGATGGAAGCTGTAGTCCAAAGACACAGGTTAGCCACATGCGTTTGAGACTTGCCTTTCCTAGCCTCTACTACTAGCTGTACAGCCGTTTTCTTGTCATTGCAGTAGCAGTCCTGAAGCCCGCAGGCTAGCAGTTCATTCCTCTGACAAAATGCCACAGTGCTTCTTTAAGTGCCTTGGTCCTGAAGCTGAGGTCCTCTGTTTTGAGTCCCAGTGCCTTGAACCAACAAATATTTTCCATCCATCTATCATGGCTGGCATTTGGGAAGCGAGTGCATGTTTCGTTGGGCTTGCTGCTCTGAAGATGATAGGATAATTTTCTGAAAACATTCTGTTCTGTATAACTAGTTTGATTCCATTCTGGGGTAATGTTAGAATCCTTTTTATCTTTTTCTTTTTGGTTAATAAAGTATAAATCTGCATGATTATCCCCTTGGAACACTAGAGGGCTCTATTGAGCTATAATTTGGACATCTTTTTGTAGCGATGGCTGCAGAAGTTTTAGTTTGAGAATCAATGGAATTAACTACCAAGTTAAATGTGCCTTTGATTAAAGTCCACTTGAGGTTCCTTTGCTGGGCGCAGTGGGATGTAGACCTTCCAAGATTATGAGTCCTGCAGTCTTTCCCCCATAATCCACGGTCGTTATTAATACATTTTGCCCTAAGACCTTTCCTAGATGTTTCTGCCCATCTCCTCTGCTTACAAATAATCACTCCCATCAGATCTCATCCGTTTCCAGCAGGAGAGGTGAGGAGTGTGTATCTTTGCTTGCTATAATCCATGATCTTTCTCTTCCTGCCTACAAGACCTACTTGGCCACAAGCTGCCCCACCAGGTCCAGGGACTATCAGCCAGCGCTGCTGAAAGTCTGATTCTATGAGGGCAAAACAGGAAAACCGACAAGTGCACATATTTTTCACTTTGACATTGATTTTAGCAGAAGCAGAGATTCTTGTGCAGAATGTATTTTGGGGGGAAACAACACTCTTCCATGAATGCAAAGTAACATTTCTACCTTTACATTAGGTAATTGTATTCATTGAAGGGGATTAAATCACAAATATGGCCGTTTGATGTATCTTAGTCCTTGGGTTGTTGTAGCTTTTAATAAGATTACTTACACATGTTGTTGCTGATACTGCTTCATACTGCTAGATCATTTGTTCATGAACAAGGAATATTCGCTATAGGATTCACTTGGTTCCCAAGCTCAATAACCCTTTTGAACCAATTGCACCTTCTTTTCTTCCCACAATGGTTTTAAGCTTACTGGACTGCTTTGCTCCAGTGCCCAGCCTCTGCATTGTGTTGCCTGGAAGGAGAGGAAGATTGCCGTGGGCATCACTGCGGGCTCTGATGTCAAAACATTCATTCAAGTCCCTATCATTTCTTTTCTGTGTTGTATCTCATTGCTGTTAATTTATTCTTGCTAAATTGTGAACAGGCTCAGCTGAGTAAAATAATTCACTAGGACAGCACTGGAGTTATAGTATAATGTACAGTTATGCAAACGGACTTGATTGTGGTTCAAAGGCCATATGGCGTTGGACTGGAATAAACTGGGCAATCATGATGTGTGAGCTCATCTTCTTGCATAGTTAGAAAGAAGAGGCGCAGATGGAAGGTTGGGAGATTAAATAAAGAACCAAGCACATACCGCTTTTAAGACTTCTAAAAATACCAAAATAATTCTGTAGTACCTCTTACTGAAACAATTAATTTAGTTGTCACAGTGAACGGATGAGAATGGATTTGTGCAAAGTAAACAGGCAGTCTTTAACACCAGATATTCTCTTGGCCTTCTTTAATACTGAAATGCTTTGAGACTTATCCTTGTTATTACTAGAGCTAATTGTGTTCTAGCTTTGCTAGAGCTAAATTACAATTGCATGAACAATTGCGCCCAGAATATTTCATATTCACTTGCGTTTTTAATTCTAAATTAATTTTACAAAAAACCCTGTATTTAAAATATGATTGGCAGTACTTATTAATGCTTTAGGTTTGCCACTGGTGCATGTATCAAACACGATCCCAAACCGCTGCCGTCTTTAGGTCTCAACAAAGAACTAGAAAGCCTATTTGTAGAACAAATTGTTTGTGGCACAAATTGTAATTAGTCAAATAGAAAATAAGATTCCTGAGACTGACACCCTAAGCCAGACTCCCTCAACCTCGGCCCTCCAGATGTTTTGAGACTACAATTCCCATCATCCCTGACCACTGGTCCTGCTAGCTAGGGATCATGGGAGTTGTAGACCAAAAACATATGGAGGGCTGAGGTTGAGGAAACCTGCCCTAAGCTTTCTTTCTTTCTGAGGCCTAACTGATAACAATGGGAATTGTTCTCAATAAATTTGTTTAGGTGTGAGGAGTAAAACAAAGGTTTGCAATCGACAGGTATTGTAGGGTATTATTTTCTCTAATATGGTATAAGAATAATATATAAAACTGCAATAAAAATACAAATAAACTTGCTGGTGTTTTTTATTTATTGCAGAGAAATATTATTATATATCTCCTTTAGCTGGTGCCTTTTTCTTGGCTCTGACTCCTATGTGGATTGTAATTGCTGCTAAACACCCAGCTACAAGAACTGTCCTCTATTCAGGCTGGGAGCCCGTTATAACTGCTATGGTCATAAGCAGGTAAGTAAATTGCATTATAGCTGCGTACAGGATATATTTTTTAAGGGACCCAACAATATGCAGAGCTTAACTGAAGTTAAGTACATTTATGTCCCACTGACTTCATTGGGAAAATTAAGCTGCACTTTATTGTAGTATTATTATTATTATTTATTATATCCTGCCCTTCCTCCCCAAATAACACAATTTCAAAGCAAAAACAAAGCAAACAACATTCTGAAACAGCTAAAGCATTCTAAAAACAATTGCAATGAAAAACATTTAAAAGTACCATTTTTTTGGTGTATAAGACGCCCCCTATTTTTTTTAAAACCCAAAATTAAGAAATTTGGTTGTTTAGCTTTGGGGGGTCGGGAAGATCACTTTTGCCAGTTCCTTACCCGCCTACCCACCACTGCCGATCACTTGCCACAGCCACTGCTGATCGCACATCTCGCCACAGCCGCCAGTTGTCTGCCCACTCGCCGCCACCAACAGCCCACCCTCCCACTTACCACAGCCATCAATCTCTTGTCCACCTCGCCACAGCCACCAATCACCCGCCCAATTGCCGCTGCCAATCTCCTGCTTGCTGCTGCCATTAATCGCACATCCTTCCCCCCCCTGCATTCACTATCTGTGTATAAGACGATACCCAATTTTTGCCTAATTTTTTTTAGCAAAAAGCATCATCTTATACATGGAAAAAATACAGTAGTTACAATTTAAAACATTCCTGCATCCGATGATTTTGTGGTTGCTAGGCTCAATTTTCTTCAGAGACCAAACACCTAGGTAAACAAAAATGTGTTCAGATTCCGGAAAGTTAATAATGGTGGAGACAGGCACACCTCACAAGGGAAGGCATTTCATCTTGTCCATTTTACATCCGTGGAACTTAAATGTATTATTTGTGTTTTTCATACCAACAAGTCTATAACTGCTGACTTGCATTCTGGAACTGGTTTGTGGGCCAAACTTTGTTGTATTTTCAGATCTGGGGGGAAGAATTTACAATAAATTATAATTATGTTAATGTTTTAAGTGATCCTTTATGAAGCTGTCCCACAAATCAATGAATCGTTTCTCTTCCAGGAATGCTAAGAACCCATAATATTTTTGGTAGATCTGTTTCTATAATTTCATAGAGCAAAAATATAATAAACCTCAGGCAGACAGTAGAGTAATATAGAGTTTCCAGAATAGTTTTTTTAAAAAATAACATTGTTCCTAGAATTGGAATTATTTTTAGCATTCTGTCTGTCTGTGTTTCAAACCTTGAACTTTCTTTTTCAGTATTGGTGGCCTTATTCTGGACACAACTGTATCTGATCCTAATTTGGTTGGGATTGTTGTTTATACTCCAGTAATCAATGGTAAGGCAGACACAGGGTTTCTTAAAATTGCTGTGGCTCAATGCATGCTGGTGAGATAAAAGAATATTCTAGACTAAACTGAGACATAAGTGGGTGGGTATCTACTACTGTACGGTCACACTATAATTTCAGAGTAAAAACAGTTCCTGGTTTTGTGTTGCGACACAGGAAAAGATAAATATACATTCAGACTGTGAGCGAGAATGATTTTTTTTTTTTTAAAGCGCCATGGTTTATACATTTAGAACCCCCAAAACAGATTTTAAAATATTATCCTAGAAATGTACACTTGTATCCATTTGTGTAGGTAGAAAGTGCCTTTTGTATCTTCAAAATATTGTAACATTGCTACAGTCCAATGTGCCCCATCAATACACCTAAGCAATTATATTCCATTATTCCGAATCGTTCATACAGATGAGATTATATACCACACACCTTTCAAGTACAGTTTATTAGATAATATGTAATAGCATGAAAAAGCACAGCAGGGTATTAGAATAGCTTTGCAAAGTGGTGGTGTTGAGTGAATGAAATAGTATTGATTTTTTTTGTGTGTGCACATACATTTTAAAAGCATATGGAGAAGTATATTGGAAACCTTCCAGTTATTTAAATGTAGATCTTCTTCGGAATCTTGGCAGTTAATGAATTCCACAGGCCTCCAAGCAGCATTGCGTCAATGCTTCAGAAGGTAAAAATGTTCGAAAGAACGTTTTGTCCAACTGACATTTGTTCATTCTTGGCTTCCAACTTGAAAGGGAATTGCCATCAATAAAATATATTAGACTAGCCATGCCTCTTACTGGAAGCCCACTTCCTCAGACTGAAGGCTGTGTGTTTGCACTGACCTCTTCCCATCCCACAGGATTAGCCTGTGCAATATATTAGCATGACAGAGCACATCATTTTCCAACTAGATTTCAACTTCCTTCTAGATTATCGGGGCCGCTCCTTGTTGAGTCCTCTTCCAACCCCACTCTCTAATGTGTAGCACAAAGTACCTTAGTGCCCTGATATCCTTAGTCTGCATATTTTCCCACTCCACTGTGCAAAACTCTCCTATGAGGGCAAGGAAATACTTAGCACAGTGATATCAAGTCATTATATAACATGCACTGTACTGCATTATTGGGGCAGGGGAAAGAAATAACTTAGTCAGAGGCTGCCATTTTTCTACCTGGCGTTGTTCCTCTTTAGCGTTTTAGTGTGCAGTCTTGCCAGGCAGGTTCTCCTTAATGTGATTAATTAAAGCACACTTGGGAAGTCTGAGGAGTGATTTCTTGCCCCTCTCCTTTTAGAAGTTTCCCTTCCTTTCATTACTTCATGCATACTCTATGTTTTTCTTTTTCTTTCCTCAAGGTAAGCCCACCAAAGGCTTACCTTTAAAAATCTGGATTTTAAAACTTGCTGCCTTAGGGGCACTTCACATTTTGCTGCCATTCTATTTGCGTGTTCAAGGTTTGTGTTTCTAAGCTGTCCTTTTCAGTGGCAAGTGTAGCAGCTTTCATTTAAACTTGAATTTCTTGCCCATGTGCATAGCGCAGGAACTGTGGTTTTAAGAAAAATGCCAACCATCTCAAGCTTCTCACACAAAAATCACATGTTTGGCACCACTGAGTTTTCCTGCTATAGACTTTTAAAACATCTTAAAAGACTTACTGTGACAGCTCTCCTCCCCTCACTTAGAGACAACTAGCTACAGTATTGTTGGGATATGTCATATTTTGAGGTGGAGAACCAAAGTAATTTAAACAAACACAGTTATTTTTCTTTTCACTAAGGACTCCTAATAGTCTGATCTAGGACATAAGAGCAATGTCACAGAATGTCATTTCTCAGGTGCAGTCCAACCACATTACTTTTGAGAAAATATGCATAGGGTCAGCCTATATGGCATCAGTGGGGAGCCTTCAGCTCATGGCCCCAATTTGGCCTGCCAGGCCCCTCAAAATGCCGATCATGTAACATCATTTAACACCGCCATTCAATCATTTCAGTGTGCCCTTCTACCTTCTGTGACTTTCTAGGGTTAGAATTAAAATTTTAACATACATATATTTCATACAAGTCTCACTAATATTAAGAAGGACTAGAATGTACAATATGCAAAATGTATGTAACATTTATGCATATATAAAACACGTTTAAGAAATGCACAGTTGTTTTGTCCTTTCCCGCTGTTACCTCTGCCTCCTTCTTCCTCTTGCCCTGCCTCCCATCAGAATGTGGCCCCTGAAAGGTTAGCCAGGTTGAATCTGGACCTTAAGCTGAAAGTGGTTCTGTGTACTTGCAGAGGAACACCATGTTTCAAGCAGAAAAGTATCATAACAAATTATTTTTGCCTTTCAGATGTCAAAGGGCTGCTACCCTCCAGCTTCCCAGAATACTTAAACTGTTCTATTATTATGTACTATTTGCTGCCAGTTGCTGTGTCCAGAATTGTTGCAACGTGCTTTTGTGCAGCAATCTGTGACTCCTGTCTGATGTTTTAATGTCTTCATATCCATTTTCCTGTCTTGTAATAGCAGTAATAAGAATAAGTATGCCCTGGGATCATGAATTGTTGAAGGGTGGGTTAGAAATCGAAATAACAATTACAGTGGTACCTCAGGTTACAGACGCTTCAGGTTATAGACACTTCGAGTTACAGGCTCCGCTAACTCAGAAATAGTACCTCTGGTTAAGAACTTGGCTTCAGAATGAGAACAGAAATTCTGCGGCGGCAGGCCCCATTAGCTAAAGTGGTAGGAACAGTTTCAGGTTAAGAATGGACCTCCAGAATGAATTAAGTCCTTAACCCAAGGTACCACTGTAAAGGAATAAATAAGTATGTCTTTAAAGAAATAATACATTAGGTGGGGAATTTTGACAGACCTTAGGCTACTGGTTCTTTATGAACATCTTTGGCAGAGAGGAACTACTTGAGATTTTGAGCATTAGGCACCTTCACTTGTTTTTACCAACCATCCTTAAGCTGACCTTGTTACGCATTGCAGGCACAGCTGTGATGAGCTCAGTTAAAGAGAAAAATGACATTAAACTGGAATTGCAGTGCATAGTTTTTACATGTGAATGTTAAGAAACCAGCAGGGCAATGGTATACAGGTCTACTCAGTCCCATGGACTTGCAAAATCATTCCTTATAATATCGGGGTACACCTCAATAGGAATAATGTGTGCTTTGAGCACTGAGGGCTGTGCAAAGCAAGGCTGGGAAACTAACTGCCCTCTGAATGCTGCTGGACTCTACCCACGTTGTGTGGAGGCTGATGAGAGGTGGCAGCCAGCAACATCTGGAGGGCCACAGGTTCTCCACCCCGGTGGGAAGTCTTTATGCCTGTATTCAGAAGCTTTCCCCCCCTTCATATGGTCAGTTTTTGAGTTTCTATAGCCAAACCTTTTTAAAAGAGGTCATTCAGTTGCAAAAGATTTGTGCTAATAATTTGGTATACGGACAAGCTGTTGTGTTCACAAGCTAATCTCTACCACATGTACCTATTTAATAGCTTTCTACTACTCTTCTTGAGGTAATTAGTCTGTTGAACAAGTCAGGTAATTCAACAGGCATGTTAGCAGAGAAGCTATTAGAAGCTAAAACAAATTGTCCATTATGTAAAAACAAAACAAAAAAACCCAAGAAATCCTTACTTCTTGAAGGAAACAAGATCAAATTAAAAGTTCAAAATAATATAGAATAGTTTTAAACTTGTAACGCACAAGTCCTTTAAGAACTAATAACAAGATTTGAGAGAATCAATTAACAAATAGTCAGCATGCTGTACACCAATGGCAAAAGGCAATGGTTTCTATTTTTTGACTTACTAATAAGGGTCAGACTAGACATGACCCCATTTTGCTTAATAGTTTTGTAGTTCATTGCCTTGTGCTTATGTTGTTGTATTAAGGATATTATATATATTTTTTGTTTTGTTTTTTTAAGAACTGGTATGCCACCAAATAATCTGTTGGGCAAAGAACAGTTGTTGTTTTTTAATGTGCATTCTCACAGTTTTTGTTTATAATTTAAACTTTACTGTAGCTGCATGGGGGCTTCAAATTTAATCAGAACAGTAGTTTGCGGGGACTTAAATCTTTCCTCTCAGGCTACTTCTGTGATCAAAATTGCCTTTTTTTTTACTGCTTTTTCTCCCTTGGTAGTATGGGGAAGGGGGGCACCAGATCCATGTATCTTTTTCCTCACAGGAAGAAGAGCAGTTGGCTGAGGCAATTTTGTTGGGGGAAATGGCCTGAGAGAAAAGAGTTAAGCACCTTGTCCTCCTGCCTCACCATTCCAATCAACTCCAGAGCCCCTGATGGTTGCAATAAAGAAAATAGGAGGCACACGGCATGTCTCTAACATCACAGTGAGCTGCACACCATTCAAGAACTTGTAAGAAATCCCTACGACTGGTTTTGAGGGCTTTAAGGTTTTTCTGTAAGCCTGCACCAAGAGAAAAAGCGAAATTCAGCTCCTGTATAAACTCGCCACTTCTTGATCATTGCCAAATCACAAGGCTGGAGTGACACAAAGGGCAGAAATCCACTGTTGAGAGCTAGACAGGGCTCTCATGGGCTTTTTGGCCTGTCCACCTCCCACCTGTCCACATGCGAACTGTGCATAGGCCTGGCCAAGGGTCACCGTGGTCGAGTATTTGCTGAGGGTCCACACTCCACATCCTGGGCCTGCTGCTGCAAGGAGGTAGAGTCACTAAGGGCCTATCTACACTTACCTTTCCTATGCTCTTTCTAGGAACCATCCAAACTGCAAAGCTCTGCATCTGAGCCCCCCCCCCGGTGAAAACCTGCTCTTTAAAGCTCAATCAGAGCAAACAGCAGTCCGTGGAAAACCCAAATTGGCGTTTGCTCTGATTGAGTACTAAGGAACAGGTTTTCACAGGGTAAGCTTTTTTTGGGGGGGGGGAACCAACCAAACCCCACACTCGGACACAGAGAACAGTGCAAAAGGGAAGAGTGGATAAGTCCTAAGGTAGAGGGGCCCATGGAGATGTCTTGCCCAAGGACCCTCCCAAACCTTGAGCTGACGCAGCCCAGTCCATCCTCTCTCTAGGCTTCTGTGTTGTCTTAGTTATGTTTTCCCCTTGGGTCCTCTTTTCTTTATGTCTGCTGCCCTTCTTTCTAGCCTACTACCAGCTTTCTCCCGCTTTTTTGAAAGCCATCTTGTCTATTGACTGGTCTTTCTAGAATACAGCTGTTCCTGTTCCTCCTCCTCCTCTTAAGCACCCTCTCCCTGAGTAGCCCTTTACTACTCCAGTTCCGTGTCACCAATAGTATTTTCCTCTCCTCCTTATTGTATGTATCTCCGAATGCGGCAGCTAGACTGGTGACTGGGAGCAGCCACCAAGACCACATAACACCAGTCTTGAAAGACCTACATTGGCTCCCAGTAGGTTTCCAAGCACAATTCAAAGTGTTGGTGCTGACCTTTAAAGCCCTAAACAGCCTCGGCCCAGTATACCTGAAGGAGCGTCTCCACCCCCATCGTTCAGCCCGGACACTGAGGTCCAGCTCCGAAGGCTTTCTGGCGGTTCCCTCACTGCGAGAAGCGAAGTTACAGTGAACCAGGCAGAGGGCCTTCTCGGTAGTGGCACCTGCCCTGTGGAACGCCCTCCCATCAGATGTCAAAGAAATAAACAACTACCTGACATTTAGAAGACATCTGAAGGCAGCCCTGTGTAGGGAAGTTTTTATGACTGATGTTTTAGTGTATTTTTAATCTATTGTTAGAAGCCACCCAGAGTGGCTGGGGAAACTCAGCCAGATGGGTGGGGTATAAATTATTATTATTATTATTATTATTATTATTATTATTGCCTGCTCTGCATCCTTTCTCCAGTCCCCTTGCCTCAGGGCTCTCTGTTCCTCAGCTCCCCTTATTCCCCAACCCTTAGCCACTCCATCCCCTCCGCAAGGCTTTCACCGACAGAATCCGGAATGCAAATTGCTTTATTCCCCAGAGTAATTGAGTGGTCTGAACCACCACCTGCTCAGCCCCTCCGTTGCAGAGTCCTCACTCCTACAAGCACAACACGATTCTAGAATGGAACTTAGGAGTCTTGAGCCATTTTTCAAAGCCTCTCCTCATCGCTTTCACAAGATATGTTGAAATAGATTGCATTTGTGTTATGGAATGGTAGTGCTTACAGTTTAGTACTCCTTTGGATTGAATGGTTGGAGAGCCATTGAACAAAAAGTAAAAACAAAGGTAATGATTGCCTCCTTGTTACTTGATTGGGAGGAAGTGGTTAATATGTGCCAACACAGACATTAATTGCACATATAGCTGGTTAGTAAGGGTGTCCTTTTTCCAAGTGCTTAGATGAGAACGAGAGAAATATGCCTAAAACTACTTACAAATTATTATTATTATTATTATTATTATTATTATTATTATTATTTGTGCCCCGCCCATCTGGCTGGGTTTCCCCGGCCACTCTGGGCGGCTTCCATAAAACCAAAAAGCACTAAAATATCACACATTAAAAACTTCCCTGAACAGGGCTGCCTTAAGATGTCTTCTGAATGTCAGGTAGTTGTTTATTGCTTTGACGTCTGATGGGAGGGCGTTCCACAGGGCAGGCGCCACTACCGAGAAGGCCCTCTGCCTGCTTCCCTGTAGCTTTGCTTCTCACAATGAGGGAACCGCCAGAAGGCCCTCAGCGCCCGGGCAGAACGATGGGGGTGGAGACGCTCCTTCAGGTATACTGGGCCGAGGCCGTTTAGGGCTTTAAAGGTCAACACCAGCACTTTGAATTGTGCTCGGAAACGTACTGGGAGCCAATGTAGGTCTTTCAAGACCGGTGTTATGTGGTCTCGGCGGCTGCCCCCAGTCACCAGTCTAGCTGCCGCATTCTGGATTAGTTGTAGTTTCTGAGTCACTTTCAAAGGTAGCCCCACGTAGAGCGCATTGCAGTAGTCCAAGCGGGAGATAACTAGAGCATGCACCACTCTGGCGAGATAGTCCGCGGGCAGGTAGGGTCTCAGCTGCATACCAGGTGGAGTTGGTAGACAGCTGCCCTGGATACAGAATTGACCCGTGCCTCCATGGACAGCTGTGAGTCCAAAATGACTCCCAGGCTGCGCACCTGGTCCTTCATCATAGATGATTTGAAGTTCACATTATATAGGCTCTTGATCTCTTGCTTTTGACACTTACTAGTGTAAGTCCTGTTCTGTAAGGCTCATCAGATTTTAAACTGCCTCAGTTGGCATTGCACCCCTCTTTTTTCCATGTAGCTCCATTAGCAGTACAGTGGTACCTCGAGTTAAGTACTTAATTTGTTCCAGAGGTCCGTTCTTAACCTGAAACTGTTCTTAACCTGAAGCACCACTTTAGCTAATGGGGCCTCCTGCTGCTGCTGTGCCGCTGGAGCCTGATTTCTGTTCTCATCCTGAAGCAAAGTTCTTAACCCAAGGTACTATTTCTGGGTTAGCGGAATCTGTATCCTGAAGCATATGTAACCTGAAGCATATGTAACCTGAAGCGTATGTAACCCGAGGTACCACTGTAGTAGTAAGTCCTCAGCTGAGCTGACCATCATGAAATGAGAGGCTGCTGTTTGTATGTATGTCTTGCCTGCTGTGTGACAGGCATAAAGCAGTCAGACAGAGATAGCAGGATCTTTAATGCTAGATTTGTTATGCTGCATTGTTACCTAATTATTAATAAACAGTTAAATTTATTTTCCCCCTCTGTATTATATAGGTATTGGTGGTAATCTAGTGGCAATTCAAGCAAGCAGAATTTCTACATATTTACATTTACATAGTGTTCCTGGAGAATTACCAGAAGAAGCCAAGGGTTGCTATTATCCATGCCGGACATATTGTGGTACAGGTATGTGTTATGCATCTCCCTTTAATGCATAATCCCATAATTAGACGGCTGCCAAATGAAGAAATGCTAGAGATTTAAGAGATAATTAGTCTCAGAAGTTTGTCTAGAAAGCATTTATTAGGAATTTCTGGAACCTTTTCAGACCTTAGTATTTGATAGGGATGAAATTACTTGCCATCAGTGGACCCAACATTCCTAAGGAAGTCAGAATTTCCTCCTCCTCCTCCTCCTTTTCAGGTCCAGTCTGGTTAATAATGCCATCACTGAAAGGTTAACCATAACATACAAATGTAGTCATTCTTGGTGTTTGAGCAGCAACTCTGAAATTTTCAGACCACATGGAGACTTAAAAGTGTGGTCCTAACCATGTCTTCTCAGAAGAAAGTCCTGTTGAATTTATCGGGGCTTATTCCCAGGTAAATGGGGTTAAGATTGTAGCCTTAGACCCATTGAAATTAATGAACATGATCAAGTTAGTTTTAATAGGTTTGTTCTCAGTAAAGCTTGGTTGAATGCCACCCTTAGTATTTCTAGAAGCATTGTAAGATTCTGATGCTTGCTAGAAGGCAGTTAACTATAGAGGAGTAAGAATTTTAAAATTTTGCTTCCTATATATATATATATATATATATATATATATATATATATATTTTAATAGCTTTCTGGAACTTATAGGAGCTGATTGGTTAAAACCATAGGTAGGCAAACTAAGGCCCAGGGGCCGGATCTGGCCCAATCGCCTTCTAAATCCGGCCTGTGGACAATCTGGGAATCAGCAGGTTTTTTACATGAATAGAATGTGTCTCTTTACTTAAAATGCATCTCTGGGTCTGCCTGCTGTTTTTACATGAGTAGAATGTGTGCTTTGATTTAAAATGCATCTTTGGGTTATTTGTGGGGCATAGGATTTCTCTCATTATTTTTCAAAATATAGCCCCCCACAAAGTCTGAGGGACAGTGGACTGGCCCCCTGCTGAAAAAGTTTGCTGGCCCCTGGTTAAAACTAATCCTAATGGTATTGCTACCAAAGAAAGGTTAACATATTGTATGCATATTAGTACTTGTCAAAAACGTGATTTTTCTAAAGCACTAAGCTGACCATGTTATTATTTATTCTTATTTTCAGGAGTAAATAATAAATCAGCCCAGGTTCTTCTACTCTTGGTGATTCCTGGGCATTTAATTTTCTTATATACTATTCATTTAATGAAGAGCGGTCACACGTCCTTGACTCCAATCTTCATAGTGGTATATTTGTTCACAGCCCTTTTACAGGTAAGGATAAAAATATCTGAAAATATTATTATTAATGTCCAAAGACTGTTACATTTAAAGTTTGTTTTCAAAACATTTGAGAAAGAACAAGCCAATATCTTTTTTCATGATTAATCCATCTTGGGTGTAATAAGTTGCTATAGCACACATCAACTTTTGCATCTTTAGTTTGAAGGATTCTTGAGCTATTGTTTTCTCCCCACACCTCCAACTGCCTTACTTCCTTTTGCTTTTTTATGATACTTGCATCTTTGGGTCAAGACAAACATGTTTTTTGTTAGAATTATTTAGCACCTGAACTGCAATTCTTTCTTACTTAGGTTGTATTAGGAATCTGTGTAGCATTATGGCAGGAATCATATTGTATGAAAATATTCCATCAAGTTATTTTTATTTTTCATTCTTTTTCTGTTATTAACAGAGCAGTCTTCTGTCTTTTAAAATGACATCTCTGTTATTATTGTTTTATTAGCTGTACTAGCATTCACAAACCTCATTGCATTGCCAGTCAGGCACTGAAAAACTGTAAGCTGTGCACACAATGGCTCTTTTCACTCTCCATCTTTCACTATTCATATATGTTGTTTTGTGGCAGCTGTGGCAGCCCCTTATACCAGCAGACCTTGGTAGCAATGATGAGGATAGCTTGGCATTTGAGTCCTTTGTTTCATTACTCATTTATTAAGATGATATGTATAGTTCAGGGTTAATTTGCACCCCAGTCCTAATTTTGTGTGCGTGCCTAAATAACTGCCTGCACAGCCGAGTGGTATGTCTGCTGACACATGCTGAGGTTATATACTAGGCTGCAAGTCTTGCAGTCATCAGAAGCATGTCTACTCAGAAGTAAGTTCCATTTAACTGAATTAGATTTTCTCCAAGGTCTGGCAGGGCAATCTCATGCATGTTTACTCAGACCTAAGTCCTGTTTGGTTCAGTTAGATTCCTTCCTTGTAGCTTAGAACACAAACACACACTTAATACAATAGCCTCATTATTAGGGTTTTTTTTTATTTCTACCTTCTTCTCACCTATATAATCTCATCGATACACCCCCTTTTTTTAGCTAGCATGACTGGGAAATCTCACTAGCAGTTATAGTCCAAGAGTCCGGAGTGAAATCATTGTACAAACAATTTGGTTGCTTAAACATCTTTTGAAAGTTGTGGCCTCTGGGGAAAAAACCTCACCTCCCAGTCCTAAGCCCCTATAGGGCCAGTCAGAGAGGATCATTTTGAAATTCAACAGCAGATATTACTTGGTTTATCCACGTATGTTCTCAGGGAATTATTGGGCTACCACTCCTAAGCACTTTGGCAATCACTTGTAAGACTATCAATTTTGAAGGTGCTATGACTTTTGTAAGACATGTGACTAACAGGAGTGGTCAGTGAGGAGGGGCAGTGGGCACACCTGGCCTTCCGGCAGCAGAGTCACTGCCCCTTCCCAGGATGGGAAGGTTGGCAGGGAGGTCAGTGCTGTGCAGACGCATGGGCAGAACCAATCTGGTTCTCGCACAGTGCTGACTCTGCTTCCTTGCCCCTGCCCCTCTCGCTAAGTAGTAATGCTGCTGCTAGGAGGTCAGGTATGTGGCAATACCCTTCCTCACCAATCACTCCTGTTCAGTAAAAAGGTAAAGGGACCCCTGACCATTAGGTCCAGTCGTGGCCAACTCTGGGATTGCGGTGCTCATCTCACTTTATTGGCCAAGGGAGCCGGCGGACAGCTTCTGGGTCATGTGGCCAGCATGACTAAGCCGCTTCTGGCGAACAAGAGTAGGCGCACGGAAACGCCGATTACCTTCCCGCCAGAAAGGTACCTATTTATCTACTTGCACTTTGACCGAGCAATGAGAGCTCACCCTGTCACGGGGATTCGAACTGCCGACCTTCTGATCGGCAAGTCCTAGGCTCTGTGGTTTAACCAGCAGCCCCACCCTACTCCTGTTCAGTACCTTATGAAAATTATTCTCATTTTAATTATCAAGCAAATGAGTTGCATGTCAACACCTTCAGCAATAAAGGTTTCCAACATAGCTCCATTAGTACAGCATTATTGTTTGTTTTTTTCATCTTCATATTGAGGCCACAATCTGTATCTTACACCACCTGCATTTTAGCAAGTAAGCTGAAAGCATTCTGTGTTTGAAATTGAAATTAATTTTTCCAGAAAGGCAGAATAAATATATGCCCCAAAGCAACAATCAGTTATGAACTTCCCCCAATGTGAGTTGATTTGATATAGCATTGCTTTGTCCTGTCTAATTCATTATTCATTCAATTGATTTTAGGGCAAACCTCTGCAGTTCTGTATTTGCATTTTCCTTCCGTTGTAATGACTATGGCAGCATTCTGAACCTGTTCTTTGTGTTAGGTTAAAATTGCTTCATTAAGGAAAATGTGTGACTTTCTAGACTTGAAAGTAGGCATTAATATGTTCATTTTTCTTTTAAAAAAGTGTTTCCTAGTGAATTGACCTAACCTATCAGACACAGTTACAAAATAACAGTAGAATTAATGCAGTCAATAAATTTCTCTTGTCTCATTCTGGTCTTTGTAAGTAACTCTGAAATAGTAAACAAGTTGAAGGCCTATGATATCACACTGGAGGGCAGAAGTGTTGAGAGAAGTCCTTTCCCCAAGCAGCTGTTTTAGAGCTGCCAAACCCACCACTCTCTATTCTATATATAGTAAAATACTGTTTTGATCAGTGTTTGACCCTAGTTTGCTATCCTACTGGTTGGCACAGGACTGCCCACATTACTATTAAAGGGAACAAGTGGAACCTGCAACCAAATGTTTCCCTACATCCACACTGTCTAACAGAAGTGGTCCTGTTCAGGGTTCCAGCCAGCCAGACATTCCTCAAGACCACTGTTCACTATTAGGGCTCAGTTAAGGCCAACACTTTGTTTCTTTGTTTACATTTATAAACTAGCCCACATTCTATAGGATCCCAGGGTGGTGAACACACATAATAAAATCCTTAAATGCTTAATTTAAACACTACTACAATCATTAAAAAAAACAGTGGAAATAATTTAGTGTCAAAAACATTCACACCACTCACAGTCTTCCCCTAAATCCTTCATGAACAGATGTGTTTTCAGCTGTCACCTAGTGAGGGGGACAGCCCTATCATTGTAGGGAGGAAGTTCCACAATGTGGGGAAACCACAGAGAAGGCCCTGTTTCCCCATTGCCACAAATGAACCCACGCTTGTTGAAGGGACCATGAGATGGGCCTCCATTGGAAATTGAAGGGAGAGGCATTGTTGGGTTGAAATCACGACAGACGAGTGGTGAGTGTCAAAGGAGAGGCGTCTGCCGGGGCAAGCCCCGGGAACTCTCTTTTATTGAATATTACAAACATTGCCACAGGTGTGCTTGTGGCTGATTGGTTGATACAAACACAAAGCATCTTGTTGCTGATTGGTTAACATAGGTACAAGGCGGGAATAACATATTACATTAATCACTGATAGTTCAAAGACTGGGAACGGAGCTGGAACTAGACAGGCATGAATCCTCCTAATTAAATTATAACTAAAGACTGATATTGAGAGAACATAACATGAAGGAATACAACAATCACGTCCCGTAAATGTGGTCAGCAATGCATTAAGAACAGGTCAGGATACACTGTTTCATGAACTCAATGGGAACTGTTCAGAACATTCTCAGACTTATGTGCAGAGGCAAAAACTTCCCAGAATGTAAGAGAGAAAAGAAGCAATAGTGCTAAAAGCAAGACTTTCCCAAAATGCCACAGTTATGTGCAGTAAGAGAAACTGCAGACAGAAAACTTCCCTTCAAGGCATTGCATCAAGAAGATGGGTCTTGATCAGCTTAGGGTTTTGTGTGTTAAAGTCCACACCTCGAATGAGGTTTGTTTGCGAATCAGCAGCCCATGCAAGGTTGCACAGGACTTGTGTTACGTGATCTCTTCTTGCCACACCTCTCACAACATGTGCAGCTACAGGTTCTGAACTGTTCCCAAGGATAGCTCCATGTAGAGCACATTGCAGTAGTCCAGGCGGAGGTTAGCAGAATGTGGTCACTCAAGGTCCAGGCTATGTCTGACTAGGAAGGTTGTTGCCGGCAAACCAACCTAAACTTAGAAATAGGTGCTTCCTAACCACTGAAACCACCTGAGCCCCAAATGGTGAAACTGGACCTCAGAGTACCCCCAGCCTACACACCTGCTCCTTCAGGGAAGTGTGACTGTCAAGGACAGATCATCTTCCCAGTTCCCAGACAAAAGAACCGCCTTCTTAAAGTACTCATGTGTTATCAGGATTCAGTCTCAATTTTCTGGTCCTTATCTAGCCCATTGAAGCCTCCAGGCATTAGTCTTGTACCTGCCCAAAAGAGTACAGCAAAGAGTACAGTTTACATGCCTACCTCATATAAACAGGCAGGCAGTTCCAAAGTGTAGAAGCTGCCATGCTAAAACATGGATTTCGTAAAACTGTGGAATGAGTACTACATTCCAGGTCTGGGACGCGGGTGGCGCTGTGGTCTAAACCACTGAGCCTCTTGGGCTTGCTGATCAGAAGGATGGCGGGTCGAATCCCCACAACAGAGTGAGCTCCTGTTGCTCTGTCCCAGCTTCTGTCAACCTAGCAGTTGGAAAGCACATCAGTGCAAGTAGATAAATAGGTTCCGCTGCGGCGAGAAGGTAAACAGCGTTTCCATGCGCTCTGGCTTCTATCACGGTGTTCCATTGCACGGAAAGTGGTTTAGTCATGCTGGCCACATGACCTGGAAAGCTGTCTATGGACAAATGCCAGCTCCCTCAGCCTGAAAGTGAGATGAGTACCGCAAACCCATAGTCGCCTTTGACTGGACTTAACCGTCCAGAGGTCCTTTGCCTTTTACCTTTACATTCTAGGTCCTCAGCTTCCTACATATAAAGCAACTTCCTACATTCCTGAACAGAAAAATAAATTTTCTGTGGATTTCAGTGGAACTTATGTGCAACTATTTTTTTTTCCTGGCTAAGAACCTGACTATTTTAGAAGAATATTAGATACTTGGCACGATATCAAAAAAACAACTGTACCAATTTTAGTAACAGAACACTGCGGCCCCAGGTACAATGCACGATTCCCTCACAAAATGTGTTTGCATCACAAGATGAGTTCAGAGGTACCCTGAAGATTTCTATAATTTAGGTGGCATAAAATATCTATTACTTCATATGGCATATATTCTTGGCATGGTTAAACAATATGTTCTGCTGAAGTCCCTATTTGTTGAATTAACTTGGATCCATCTGCAATGCTGGAGTGGAATACAAACTATTCTCAAAAAACGTTATACGTTCAAGTGATTGATGTATTCTTTATAAAAAGGACAAACTTCTCTGAGACAGCTGTATATATGATTGAATGATATTTTTTTTAAGAGAAAATAATAATAAAATACAGCCTGCTTGAACTATATTCAGCTGGGTATAAAGAAAAAGGCTTCATTTTCAGACTTGTCAGCCATCATCAGACTGAAGGCCAGACTGGAGTAAGGAAGCCGTCAGTTTTGTGATTCAGGGTTTGTGACTTTCAAAGGCAGCCTCTGTACTTCGGGTTCCTGCTGAGCCAGTAAAGAGCGCTCTGGAATTTTCACACCTCCGAGGCAAATCTCAGAACACAGTTGTGTTAAGGGCTCTGGGAATAAACAAGTAATGGGAAACTCTAGACATTATTGCCCAATAAATTTGGCAGGGTAAAATAAAATTGATTGTATCCACTAAGAATCAAAATTGTTGTTGCCCTGCAAAACAGCACGTTTTGAATATTCCTTCTCTTGTATGTCAGAGAATTCATTAGATTAGTTGCCAGCCCTTCTCTGTTAAAAACAACACTCTGTTTAGACCCCTGGCAGTTAAATATCATTTGGGAACATTTATCCCTTAAATTGGCTTAAAGCAAAATTCGAAAAGCAGATGGTGATACATTTTGAGAAGAAAAATTAACAAAAGCATAATAAGAGCACATTTGTGTTGACCGTTGTTGCTTCAGCTATATAAAGACAGCCTATTATCTCTATGTTTATTGCCCTAATGAGACTGTTCTAGTATCCTGACAAGTGAGGGCCACACTTACTTTTCCTCCACTCTTTCCAGGCACCATCTGCACATTAAAGCTCAGTGTCCAAACAGCCTATTTTTTGCTCCAGAGTTTTCCCTGTGAAAACCCACTTTTTGAAGCTCGATTGGAGCAAACGACAGTCTGCAGAAAACCTGAATTGACATTTGCTCAGATTGAGCACCAAAGAGCAGGTTTTTGTGGGGGAAATGCTTGGACACAGAGCTTTTAAGCATGGACCTGTGCGTGGAAAGAGCAGGGCAAAAGATAAGTGTGGATAAGCTCTAACTCTTCATGTCCTGAATATTTTTCTGCAAGTCACCTGAACTAGGATATTTGGCAAACGTTGCCTAGGATTTCTAGTTAGGGAGAAGAGGACTTAGCCATGAGTCCCAGTTTGGACCACATGACAACCCAAACTCTGCATGGTCTGACTGACTGTGTTGTGAGAACCAGTTTTACCATTTGCAAAACCGATTTAATGTGTAGAAATCCACTGTTTAAACTCCCTTTCTGAGGACTAACTGTATGTTAATGAACTACTATCTGACTCAATCTTAAGACTGAGCTGCAGTTTAAATCTAATTCCAGTTCTGGACTACATTAGTTACTCAACAACCCAGGTTTGGTTCTTGTTCATGTTTTTAGAATAGAGATGTACAGATCTGATATATTTTTGATGAAAAGTGAAATAATGGGAAAACCTAGATAAACGGATCATTGGTCCAAAGTGTTACTCAGTGTGAAGGACGAATGAACCACATTAGACCACAGCATCACTAGTTTTAGAGGCAGTGGAGATGTTACGTGAGATAACAAACTGATATTCATAACAGGAATAGAAAAGCACGGAACATAAGGGAGACCAGAACTGGGCAGAGTTCCACTGGGTTTCTGCTAGTAATTGTGCCAGTTCTCTTTTCCCACCAGGGAATAGAATTGTGTGTGACTGCAGTCAAAACAAAAAATTTAGAACTACTTATTAATATTCGTACCAAATTGGTGCATATCTTATAAATGGAAGCTTAAGGCAAGGCAGAAGTGTGAGTTGTATACACACAGACTCACTTCATTGGGTTTTGGGGTTGGAAAATATAAGGAAGTATATTTGTGCTGTCTCCTTACATATTGTGCTAAACCGTAGTGTGTGTGAACAAGCCACAGCAAACCTCAGGCTCCCACACGCCACCTCTTCTCCCCTCATGTTGCTGAAAGGAGTTCAAAACTTTGCTTCTGCTTCTAATTCATCACTGTTTGCTACATTGCCTGGACCCAGAACTGTGGTTAACATTAACTATGGTTAACTTAAACCAGACAGCATCAGAAACCATGCTTTGATGTTGCCTTGTTTTAAACTAGGCAATATTAATATTAATATTATTTGTTAGTCTGGACAGCGCAACCAAGCACTGTTAATCAGAAGTGGAAGACAGTCAAGGGAAGGGGAGAGGAAGGGGCACTGCTCATTGTGGTTTGTATTATGCTAAACCATGGTTTAACATAATGTTCAAATGTGGCCGGCTTTTGGTTCTTTACGACAATAGGAAGGCAGAAAAACCTACATTTGTTGTAATATAAATATTTGCTTTCCTTCAAGTTTGCTTTCCTTTTCTACCCAAGGACAAGCAACATTTCAATCACCTTGCCTCCAGTATTTCTCTTTTCATACCCCACATAGCTGTTTCTCAAATGTCCTGAGCAATCAGGAATATATTTGAATGTGAAACTTCAGTTTCGAAAGCATTTTTAGATAAACGACACAATGGTATGTGCTTTAGTTAGCTTAGACTCCTCTTTATTAGAATTTCTAATAATTATTCCCCCCCCCCTCAAGTAATGCAATCTCTGCCCAAATGCCACTGCATGTTCCCACTTGTCACATCTGTTTCCAGACTCTTTCCCACCCACTCTGGTCCTGCACAACCTTCACAACTTCGGTCTTGGCAGAGGGGGACAGATTTGCCTTTGATCGCCTTGCTAATGTTGTGGTGCTGGCCAGCTGAAAGAAGAGACCCAAATTATAACAATTCCCCATGTAACGTTGTCTTCCAGGATACTGTGTGAGTGTCTGGAGGTGGTTGGAGGATGGATGGCGGCTAACAGATTGAGGTTGAATCCTGACAAGACAGAAGTACTGTTTTTGGGGGACAGGAGGTGGGCAGGTGTGGATCCTGAATGGGGTAAATGCACCCCTGAAGGACCAGGTGCGCAGCCTGAGAGTCATTCTGGACTCACAGCTGTCCATGGAGGCACAGATCAATTCTGTGTCCAAGGCAGCTGTTTATCAGCTCCATCTGGTACAGAGGCCTATCTGCCTGCGGACTGCCTCGCCAGAGTGGTGCATACTCTGGTTATCTCCCACTTGGACTACTGTAATGCGCTCTACATTGCGTTACCTTTTGAAGGTGACTCAGAAACTGCAATTAATCCAGAATGCGGCAGCTAGACTGGTGACTGGGAGCGGCTGCCGAGACCACATAACACCGGTCTTGAAAGACCTACACTGGCTCCCAGTATGTTTCCGAGCACAATTCAAAGTGTTGGTGCTGACCTTTAAAGCCTTAAACGGCTTCGGTCCAGTATACCTGAAGGAGCGTCTCCACCTCCATCATTCTGCCCGGACACTGAGGTCCAGCACTGAGGGCCTTCTGGCGGTTCCCTCGCTGCAAGAAGCCAAGTTACAGGGAACCAGGCAGAGGGCCTTCTCGGTAGTGGCACCTGCCCTGTGGAACGCCCTCCCACCAGATGTCAAAGAGAAAAATAACTACCAAACTTTTAGAAGACATCTAAAGGCAGCCCTGTTTTGGGAAGCTTTTAATGTTTAATAGGTTATTGTATTTTAGTGTTTTGTTGGAAGCCGCCCAGATGGGCGGGGTATAAATAAATTATTATTATTATTATTATTATTATTATTATTATTAGTCACGTTTATGTCTTGGAGCCCAGAGATGGACAGTTTCTGTGGGAGGGGGATGTCAAAGGCTGGCTCTCTGCCTGCTTTGGTAAAAGAGGAGCTGCCTCAAAGAATCTGACAGTCTCTTCCAAAGAAAACATGTGCTTTCAAATATATTTGTTTGGTTTGCAGAGAGGAGCACACCTAGCACATGCATAATTAGCTGAGGCTACAGAGCCGCCTTTTCAGCAGGGAGATGTATCTGAATAACTTATACATATTTCATAATGGAAAAAGGGACAGAAAATTGCTAATTTGAAAACCATATGGTTACATCTTAAAAATTCTTTTGTAGTACAAATCAAAGGTAGGGATTCTCTTAGAAGTATTAAATTATTTCAGTGTGCCTAATACTGTAACATCTAATTTTCCATTTTAGCTGTTTAAATAATATTTAAGAAAACGCACGCTTTCAAAATGGTATTTGAAACATTGAGTCTGTATACCAAAAATCACAGTGGACGTGCCCGCTTTTTAAATTGTTTTGGACTCAGGAAATCTTTTGTGTGTTTTGATACAGGAACAGTTTGGGTTATAAGTCTTTATTTCCTGAAGGTCCAAATTGATTTAAATCTTAATCTTGTCTATTTTTTAGCCTACAGGTAATCTTTGCAAAATACATAAAGAACCATGAACTCAACCTTTCTATTCAAATAAGTTAGTAGAAATAGTGGATTTCAGATGCTGCCATAGAAATCATGTCAACGTGATTTATATATTTTTTTCATTTTGCCATAGGTGTTTACATTGCTATGGATTGCTGACTGGATGGTTCACCACTTCTGGAAAAAGGGAAAAGATCCAGACAGTTTTTCTATCCCTTACCTTACTGCTCTTGGTGATCTTCTTGGAACTGCCTTACTTGCCATGAGTTTTCACTTTCTGTGGCTCATTGGTGATAGAGATGGAGATGTAGGAGACTAATAATGCAAACAAGCACACTAGCTGATCCCATTAGATGAAGATGACAAACAGGAGACAACCACTTGGCTTACCATTTCATCTGAAGAAGGACTTCAAAACAGTGGTTGAATTTGGATATTATGGTAACTTAAAGGTGGCACTGATATCAAATCGCCTTAATTTTAAAAGGGGGGGGGGACGTGGAAGTGTGAAAATAGGCTTTAAATATTTTTTACACTGCAGGGGAGTGTGGCTGTTTCTTGCTGGCCACAGAAAGAGAAAAGCCAGCCAGTATTGTACCAAGAAACAAAGTCCAGAAACGTAGTTTATGGGCAGTTAATAGCAGAAAGATGTGACTTAACCACTGATGTGTCTCTTCATCACAAATTTACTTTTCAGTGAACAGCCTGACTGCATTTCAACTTATAATGGGTTCACAGTTATAGTTAAATCTTCTGGAATCAGACACCATTTGCTAAATAAGTAAAACAGATGATTTGTGCATGTAATAAAGAAAAGTTCGAGCAGGACATTCTACAGGGTATTCAACACTCCTTTTTAGTCGCAGGTGAGACAGAATAAAGCAGCTTCTATTCCAAAAACTTGTTTAATCAGCTGAAAGTGGGAAAGAAGTTTCTAGCAGAGATAACTCAGTACTATCATGCATGGACGTTAATGTTGTATTAATGATTGTATTTTAAAAGGTTCAATGGCACAGTTTTAAAATGTTCAATTTTGTCTTTTGCAGTTTATTGTAAAGTATTGGAAATTAAGAAGAAAAAAGTGGGGCTTTTGATATGTAATTATGGGGGAACTGCAATATAGATCCTGAAGAGAGAGAACTGGTGAAAGGGTGTGTTTTTTTTAATTTAAGAAATAGTCGAAGAGAAAGAAACCGAGGACAAATTCAGCCATGTAGTTCTGTCACACAGTTCCATCCAGCAAATGGCAGCTGGAATTTTAGTCTGCAGTCCTGTATACTCTATACTCTTACTTTTTGGGGGTAAGCCCTGCTGTGCTCAGTGGGACTTGCTTCTGAGTAAAAATGTGTGAGATTGCTCAGGGCTTTTTTCCAAATGATCATTGGATAGAGCAATCCTATGGAGGCAGGGGAGGGAAAAGCTCTGGCAGGTCTATTCTTTAAGAAGTTTCTAGCCTTTAAGAAGAGCTAGTCTTTAAGAATCTCTGGAAGATATGTTTTATACCAGCAAGGACAGGAGGTCAGAGAGAAAATAAGCACGCCAGTTCCAGAGCTGGTATATTTTCGCTCCATTGTTGGTGGGGTGGGTAGTGTCAGGAGATGGAAGGAATTTGGATCCCAGATCCATCTCTAACAAGTCCCATCCCTCCCTGCCCCTATCAGAGCACCAGCTGTGGAGGTTTCTACATCTGCAATGAGGAAGCCTCTCAGGATGGTCCTCCTCTGCTCAGGTCTGCAATGTCCTATAGTTCCTGGAATAACCTCGCAGGGAGCATAGGATCGTACCCTTACTGCGAAAATGATTGGGGTTGCTACTCTAACATTCTGGAGGATTCAGGCATCTTTCAAATCAGAACAGTGCTATTCTAAAGAAATAGATTTCTCCAGCACTCAAACTGGGGGAGTTTCATAACTGATAATGAAATAAACCAGAATAGTTTGGTCTGAGAAAATGTCATTGCCCACACCCGGTATGTCAGTTGTGTGATGCAATTAGTTCTTTGTAGAATGTGATTATGTGAGTATCACAGGTACCTGTTGACTAGTGCCTGTGGCACACTGATAAAGAAATGAATAGCTCCCATTGTGTCTGCACCATTTCAGGTTTTGTGTTTAAAAGTATCTGTAAAAAAACCAACACATTTTCCCATTGTAGTATGGGAACTCTCAGGCAGGTTGCAGTCCTGAAATTCATTTGTGTAATGCAGCTCTGCAGCATTATATGTTATATCCCAAACTTTACAGTCCTTATCGCTATTTATGTAATTGGAATGTGGGGAAGATTACTGAGTTTATGGTTGGCTTTGTGTGCTGCCTTGGGTGTTCTATAAACGAAGCAAATAACTTTTTAAACCAGGGCAATGCAACCGCTCCGCCCTCCACAAACCACAAATGTGGCCACACAAGTTTAATTGTAATGAATGGGCATTTTGCACTTCCCATTAGTATCAATGGAATTTGCACAAGGTGGATCCCTTTTCAGATATCCAAGTTACATCCAGTTGATTTATTTCAAATGTGGATATGCAAATTAGGCAGTGAAAGTTATGTACGTGACCCCAATTTTCACATGCTGACTTTTATTGATATAGCCAAAAAAAAGTTCATAGGCCTAGTTGCTCGCTGAGTACCCTCATCTTCAAAGAAGTTCAAGATGCTGGCAGCTGTTTGGCTTTCTAATTGAAACCTTACATGAATAACTTTCCCCACACATTAAAAGCATTAAAAGCTTTCGCATAATTATGACCGGACTGCTTTGCTGCTGGAATTGCAAGGCTAGCACATAAAATAATATTTCAGAATTGTGAAGGAAAATTGGACTGTCCTCTAGGTTCCCTTGTTCCCCTTAGTCTGTATTAGCGTTAATCAGAATGGTACATTGTCTGTAGTACTGTAGATAGCACTCCTATTCATTTTGTTTTAAAAAGCAGTTGGTGATAACTCAGAATCCTTTTATTTGGGGATATAGATCTAGAAGCAATTAAGCTTAATTCTGGTTGAGCTACCTTTATGTGGAATTATGGTCTGATGAAAAATATTTTAATGTTTGAAGAGGCTATGGAATTTTAAAGTTTTTGGAACCAAACCCACATAGCTTCTGAGAAAAATACAAATAAAATTTCTTCTGTTTTTAATATATCACTATCCATTTAGTGTACGTGTGCTACTTTAATTTGTTTGGGGCTCCAGATTTGTGTATGCCGGTGCCTAAGGTGTACTCAGTATACCAGACCAGAATAACATTCTGTCATACTACTTAAATATAAGGATATATATATATAATGGAAATATAAGGAAAGGTAAGCAGTAATTGCCAGGGGACGTGTGTGTGGCAGCACTAGCAACCTCTAAACCAGGCATGTCCAAAGTCTGTTTCAGGGGCCTAATCCGGCCCGCTGGTCGGTTTAATCCGGCCCCTGTGGCAGTTTATTTCCTGAGGTAAAATCCTAAAAGTACCTCAACAACATCAATCCTAAAGAAAAGCTCAACAAGTTTGGGGCAAAATCATAAAAAAGCTCAAAAACTTCAATCCTAAAAAGAGGTTAACAACTTTGGTCGGCCCTCACAGCCCTTCACTTCATCAAATCTGGCCCTCTTTGGAAAAAGTTTGGCCACCACTGCAAACCATCTGCCATTAAATGTACACAGGCATTATGTGTGAGGTGGGTTTTCAGGTAGAACATTAATGCAAAGACTACCTTTTAAAAGACTCATGCAAGGACTTGATTTGGCCATATTGTACTTACTGTAAAGTTCCCTTTATATTAGAGCCCTACAGTTCTCTAATAATTATTTTACAGCTTGCTGGTGCCCTGCAGAAGAAGGATAAGATGCAAAGGTTGGGTCTTCTTTTCTGCCACTAACCTCTTCCACAAACGCACAAGCTTGGCTCAGTTAGTGTGACAACTGATAGGTTCATTCTTGTTCCCAGTTATGACCACATATCCAAAGGAGGACCTGAGCAGGACAGGAATGGGGATGTGTGCTGCGGTGCTCTGAAGGTCCCTGAATGTCTTGAGGAAATCAGTAGAAGCAGCGTGTTTCATCTGCAATTGCTGTTAGCTAGAAATATTAGGTCTTTCATTTGGTATTGAATGCTGGGTGTGGCTGACACTTAATACTAAAAGTGCCCAGAATAGCATACAACACAATCATATGAGATCAGAGAGACCACTGATAAATGAACCATACCCAGCAATCTTCCTAAGATGTTCAAGGTTATTTTATTCCTCCTTTTGACGTTGAAGAATTTAATTTTGATTCTAGGTCTAGTTGCAAACTATGTGGTGGCCTAGATTATGCCAATATTATAATATATCCATAACATATCTTCATGGTCACACCATAACTTTGCTTTATGTTGGCCTATAAACATGTGGTTTGTAAAGACTTGTTGGTTCATGTCCTGGGAAATGGTGGCCTTTGGATGGATAAAGATGGTCATGGCAACCAATGGAGTGCCTCCCTTTGATATATCATGAGCGTCTGGTTTATCAAAGAATTGGGGTGTAAATAAGAATTGATTGCCACAACAACTGGGGCACTCTTCAAGTTGGCAAAACACCATTAAGACATGCAACAGAATAGCACAGAGAATAGATCAGGTTTTCTTCTTTGGTATTGAAATTGTACTTTAAACATTTACATGTCTTAATAAATATTTAGAAGCTTTTTCACCTAAGAGCTTATGACATTACATTAATGTTTAATAGATTACAACTCTACAATTGCAGCACACTTTGCCACAATTAATATGCAGCTCTGGGAAATGTTACACCTCCTGAAATTGAAATGGAGCTCACCGTGAAGTAATTCTCAGGCATGATGTGATAAGGTTGACAGCATGCTTGCATCACTTTTAAACCACAGTTATGCTTAGCTTGTGGGACACTAAAGTAAACGGTGATCTACTCACTGGCCTTGTCTGTACCCCCACTTTAAACCACAGGCAATCTCAACCATGGTTTACAGGCAAATGTGCAGTGTGTTGGTTCACATAGAGAAAATTGCGGCTGCTTTGATCCTTCCCTGATGCTGCTGAGTTACCTGGAGTTAAACCATAGTTAGGCATTATATCTGAACCCAGGCTTGAGGTTTGTCTGTCTCCAAACAAACCATGAGCTGCAACCAAGGTTTGCTCTTGGTTTACAGCTTGTGGTTAGTTTGGAGGCAACAAACAGTGAGCCTGGGTTTTGACATAGTGTTAAGCTAAATTGTGGCTTATTTCTGGTAGTACAGCAGGAGCAGGGAAGAAGCAAAGTGGGCAGAGTTTTCTCCCTGTGCACCAGCAAACTCTACTGTGAAAAGTTAGCAAATTGGACTGCTGGAGAGATCAGTGAAACGGTCCTGCCAATCCAATGACTCGCCCTGATAGCTAGAAATAGCAGAATTCAATTGGTTTCTGTTTCAACACACTTCATTGTTCAAGGACATAAGCTTAAAATCTCCTGGATCTACATTGATTCGAGAATATCTGCAGATGTATTTTTGGTCGTTATGTGACTTGTGGTAGGAGCTGACACATCTATGGAAAAATAACTCCCAGATCCAATTTCCTGAAACACTAACTCTCCAGGTGAAATATATGCATTTATGCAAAGAGCATAATCGCAAACATTTTCACGAGCCTCCTTCTCTACAGCCCCATGAGCACTCCCCCATAGGTTGTCCAAGACGGTAGAGTTGTGGTTTGTTTTTGATCTTCGGAAGTTCCCTTATCTTACCTAAGCACATTGATGCTAACAACTTGGAAGGTAATTGCTCAGTGCTTCTCTCACATGCCGGGCCCATTCCTGTTGCCTGGCAACGAGAGCAACAGCAAGGGAGAAAAAGGGGAAGACAATAGGGAACTGCCACGCAGGCAGGAGCAGCTTAGGTCTGGATTTGAGGGGCTGAGGGAGGGCAGATGGAAATGTTTTGGGAGCCCGTCTCACTTGGAGAACAGAAGAGCAGAGGGTCACTTCTTAGCAGTTTTCAAGCGCTACCATGGGGGGGGGGGGAGAGCTGGTTAATCGAAGTAGCAGATCAAAATAGCAGCAAAGAACATCCAAGGGGTAGCAAGAACGACACTTAAAATTCTGAGGGGAAATCCATTTCGGTCTTACTGCAGAGCACTTGGCTGTGTTTGCAACTTTTCTTCAAATGCAGCTCTCTGCGGAAGGGCTATCAATGGAGGTGAGGATGGGGAGGCGTCATGGCAAAAGGAGTGCTGCTGCAGGTGGATCAGTGCCTGTGTGAGCAGGTGGAGAGAGGCAGTGAGATCAAGTCCTAATTGCTAAAATGGGTCATGCAGTAAGTTGTGCAGGGCGATTTCAAAGAGCAGGGGAAGCGAAACTGCTACCTGCTGGATCAGTCATAGTCTGATTCTTCAGCCAGATTTTTATACATGCAAATTTATTCTTCTCTACGGAAAGCATCTATGCATCTTGTTCTTAACAAAGGCAGGGCAGAAATAGCAAGTAAAAGATCTATATAGGAGTGTGGATTTATTTATTTGCCCCAAATGTTATGTGCACGTAAGCCTACATCTAGGGATGATATTTGAGCTTTCCAATTTTAGGATTCTATAATCCTAAAAGTTCATAGGTGAGGCAATGTAACTGTTCCTGATATGCCAGGTTTGCTATTTCTGTGATTGCACGCTATTTCTAAACTATTTTATGTCCCCCTATCTAAATTGCATTTCCTTCTCTGAAGCTATTAGACTTTTTGGGGCAGCGGGGGGAGGAAATATCTGATCAGCAAAGTTCCTGTCATTTCATTTCTCCATACTGCAAAGCTACATTTTAAAAATCATTTTCTGCTATACCAATTGCACATAAAAGCTTATTGCATTCACTCTAATAACATTTTTATACCAAAGTAATAATGTACATTTAATACAAGATGGCCAATCCATTATGCGGCGCCGTTTGATTGAAGACAAATGTAGCAATAACTCGGGCATGGCAGAAACATTTACAAATTACCATTTTCACTCATGAAGATAAATATGAACAGAGCGCTGCTATCATTCAGACTCCTGGAATGTCTTTCTCTTCCCTGCATAAAATCAGATGTGGAATATGGATGCGGAAAGAATTGAGCTGTGTGGTCTATAATCGTGGCAATTTTAAGGTCAGAAAGCCTTTCAAAAGTCTGCCATTGCTGGCACAGAAACTTCTCCACACCCCACGCCCCGTGCTCAATTAAACATCTCAAACTCTCAAGTTTTAAATAACATCAAATTTGAGGTTACAACATGGTAGGAGACATGTCAACGCTTGCAAGTAAATCTTCCTGTATCTTTTTTTTAAGGCATCCACATCACTTCAGTTTAGGACCAATCTTGCTCTTGAAGATTCATGCTGGAAGACAATGGTGAGAAGTCACAAGAATACCTAAATGTCTAGTTAAGAAAAGAAAAAAAAAACAATTAAAGCAGCAGTTAGGGAACCAGTAGCTGTCCAGTGTTGGCCTACAATTCCCATCAGCCCCAGTCAGCATTCACAATGCTCAGGAATAATAGGTGCTGTAGGCCAATAACATGTTCCCTATCTGAGATTCATAGCAACTGAGATTCAGAGGCACACTCCTTCTGACAGTGGAGGTAGAGCCTAGTCATCATGGACTGATAGCCTTCTCCATGAATTTGTCTAATCCTCTTTTAAAGCTATCTAATTTGGTGGCTGTCACTGCCTCTTCTGGGAGCAAATTCTGTAGTTTAACTGTGCTATGTGAAGAAGTCCTTTTCTCTGTCCTACTGAGTCTTCCAACATTCAGCTTCATTCAGTGTCCCTGGGTTCTAGTTGGTGAGTGTGGGATGGCACAGGGGCAGCTGCCCCGGGTGCAAAATTGTTAGGGGGCACAAGATTTCAACAATACAGCTGTGTGCTTCCATTGCTGGGCTCCGTTAAAAGCGTCTTATCCATGCAAACCAGGAAGTGACCTCTCCAGACAATGGAATGACTCTTCTTATCTATGCGGCTGGAGTCTCTTGGGTGATGTGGACGCTGTTAGGCAGTTGAATGCACATGTATCTGGCATCTCCCTCCCTCCCACCCCCTCACTCTGTGCGGTCCCGGACACTGGCAACCCATGCTACACCACTGGTTCTAGTATTATGAAAGGGGGGGACTTTTCTCTAGCTACTTTCTGCACACCATGAATAATTTTGAGTTGAGTACGTGGGAAATATCACATGCAATAAAAACACACACACGTTTCAATTATTTTCTTCAATTTAATTGAAGTTACTTAGAAAAATAATCAGGCTTGAATGGCTTTGTGTGTGTGTGTGTTGTGTAAAGGAACAATTCATAAGCAGTTAACATTTGTGTTGGCAATGTATAACTTAGTTTCTTTTTTTTTATTATCAGTATATTCAGATATGCTTTTCCTACAACAAGCCTTCTACTGCATACAAATAGGTAAAAAAAAGAAAAAGAAGTCAAACCCCCACATAGATGTTAAATTATATGTACACATTTTGTATTGTTCATGCATGTAAGAAAATAACACTCTCTGTAACAAGAGTAATATTAAGGACATTCCCTTTTGTACCTGAAAATAGTGCAGCTTTCTATAGTTAACCTTCGGAGGGGTCAATTAGCTTCAAAAGCTCTTGGTCTGTGCATCACCTTACATGCCAGTTGAAGTAGATAACATTTGGTTAAATCCTTCGAAAATATTACACAGAAATGCAAGGCTCAGACAGTTTGCAGTCTGAGATGAGGTGAAAAACAAGATGCATTTTCCTCCCAGATGTCCACAGATGGAAGCTGATCACACTGGCTGCCTCCACCAACATCTGAGGGCAGCCAGCAAGTAGCTTAGGGGGTGAAGGGCAGGCTGAGCAGCCAGGCCACACAGATCTGACTTCCAAGGTTTTGCTGGCACTCTCTGCCTCTTAGCATTTGCTGTCTGAAGCAGTTGCCTCCTCTACCTAATGGTAGGGCTGGCTCTAGAGAAATGCTGACACATTTGAACACATTTTTAGTAATATGCTGAAATGCAAAGGGATTTAAATATGAGAGTGTGTACTAATGGAAATAACTTCCCATTTTGTTTTGCTGAAGGGGTGGGGGCAGAGATATAAATATGTTTTGTGGCAAAATGGGGGCAGTCTGATAGAGGCAGTTAAATGGGGGGAAACAGCACAGGAATGGGCAACAGTTCCCAAGATGCAAAGGGTCATAGAACTATAAAAGTAATGATGTCACTTCCTAATGTTATCTCTGCCCTCTACCCCATGTTCCATGATGCTGTAGGCAAACGTAAGAAGCAGAATGCAGTCAGTTAAGCAAGATGGCGGCCAGAAAGGGATAGGCAGGGATGGCTGCCATTTTGATGAGAACCTTGGCAAAATGTACAATGCCTATGCCAATGAGCTGCTTAGTAAACATGCTTGGAAGGGGTGGCAGCTAACAATGCTCTAACTAGTGCTAGCTGATGTGTTGCCAGTGTAATTTCCTACAAGGCTCCCAACACAGTGCCAGTTTGAGGCATTGTGGGAAATTAAAATGGTGGCACCCCAGCCCTCACTACTTTAATAACTCACAAAGCCTTGAATTGATGATATCTCAGGGTCATTGTGGGAAATTACAATGGTGGTTCCCAGACGCAATTCATCTGGTGCCCAGCACAGCCATCTATGGTGTGCTCTTCCACCTGCTGTGGCCCAAGCAGTTACCTAACAATGCCATGTGCTGGTGCCAAGCCTAGAGTCCACTTGCCACCTCCAGAAACTGCTGCGGCTGATGGCAGAGAAGCCCTCTGCTCTGTAAAGCTTTGTTTGCCTGGATTATGTCCACCACTTTCCTTGCAATGTAGCTGTCCTACGGGAGACCATCACCCAAGGGAGACATATTTCAGCATGTTAATGACGGCAATAAACAAATGAAAGAGACATAACAGGGAGAACACATATCTACTGGGTTTAACTATCTACAGTTTGGTACCCAAGGCTGCCATCCTGTACACACTGAACTCAATTTCTCTCTGAATATGCATAAGAATGCACTGCACATCTCTGAACCTGAGCCCTCGTTCTACTTATTCCAGCGTTGAGGATCTTGTGGTCCTCTACAAGATAGGCTCTAATAGCTGCCAGCCAGCATAGCCAATGGTCAAGGAGGAGGATGGAAGTTGTGGTTCAACATCATCTGAAGGTCTCAGGTTCCCCACTCCTGCTTTAACCCATTGCAACCATTTGTTTGGTGAGCGATTTCCTACACAGAGTTGCGCTTGCTGTGCAAGGGACTCTGAATGAGGGAAAGCAGGTGCTAAAGAATGTGAGAAGGCAGTCCCTTCCCTTTTGGGTCACTAGGACTCACTCAGAACGTGACAGGATTTCATCAAAGAGCAATGATAGATTACTCCTGTCCCAGGCCTCAGGCATCCATATGAAGACCTTGCTCCCAACTAGAGGGGCTCTATCCTCAGTGGCCGAGCTTCATGCTCCAGCACCGGGGAGGGAGGGAGAGCAGGCGGGGTGTGGCTGGCACGCGTCCCAGGGGTATGGCGCAAGTTCTGGGGGCGTGGTGCGCCACCTGCGGGGGTGTGGCACCCAGTGCGTGGGGGGGGCAGCCAGGACAGCACCCCACCAGGATCGTAATGCTGGGGGCAGTGTGCTTCCACCGCCCCCTCTTCCTCCACCAGTGTCTATCCTGCAGTTTGGTGACACAAAGCCAACATGAAAATTCGCTGCCTTGGAAGGAAACGCACACAAGCAAAGGAAAATGGGAAAACATCATGAGCACGCTGTGTATAAACATCCACAACCTATCTTTTTGAAGAAATACACAAGAGAAACAAGTTCATCGTTCTGGATTTTTTTAAAAAAAGAAACAAAAACAAATAGCAGTTGAACTATTGGTAGGGGGAGGAAAAGTTGCGGAGGGGAACACAGCAGGATCTGTGAGAGACCTTTGCTATGAACCTTCTGTGACTCACAACAGACTACACACACACACACACACACACACACACACTTGCCAGATTAGGAGCATCCCAGGCCCTGAGCTTTCAGGGCCAAAAACTGACACCTAGGGATGGCCTCCAGCGATGTCACTGGACGGGTGCTGGTAATGAAGGTTAATTGGGAAATGAGGAGAGCAGGCCCACCCTTGAGTGTCTAGGCTATAATTTGTGGCCAGCTCCTGCTGAGCTGAAGGCTCCAAGCTGCGTTTTTGTTTTATGATGTATTTTGTGTTCTCGTTTTGTATTTTTATGTTGTGAACCAACCTGTGCTCTTTGGGCAGCATACAAATTTTATAAAGAAGAATACAATCCTCTTTTTGTTATGAAAGGCACTCTCACAAACCAGGAGGTTCAAGTCATCCTCCACCTGCCACATGGAGGGGCCCTGGAGATCTGGAGGTCTGGCAACCCTACACACCTTGGCAGATGGAGAACCACTTCATGCTGCAATTTGCATTAAGCAGTCACATGTAGAGGGCCTGTTTTAAAGCTCTTTCCCATCTTGCAGAGACCCTGTCTCCTCAGCATTGTATTTATGCATCTACTCACATTTTCTCTTCTTTTATTGTATTGTATTGTCCATTAACAATAGGTTTTCTGGGTGGTGTACAAAGCAAGCTAAAAAAACCATGAGACTAAAACCAACAACAGAGAAAACAGTAGGGTTCAAGATCTAAAAAGCCACTCAACCATGCTTTTAAAGTTGAAATGGGAAAGACCTCTGCAATTGACCCCAGCCATGAGATCTCTTAATTCTCTCTCTCTCTCTCTCTCTCTCTCACACACACACACACACACATACACATACACACACACACATTTCAGCATCCTAGGGGGTCAATTCCCTCTAACCTTTAAGATCTGGGAAGATCTGGTTCAGGCAAGTTACAGTTATAAACAAGTCTGTTTTGAGGGGGACACTTTGCCAATCCCAAAATAACAGAGCTTTGTTTAGAGAACAACAAAAGCCAACCTTTTATTTGAACCATCTAATTTTTCCTCCCCCTGTAGTGACAGTCTAGAGTGCAATACTGACAAGCGAAAAGCATTTGATCATCACCTCCTTCCTCAAAAATGGAATCCTATTCTCTTTTCCGCTCACGGCAAACAAGACAGATGAGAACTGTAAAGAAAAGAATTCAATTTATTCTTCCCATAGTGTATTTTCCTGATCTCTGTCAAAACAGCGCCACAGATAAAAAACAGTGCACTGCATCATAAATAGTTCACTTGTTGCCTACTCTGTTGGGCATCCCATAAGTAAAAAGAAACTAACAATAAGCAAACTTTGCAGTGCTCTTCACTGGCAGAATACATGCCTTACTCCCTGCTAAATTGTAATGAATAAACTATAATTGCCTGTTTAAAACAATTTCCAGACAATATACTATTCATCGTATCACAATCTGCCATTTCACTGATTGATAATTGATGAGAGTTTCAGTAAGGAATGGGAAAAATATATAATTTACCTTAAAAATCATTGTAAACAATTAAAATTATTAGTAGGACTGGAAAGACACTTGTAGTTTAACATTGGACTATGGTTGTAATGGAACTGGATTAATAGAGAGGATGCAGGAAGAAAAAAAGTTAAGGTAAGGACCTGCAGAGGGAAGGAGGGAAGTCCATGGGAATTTATGGAATTCTCTTTTTGTTTTGGTTGTTTGACAATTGCTTGTAAATTTCAAAATCTGAAAATTAAATAATTTTTTTAAAAAATAGCAATTTGCCATCTCACACAGAACAATTTCTACTGGATAAGAGAGTGTTCCACTCCAGTTCATTTTTGAATTTTCGTTTATATAGGTTTATAGCGGGGGAGACATTCATTTGGTTCACACTTTAATGCAAACTTCCCAAATCTGCACCATCCAAAATGACGCACAAAGCAAACCAAAGTTCTCCTTTGAAATTCACACTTCTCCAATTTTCGAGGCAGTTCTCCATCCAAAAGAATGCATATGAAAAAGACACTAAAACTTGTGGAATGCAAAAATATGCATATGAGTGAAAATAACATACAGAAATGTGTTCCATCTGGTGGAAACCACTTACCAAAAAAATGCACATACTAGTAAAACTGCATTTTTAAAAAATGTATATATCAGGAAGAATGCACTTGAATACGTTGTGAATTTTCATGTAGGCTTCTTCATTCAACAATTCACAAACATATGTCAAAATAGGATGAACCAAATTTAAGATAGGAAAAATGGGAAATGGAAATTGATGGATCTGTCCATTCCTACTGCCTACAACTATAAAACATCAGGAAAAGAACTGGTGAATCTCTGCCCTGGCTGTGTAAAGTTTTCAGCATAATTCAGAAGAGTGCGTTTGTTTGTCTGCTTACATAAGGGAGCACTCCCAAATCCCCAACTCCCTGCAGCCTGGCACAGGCATGGCACAATCTACCCTTAACACCAGGACTCTGCGAGGGGTAAACTGCAGTGCCCAGAGTTATCTGAGGGAAAGAATGTGTATTGAATGTGCTTTAATGGAATAGTTTATACACAACCTGAGTTTGCAAGGAGTTTACTGGTATCAGTCCTCTCACAGACACTGTCAAGCAATACGATGAGGAACAGAGGGTGGCAAAATCTGAAGTAGGCCAAAGTCAGCTGACAAAGACAGGGTGCAGCACTGAAAGAGACTCTCCAGCTCTCTTCTCAAGGTTCTTTGCTGCGACTCAGTCGAGGTGCCAGTCAGCACCTGTGAACCAGCTTCACCGGATGAAATGGAGCCGCCTCCTGTGACTTCTGTAGCTGGTTTCATATCACGCCTTTGAAAACATTCCCTGTGACAGTAGTATCACCAGAACAATGTCTTCCTCCAACGATACTTGAATTGAACACGTTTCTTGAATTTTAGATCATTTCCTTGAGGGCATTAGACATTCCCAATTATGATTTACTTCGCCTTTAGGCCCCCCATCCCTTTCATCCAGACTCTGCATATGATGGGCTGCCCCGCTCAAATCATGTGATATCTGGTATCCTCCTCGGTGACGTGGTGCTGAATTGAAGTGCCAGCATGTGCTACACTCCTCAGCCACTACAAAATAGGTCTTTGGATCAGGCTCTGCTTACCAAATGTGCCACAACTTGGCTTTTGAAGTACCAGCCTTTCTTACAGTGCTGTACAATTACTGAGATCAGTGGTGTGCGGTCAGGGGACTAAGCTAGTCCCCTCAATGTTCCTGGCACATTAGACCTTCCCAAAGCCCAGGAAGCCTTTTACTGGCTTGGGGAGGGGGAGCACGATGTTTGTGTGTGTGTCGACCGCCCTCCCCAATGGACCTTGCAAGCTGGTGCCTCTGCCCCTAACTCTTCCCCTAGGAAAAATTTCACCGCACGGCACTGACTGAGATAACAGATGTGAAGAGAACTGAGCACTTGAAATGCTATTCTTTAACTAGGGCTATTTAGGGGTTTGACTAAATGACCCTCGGTGTCCAACTCTACAATTCTATGATTTTATGATTCTACTCTTTATTTTTCCCCGGAAAATGAGCTGAAAACTCAAAATCCACTAATCATTTTCAACATGTTGGAGCTACATGTTACAATAATATTAGGACTGTCAGCCAATTAAGTTAATCTTCATAAATCATGGGATTTGAAAAAAACACATTAATTAATTGTTTTTCCGATCTGTTCTCAAGAAAAATTCTCAAATTGTTCTCAAGGAAAAAACACATTCTTTAATTGCTTTAGGTGATAACAAGCACCCACCACCGAGGCTCAACCTTAGAAGGCTTCTATATGAGATTGTAGAAATGCTTCTTCTAAGACGGTGCTTGCTACCTATGGTTTGTGGAAGTACTTTTATAAAAATCTACATTGTTTTTAAAAGCTGCAGCCCAATTAACTGGGGACATATTTTTAATTAACCAATTTAAAATCGTTTGGTCCATCTAACCATTCAGCTGACTAGCCACTGCAGCCTTAAATAATATTACTACCAATAGTATTTATCATGGCAATGCAGATGGATCACCTCTTGATGTCAAACAAGGGAATGCCAAGTATGAAGTCAAAAATGATATTAACATCATGTCTGGCAAAGTAGAGATTTGAAAATTTTGCTCTGTACAAGATACATTCACATTTCTTTCAGTCACAGACTTTAAATATTATGCACGTATACACATATATATTTAAGCAACTCTAGCTGTCCCTTTCAAGGCCGATGCTATCACACACGGCATCATATATGATATTCTGATAAAATTGCTCCTTTGTAGGGTATTCAGTTTTGTGCAGGTATTCTAGAGCACAGGGATCCACCCTAAAGGAGAGTCCCTGCTGTCATTTCATATTTGCAATGGGAACCTAAAAATGTTGCAATAGTTCAGAACGTGGTGCTGGTTCACTCATTAGGATACAGTAGGAATAAGAAACCTGCGGCCCTCTAGGTGTTGTTCTACTGCAGCTCCCATTACCCCTGACCATTGGCCATTCTGGCAGGGGCTGATGGGAGCTGGAGTCACCCAACATCTATCCTTGTCTCTGCCTTATGGGAAACCAACGATCATGTCTTCAGTTCTTTGTTTTGGAGCACATGTCATGGGTGGAACGTGGCATTAGGGGTAGGGTGTATGCAGCATATTCACACCCCTTCCCAATCATTTTGCTGGTGCCTTCTCTGAAGGCTGGGTTAAGCCAACTTTGCAGGAAGCCAGGGATGGACACTGGGCCCAAAATACAGGGAGATGAGAAAGGACAATGGTGTCGCAAGGAGTATTGTACATGCAAGGGGGTCCCTGCAGAAAGAACAAAATCTGAGCACTGTGGGGGTCAAATTAGACATTGTGGTTGCCAATCAGCTGTCATACCATCTCCGAAGGACTTGGTTTTCCCATCAGACTCATTGTGTGCATCGCTCATTTCATTGCAGGGAGGTTGGGAGGTGGTTGAAGTGTCTGGCTTAATATTGGACTGGCCCTTTTAAGGGTGGAGAGACTGAGTAAGGCAGTCCACTTCTCCTCCTTCCCCTTGCCCTTCATTTTGGAAATGCACATGTGTGATGTTTTAATACATTCTCGAAGGTGAAAGCCTCACCGACCTTGCGTCCCTGTGGACAAACGTTGGGCCTTCATCTGTGTGTGATCATCGGCAGAAAAGTGTGTCTTACAGATCAGAGAACCACAAGGTTTTGACATATATATTTCAAGGGAGGGTCCCCCGAGCCCCTTAAACCCATTCATGTTCCAATGTTTCCAATTATTTGCACACATTCTTCACTAGTGGAACATTCAGTAATGACATTAGGGACAGAGAGACAAACTCCTGCAAGGAATGCACAGGAAACGTTTTCTTTGTCCACACAGTGTTGCATCTTGGCTCCTAACAAGGAATCTATTGTGTTCTTAAATAAGCATAAATAACATAAAAGGCTGAGATTTATGAAGAATGCAAAAGGAAAAGAATTCACCAGGACAAAAATAATACCCCCCACGCGCCCCGCACCAAACAGTGTCGCAGTTACTAGTCACATCTAGAGCTACAGCCGCCGCAGTTTTCTTACCCTGCAAACAGAGCTGTCCCTTCTTACCGACAATTTAAATAATAGATTTCCAACTATGCTGCTCGCAGCATCATTCAAAAAAAGAAGAAAATATTAACTTACAAAATAACCCATTCTTCATATGTAATTGTGACAAATAAAAATCTTAAATAAAACAGGTTTCATATTCTTTCCCCCTCTTTTTCTCTGGCTCTCCACCTTATTCCAATTTCAGGTAGCTTGGCATTGAGTAATTGAACATTAAAAAATCAAGTTTGTAGACTTCATACAGCTGTGTTTGGTGCTCTGAACTGATGTTCTGGAAGAACTCTGTAGTCATTTCGTCAGTAGTTCTTGTAGACTTTGCATAGGTGGGGAACTTGAGATAGTTTCCTACTCCTGCAAGTTGAAGAATGTAGTTGGAATCCTCTTCGAGTGTCTCGTATTTCCCTATGAGATCATAATGGATGTGGCAGGGATGGCACAGAGAGTATACAGTCTGCCAGTGTTCATTGAATGGCTCTTCTCTTTGGGTGTGAGGGTCTATGAGATAAGCCACAAACTCCTCAAATTTCACATCATCGCCTTTATGTAGGGCTTCCTGGGTCGCATTTTTCCTTTGGCGCTTGACAATTTTGGTTCCATATCTCTTATGAAAGGAGGTGTTATACTTCTGGGTGAATTTGTTTCTGTAGGCTGACACCAGTCTCTCGAAAGGCTCGCGGACAAACAGGAACTTCATGTAGTTTTTCAAGCGGTGGTTGATCTCTGGGATGCTGTATTGGTTGAGCGTCTTCAAGTTTGACGAGACATGGGCTTCGTTAGCTGGTATCTCCATCGGGTCGCTGTATTTGCCCCTCCCGTTCAAAACCATCATGACTCTCTTCCAATTGGTGCAGGCCACTTTGGGGACGTAGCAGTAGATCAACTCATGATCCTCGTCAACCACCAAATGCTTGAGGTCGTTGGGTGTCAGCACACGACGTTTCCTGCTAGACATGCTGTTGGCTCGGCATGTATCCGTGACTTGATCCCTCCGGATCTGATGAAGGATGGCCGTGCTGGATAATTCCAACTGCGTAAAGAAAGAACAAAAGTGGATAACTCAGTACAGTTTGCAAACACTTGCTGCCATCTTGGGCAGAAATCCAAAACCTACTTCTATACCAAATTCCTCTGATGTATTAACAACACAGCAACACACAAGGCTGCAGAGCCTTTGCTGGTCTTTGTTAGTAATGTGGTCTGGCAAGGGACCAACGCTGGCCTAAAACATCCTGCGTATAAGAATTGCCTTCCTGGGTGAGATTAAAAGTCAATCCTGTCCAACATTCCAACAGTGACCAGCTGGATGCTCACAAAATACGGTAGTAATGAAGAAGGCAGCCAACCCCTGATGCCTCAGAATCTGGAGGGTCCCATCCCTAGCTATCATAATCTTGGCTATTATCATAGGCATGATCTGCAGGGACAGTGGTCAGTCACACAGAATCGCCAAGGTTGAAGAATTTGGATGCAAGCAGACATACTTTACAAGGTTTCCATTCCGCTCAAGCACTGAAGAACGATACACGTATATCCTAATACCAAATGTATTTTCAGTGTACTTTGTCTGAAACATCTTAACTCTCGTGGTTATATATAGAAAATGAAGTTCTTTCTGCTCCTGCAGTCAAACTCATTTCTACGGAAGAGCAGAACTCAGGCTGACCTTTGCTGCTGAGACGCAGCAGGAGGCCGAGAGTTTCAAAAAGCCTTCGAAAATGAACACAGTATGTACTCTTGCTGCTGATGTCTGTCTCACTCTAGGATTAATTGTCTTGGCTTCCTCATTGGCTGTGACCTTGGCAAGTGAAATAAAATGTGTGGACACCTCGACTATTCTCAGAGGAGGACAGGCAGTCAAAAGTGCTTTCTTGAAGCTTTCTTTCTTTCTTTGCTATTGATGCTGGCCTCTTATTGCCAACCAAATCAATAAGAGGTCAAGGGCAGGCAGACTTTTAACAGGTAGTTTTTGTTGTACAGCACTCAAAAGAATGCTTCCTTGCAGTGACGTCCTTTGTTGTGGCTATACATTTATTAAGGATTCAGTAATGCAAAGAGTCATCCGCTTTCAAAGAACGGGGAGAATTATAGGAGAATTAAGAGCTGCAGGGCTCAAACCAGGACATAGGAATGTAAGATGAACCTGCTGGATCAGATCCAATGGTCCATCTGGTCCAGTGTCCTGTTCACACAGTGGCCAACCAGATGCCTGTGGGAAGCCCGAAAACAGGACACAAGTGCAACAGCATCCTGCCCACCTGTGATTCCCAGCGACTGGTATTCAGAGGTCTAATGCCTATGACAGTGGAGATACAACATAGCCATTGTGGCTGGTAGCTACTGATAGCCTTGAAGGAACCTTGAGAATCAGGCACCCAATAATTATGCTCTACCAAGGGCTGGTGAGAGAGAAGAATCACAGCCTACTGCCTGTTTGTACTCTTTCCCTCTGTACCTGGCCTGCCTTGGCACTAGTACCTGGCTGGGCAGTTGTGATGGGGGGGGGGGGTTGTGATGGGGGGGAGGCTCGTGTCACTAGTTGACTGATACTGTTTCCACGGGAGACTGGGAGACGACGTGGAAGGCTGCATGATGGCCTTCGTCTCCCTGGCAGTATCCCAACAGCTACTACCCTACCCTACCCTGAAGACCTCTTTTCTCATGGGCCAATGAGCTTCACATGGCTTGGAGCCACCATTTAAAATTTTCACAATGCCCTGGAGCAACACTAAATCAGGAATGCTCCAGGGCATTGTGGGAAACTACTCAATGGAACATCCTTCCGCTGCTCACTGGAGCCTGCAACCCTCCACAGGGTAAGTCCACCAAGTCTCATGATCTTCTCGTGAGGATCCCTCCCCATCAATCCTAGAGCCATTGTTAGAAAGCTATGATTAGTGGTGTTCTGAGTATTTTTATTCCTAAGACTAAGATACACCCTTGTGTGTGGGGGGGGGGGGAATTGAAAGTGTGAAGCTGCTCTAAGACAAAGACAGATGAGTCATTTGTTTAATCTCCTTATCCTCAGCTCAGGGGCAAGCAGGCTGACAGTGGGAGGGAGGCAGCAAGACATCACAGTATAATTGAAAGTGCTGGTGGGGCAAGAGAAAAAGCTTAAAGCAGGGTAGCTAATGTGGTGCTTTCCAGCTGTTGTTGGACTACAAGACCCATCAGCCCCAGCTAGTATGGTCCATTGCCAGGGATGATGGGAGCTGCAGTCCAACAATATCTGGAAGGGACCATGTTGCCTACCCGTCATATAATTTATCCATATTTATCTCCAAGACATAGCGCAGATTAAGAGAAATATGATGAGGAAGATGAAGATGATGATGATGATGAGTAGTAGTAGTAGTATACTATCCGTCATCCAAAGATCCACTAGCTGGATATAAACACTTTGGACTGGCTACACACTATTCCCTCTGGGCAGGTAATCTCTCTCTCTCTGAACATTCAACAAGCCATCTGAATAATTTTAGGTCAGAAATTGAGCCCATTCTGTGTGAGGCCTTTAAACATCAAGGGCTGCACCTCAGCCACCAAGGATGCTGCACCTTTTTCTTCATGCAGCGTCTAGATCCAAGCTAGTCTCCTGAATTAACCCAAACTGCAATAGAAACTAAGTTTACTCGTATCACTGAACCTTGTGAAGGAAAATGCTCTCCTCCCCAAGATTGGTTCAGATGCCTAGCCAACTAACAGGCTTGCAGGCTGCAACCTTGAATGCCTTAGGCCTCAAAAGACAGGGCAGCTACAGTTTCTCCTGCCTTCCCTCTGTCCTCCTTTCATCTGCCTTCCGCCCCTCCCCTGCACAAAATGAGCAAACACATAACATTCTGTCACATATTAATTGATTAACTAGTCAATGAGTTTTATTGCCTTAGCTGTAAATTGTCAGCATCTTCAAACACTGCTAAATGGTATCCACCAATAATCTGATGGCTAAAGCAATTTTAGGGCACTTTGCAATTATTGGAAGTCCTCAGAGGAAGAAACTTCCATAATGGTGGATTGTCAGGAACACACCTCTGCAAGGTTTTAGCTATCTGAACTTGCAACTCTGTAGTTGAGCCCAGGCTATTAACAGGATTTTACTCAGCTCTCTAGCAGGGTTCCTAACACACGTTTGCATGAGAGTTTCTTCTAGACCAAGTGAAGAAAGGGAAAAATTCTGGCTGAAGGGAAAGTTGCACAGTTCAACTTAATGCAATATGTGTATGTTTTAGGCAGGGATACGACTTGAACAGGATTAATCTGCAAGACAGTTGGAAGGCTATCATAAACACGTGAATATTCCAAAATCTGTATGAATTACCATGCGAGGAAGGTACAAAGGACACTTTGTCTGTGACAAACTGAAATATCTGGAATGACTAAAGATCATATAATAGAGGAAGCTTTCCTATACCAGATGTTGATACTGACCACTAAAAATTGCCAGTCATGCGGAAAATATGCCCTGTTATCTCTACCATCTGTAGTGGAACTTGAAACTAATAACATTTCCAATCTCTAAGTCAATAAACTTATAATCACAGAGTTCTCCTCCCAGCCCTAATGACATGCTTTCATTGAGAAAAAAAATAGCAAAACGTTAAATTTAATGTAGCTCTTATTTTTAAATTATTGGCTGCATATGTTGAATGCAACTCAGATGCCGCTTTAAGAGAAACAAAATGTTATTTGCCAGGAGATAACTGAATACAGATATCAGAATATGTAAAAATTGCTCAGCAGTCAATAGGTAAACCGCTTAGAGGTTTTCTACTGAGTGAGTGGTTTACAAATATTAAAAGGAGAATGTGGGTTTTTTTCTTAAATCTCTTGATATTCTAAATTCACAGAATGAGTGTTGGAAAGGACTTGGTAAGGGGTTATCTAAAAATGGGTCCTATTCATGTTACATTTACAGCACATTTAAATCACATGACTTCCCTCAAATAATCCCAGGCATTGTGGTTTACCACTCACAGAGCAACACTTCCCAGCATCCTTCACAAATGACAGCTCCCAGGATTCTTTGAGGGAAGCTATGTGCTTTAAATCTATCATGTGGGTGCTACCTTAGAGTTGAGAGAAGCGTTGGAGGCCATCTACAGTCTCCCCCCCCCCATGCAGGATCTACAGCATAGGATGCAGCTACAACATCCCTGATACAGACAGCTTTGAGTCTCTTCTTAACTAACCTTAAGTGAAGAAAAGCCCACCAGCTCCTGAACCTACCTTGTCTACTTCCAAGCAGCTCTTACCATTGAGCTGAAACGTTCAGCTGAAACTAATTTCCCTGCAATTTCCACCCATTGGTTTTCATCCTGCCATCTGGAGCAACAGGGAACAAGTTGCTCCATCTTCAGTGTGACAGCTCTTCAAATATTTAAAGACAGCTATCATGTCTCACCTTAATATTCACTTCTTGGCAAAACTACCCAGCTCTTTTAACTGCTTCTCATAGGACTTTTTTACCAGACGCCCCACAAGCCTGGTTGCCCTTCTCTGAATATGCTCCAGTTTGTCAATGTCATTTCTTAAAATAGGTAGCGGTGGGATTCAGGCTCATTGACTCAAGAAGCAATAGTGAACAGCAAGCAAGTAAACACATATTCTTGCCAGGGGCCATGCTGTGGGTGACCTAAATCAGGACGTGCCTGTTCATGTGTCTGGTTTCTACAAGCCAATGTCAATTTGGGAGTGCTGAAATCATCAGCGCTGCCACCATCATGACATTTATTACTCACCCTTTACCAGCAGGTCTCAGGGCACGTTACAACAATTTAGAATTAAAAAGTTAAAACAGATTACAACTCCAGGAATAGGATGGGCCCTGAAAACACCCTGAAATGCATTCTGGGGAGTGGGGAGAAGACATTGCTCTCACATCACCAAGACTTGCTTCAACCCAGCTTTGGTATATTTTTCAGTGCATGGCAAGCAGCAACATGGATGTTTGCCGAAAGACACACAAAGGTGGTTGAATAACCTTGAAGCACCTACAAAATATACAGTAATGCAATTTTAAAAATTGAGAATAAAAACAAAGACGAAACTTAAGCAACAAGAGTCCTGAAAGAGCTCTGTGTATGTGAAGGACGTTGGCCTAGGTGAACCAATCTACTTAAAGAATAAACTTCTCAACTTCTTCAGACAAAAATGGTGAAGTTGGGGCTGAGGAAAAGTGGCGCAGAATGTATTCCACTTCAGCTATGAATGTATTATCCTACTCCCTTTTTAAAACATTGCTAGCCTGATGAACAGCCTTTATCCATCAAAATTCCTCAAATGTTTTGTCTGGGGGCTGGGGGACACCCACCCCCACATTCACTTTGAATTTTTGCCTGGGCGGAATTTTGATAGTGACTCTAAATTCAATCTTTTCATTTCTTCCTATGTAAATGTACACTGGAAGTCCAAAGTTTGCATGCTTGCATTGGTACATGTTGGCTGGCTGCAAAACAACAACACCACACTATTTTATAATCTCTTCTTTATGAAGATCAACTTAGCAACAATTTCTTCATGTGACTCACAGAAGGCAGGATGCCTAATTAATCAACCAACTCAGCCCCATTTATTAAGTAGATGTATAGGAAGCTGTTGTTTTTTTAAGTCTCTTGACATTTACAAATGCCTCTCAAAATTGAAAAAGAATATCTAGTTATGTTTCCCACAGTGTTGGAGGACATCATGGACTTTGGGTGTCAATTGCAATATATAGCCTATTAACTGTGTTAGCTCACAAAAGACCATACCAAAAGTTATTTGTAGGACTTTTCTTTCTCTCTGTGTGGTTCTCTAACAATATTTTTCATTAAAATTGAGTGTTTTAAACAGTTGGACATGTTTTGTGATGCAAATGTCCAAGAAACCTTTCACTATTCACCCAGCTTCCCCCACATTTGCAAAGAAATTTAGTCTGCATGCTTGGGAGGTGGTTTTCTGTAGAAATTCTCCATGCTCATGTGGCTCCTTCTCATAGTCTGAAGGGTTTCAACACCTGCACTAATTGCCCATGAGGCCATCCAGCACTGGTCTAGGAATTCCCCAAAGGATGGTACAGATGCAGCAGTCAAATCTCTTTAAAAAATCAGAAGCCAGATAAGGGAATGTGCACCAGCTTCTCTCGCTCCCATCACCCCAGCTAGCATGAGCAAAGGTCAGGGATGGTGGGATCTTCTAGAGTCTAAACAACATCTGGAGGGCCACAGGTTAGTCATCCCAGACTTAGCTTATTTTACTCTAATTGTCTTGCAAACTTACCCGTGGGCTACAATCAGTGAGTTTCCTTTCCAGCTTAATTAGTAATCTTGTTGTATTGTTATGCTGCATTTTGTTGCCTGTATTTTTAATTCGATTTCAAATAGAATCCTGTGCAATTTCCATGCAGCTGCTGGAATCTAATTTATTTACAGCCGCCCTCTGAGAACTTGTTCTTCGCTCATGCTGAGGTTTCATTTAACCTTGATCTTGGAAGAGCAAGACTCTTCTATTCCCATTTGTAACTGCCACTCACTAATGTGCATGGGAGGTAATTGACCTAGGATACCCTTTATTCATAGGCTTAATGGCAGAAAATTGGGAGCCAGACAGCAACATCTTGCTTTTTGCACCTCCCTACAGATATATCTAGAGACCCTCACTAACACCCCCCACATTCAACACTAGTAGCCACGTTAAAATTTAATTACAATATGGCTTGCCAGCAAATCCTTTTAGGCTAAAACAGCATTGCAATAAGGCTAATGTATTATGCTATGAATGAGCAGATTGCATCAGTGTGCTCAATAAACATTTTTGTAAGCATCAGAGACCAATCTTCAGAAAACCAGAGCATCTGCAGAAGTTATGGCCCACTGCCACCGCTCAGCACATTTCCAGCAAGCCCCCACAAAGCGACACCAATAACAAGGTCCAGGCAGATGAGATGAACGCGCAGAGGCTTATTGCTTTCGTTTGTTAAAACGACAACCAATGTTATCCTCAAAGTCATCAAAGGCTACAGTTCTGAAGTGACTTGCAAGACCCTAAATCAAGGTGATGCATGAATCTGAAAACATATGCATGGCTGAGGCATCAGGGACAGTTCACAAGGCTATTTTTATGGGATAGTTATGCGGTAAAGTCATCACTAGGTTACTTTTTGTTTTTAATGATGGCGACCAGTCCTGGAAATGCTTGTTACCCACCTCCAACAAAGGTCAAGATGGCACAGTAATCACCACCACCAGGCTGAACCTACATTTTGGTGCTTCTTGCACTTGTACCCTCAACACAACTGGAGTATGAGCTACGATCCGTCTCTGTGCTATAAACGTCCACTTGCAGTGGCTTCACTACTTCACCACCCAAGTTAAAACAATGGTCATGCAAATCATATTTGGCTTCCCTGATTTTCTGTGTCACAGTTGAGAAATCTTTGTTACTCTGAAGGCCTAATAGGCAAACTTCTAGGAGTTGCAAGCCAATTGTGGGTTGAGTCAGAGCCAAAAGTGGGCAGAGCAATGGACGTGACTCTTAATGTACAGTAGAGTACATTGAAGCCACACACTGTGGTGTCTATTCTTCCCCCGCCCCTGATGATACACTCAATTCGGCTTCCTCCATCCAGACTAGCAAGTGGCATTAGCAGAGTCCAAGGACACATTACAGATAAGTTAAATAACTCAAGGACAATATGAAGCTAAGCTGGTGAGAGGCATGGCCTGGTAAGGGGTGCAGCCTGAGGCCAGAGTCCTACCAGATCTCTGGACCTGAGAATGAATGCTCAAAACAGGAATGAAATGACACAATGACCTCCTACTTATTGGGAAACCTCCCTGGTTTGCCTAATCTAAATTGAAGGTAGAGCTCTACATCAAAATTTGCTGTAAGGCATTGGTGGACCTCTTTCTTGAAACTGCAGAAAAGTCCTCTTTCTACCTTCAAGGAGAGTCTCCTTCGAGTGCTGATTTTATTCAAGAAGCTTCTTGTTAGCTCCCCCCTTTGTATTTGCTCATTAGTCTATTTCCAGTTGCAGACAGTCGCTGTCTGCCTTGCATTACAACCCTTTCATCAGTTCTGAACACTTGCCAGGCCCTAATTGTTTCACTCTGTTGATCTGCTTGAAGATGCCAGTTCCGCTTTTTGTTGCTTCTTCAAACTTGTCAGATCTCCTGTCCCACCTGGTACACAAAAGATTCCTAACAAGAAAGGGAAAGCCAGGAAGCTTCATGTCTCCTTTGTTAGGCAGGTATCTGCCAGCAAGAACACCCCTCTTTGCCTGCCCAACATGCAAACCTTGGAGCAGTCTGCTAGTCTTATGAGATTAAATTGTAGGGCGAATCAGTCAACTCCTTGACATACAGCTCACAGGCCTGATGTTATACTAACTTGCTGCTCACAATGGCTTCTAGCACTAAGGTCTGAGTTATAAGGTCCACAGCCAAAGCAGCATAAGAATCAAGGAGATCAGTAGGGTGTGTGGGGGAGGTATAAGGGCAATGTGAAGGGAGTAAGAAATGGCAAGACAGTAAGGACTCTGAGGGCAAGATACATCGCATGAACTAATCTCTTGAAAGGCAGGACATTGTGCTGCTGCTTCTTCTGTGGCACAATGGCTCAGTGCGTCTGACTGTTAATCAGAAGGTTGGTGGTTCGAGCCCATCCAGGGATGGCTGTGGCAGGATTGCTGCCTTGATTCTCCTCCTCCTCCTCCATCTTCACTGTACATGTGTGTTTGTATGTCATCTGAGAGAGGTGCAAGAACCATCTCTAATTTTATGTCTGTCTTCCCTCAAAGGCTTAGAGGGAAGGCAGAGGTAAAATTTAAAAAAAGGTTAACAAAGCAAAGGTTTCATAATGGGTGCTTCCTAGTTTCACAAATGAACTGAAAGATGACCATACTGGCAAAGTGGATGCTGGTTCAAGCTACCATTCTTGTGTACTGCTGCTTGTGCCTGATTCAGACTCTGGGGAAGGTGGATGAAATACTCAGCTTCTGTAGGACTGAGACTCATCCTGTCTCAGGCACCCAGCTAAAGTGTGCTTTGTTAACTTTCCCCAGGCGGAGCAATGAGCGAGGGAGCACTTGTGCAGAGTAGTCCACCGCTGAAAGCTTTCACCAGTGTGCACCATGCTGGGATGCTCACCCGCTAGTTCAGTTGTGAAGCCAGACACACGATGCAGGAGATGAAAGCACTGCAAATCCTCTTTTTATGGCACAGCAGTCTTCATCCCAAACTGGTTTTTTAAAAAGCACTGGTCTCACAACATTGAGCTCCGTCCTGATTCCAGGTTTTTGCTGCCATACCTTCTTTTCTAAAATGAGGGATGAAAGCTAGGTTTGTCAGTGTTTTATCAACCTCATGGGATCCATGATCACAGATAACCAAAACTCATTATCACACTCACCCGCATATTCAGTCATCTCCCCTGTCCCCAGCAATTAGGCTTGAAGATTGCTCACTCACACAAACCATGCGGCAGTTAG